GTCATTTTGCCAAAGCGTACAGGCGTGACAGTCAACAATGTGTATTTTCACCTTAGGGGACAAGAAAAAATGGACTTTTTTCTCCTGCCATGGGGGGGCGCTCTTTTAGGGAGTAAAAATTCCTTCACAAATGTGTTGATGGCTGGACATTGCATCATCCTAGAAAACTTGGAGGCCAGTGAGGACAAAAATAAAAAGTTATAAGACTTTTAAAAATGTGGATTTTTGGGTTATCTTTGGCGCCCCCTAGAACGTAAACCGTGGGATGCAGCGTCATGATTTGAATAACTTTTAATGGCCATGGGGTGTAGATTGGCCTGAGCAAATGTGGTGCCGGTGGAACGAAAGCCTTCAGAGGAGTTAGCGAAATTCCAATGTGTGCGAATCGGCAAAAAATGCGGAATAACCCTTTAACCTTACATTTGACAGATACGCGCTCGCGGACTTTTTTGTAGATCTTATTGAGATACATGTGTGTGTCAATTTTTGTGTCATTTTGACAAAGCGTACAGGCATGACAGTCAATAGTGTGAATTTTCACCTTAGGGGGCGCTATGGAGCCATTTTGCATTTTATTGTTTGGGCGACTTAAGAATATCGAATTTTTCACCAGGCCCGGTCGTCCTGCCAAATTTCATGAGTTTTCGCCAGTGGGAAGTGGGCCATTTTCCAGTTTAAAGCGGAGGAAAAATAATAACTAGGGCCCCGGTGGGGCACTGGCGGGCCCGAGCCATGTCGTGCCGCCCCCAGCGTGACCGCCTCCCCCTCCCGATTGCGTCACACTCAAGGTCCAAAGATGGTGTGCGCACTTGTCTGTGGTCATTTACCATTATAATGAATGGGAGGCGCAGTTTCTACCAAAACGCTCGCTGCAGACAAACTCCATGTCCTTTTTGAAAAAAGTCTGGACCATGAGTGAGGGCACAAACACAGCTAGTATATATCCAAATGGCAAGTTGCTCCTCCTTTCGGTTTTGCCGGGAGAGCGATGCGTTTGAGCCATTGAGCGATGGGCAGGAAAAACTTGACTTTTTCTCCTGCCATAGGGGGGCGCTCTTTTGGGGAGAAAAATTCCTTCACAAATGTGTTGATGGCTGGACATTGCATCATCCTAGAAAACTTGGAGGCCAGTGAGGACAAAAATAAAAGGTTATTAGACTTTTAAGAATGTGGATTTTTGGGTTATCTTTGGCGCCCCCTAGAACGTAGACCGTGGGGTGCAGCGTCATGATTTTTACAACTTTGAATGGCCATGGGGTGTAGATTGGCCTGAGCAAATTTGGTGCCAATGGGACGAAAGCCCTAGGAGGAGTTAGCCACATTCCAATGTGTGCGGATCGGCAAAAAATGCGGAATAGCCCTTTAACCGTACATTTTACAGATACGTGCCTATTGAGTTTTTCGTAGATCTGATTGAGATACACGTGATTGTCAAATTTTGTGTCAATATGACAAAGCGTATAGGTGTGACACTCAACAATGTGTATTTTCACCTTAGGGGACAAGAAAAAATTGCCTTTTTTCTCCTGCCATGGGGGCGCTCTTTTGGGGAGTAAAAATTCCTTCACAAATGTGTTGATGGCTGGACATTGCATCATCCTATAAAACTTGGAGGCCAGTGAGGACAAAATTAAAAAGTTATAAGACTTTTAAGAATGTGGATTTTTGGGTTATCTTTGGCGCCCCCTAGAACCTAAACCGTGGGCTGCAGCGTCATGATTTGTACAACTTTTAATGGCCATGGGGTGTAGATTGGCCTGTGCAAATGTGGTGCCGGTGGAACGAAAGCCTTAGGAGGAGTTAGCAAAATTCCAATGTGTGCGAATCGGCAAAAAATGCAAAATAGCCCTTTAACAGTACATTTTACACTTACGTGCCCGTTGACTTTTTCATAGATCTTATTGAAATACACATGTGTGTCAATTTTTGTGTCATTTTGACAAAGCGTACAGGTGTCAGGTGAGTTTTCACCATAGGGGGCGCTATGGAGCCATTTTTCATTTTTTTGTTTGGGCGACTTCAGAATATCAAATTTTTCACCAGGCCCGGTCGTCCTGCCAAATTTCCTGAGTTTTCGTCAGTGGGAAGTGGGCCATTTTCCAGTTTAAAGCGGAGGAAAAATAACGAAAGAAGAATCCATCAGGAACAAGAGGGCTCTCGCAGCTGCTGAGCAGCTACGCTCGGGCCCTAATAATAACTAGGACCCCGTTGGGGCACTGGCGGGCCCGAGCCGTGTCGCGTCCCCCCCCCAACGTGCTGCCTCCCCGTCCCATTTGTGTCCTCTGGCCATCGCCCTCTCTGGTAACGCCCATCACTGCAAAGACCCTTTTCCTTCATCGGCGTTTGCTGTTCTTCCTGCCAGTGCGTGTTGCTTTCACTTACACTTGCCACAGCCAGCCTCGTGAGTGCCTAGCCTATTGGATATCACTGTCACCTACACAGGACAGTCATTACCTTTCTATTAATACTTTGTGTTTTAATTTCACATTAATTTCCATATTGTATAAACGACTGGAAAAAACTTGAGCCCCTGCCCCTGTATAATCATGTGCATGTCTCTGTTCTAGCTCCAAGGTGAATCTTCACTGCTCATGTTCTCCTCAGAAGCACTCACCTCACTCCCCTCAGGTTACTGTACACATGCACCAACTGCCTGCTTCAGGTTTGGATGGAGCTTCATGGTTGTCTTTTGGAGAAATGAGCAGTCAAGTTGTGTTTGAAATTTGATTTTTTTCAGGGGCAAAAGGAGCCTCTGCATTCTTGTCAAATATGTAAATAGCATGTTTTTGCAGGTGCTAAAAACCAGACTCTGAGTGTGTGTGTGTGTGTGTGTGTGTGTGTGTGTGTGTGTGTGTGTGTGAGTGTGTGTGTGTCTGTGTGTGCGTTCAAGTCACATGACATATTTAACCGGATGTAGCTGCAAGACGGAGCCTCGTTGACTCTCCGTTTCAACTTATCTCAAAAGTGAGGACCTCAAACTATACACCAGTTTTCAAATTGTGTTGATAGGCCAAATAAAACCAGAGTTATGATAAATTATGTCCACAATACTTTTTTTCTGCTTATTTTGATCACGTTCGGCGCTCGATCGCGCTGTATGAGACAGGAAAACATAGCATGCAGACATTAGCGACAGGTCTTACAGGCGGAAAAGGCTTGCCAAAGGAAAAAAAAAGCACACCACAACATCTCTCCTATTGGTGGAAAACTTCACCACAACAACCAATCCAAAATTATATGGTGACTGATTGACAAGGGGCGGGCGCTTACGTTCTTCCTGCAATATGAGAAGGGAGGGAGGGACTCTCAGCAGGGATGCAGTCTGGGACACGTAGTTGCAAACCTAGCGACTTTGTTGTTAGATTCAATGACTTTTCAGACCCCCTAACGACTTTTTTTTAGAAAGAAAGTGACTTTTATCGACTTCTTCTGGAGTTTAGAGACTCTGACATGAAGCAGGCTTTCCTTACTGAGGAGTTAGCAACGCTGCTAAGGGTGCAGAGCCACACATGCGCTCCGAGCTCTGCATGGGAGACTGAAGCTGACAGAGCTGCAGCAGTTAGCAGTTTTCACCCTCAGAGACCACCAGGGGTTCATGTTGAGGCATTTTCAGTTTTTTTTTTTTTTTTTGCCATAGACACTGTCAGCACAATCTGCAGTTACACTAACAAAAATGCTGCAAAAAACAAAGAATTATGGAAAAATTACACATGGACTAACATAGAGGAGGATCTACACAAGTTTTTTACATCATGTTTTACATCATGCATCATTTACATCATGTTTTTTTGTAGTGGCATAAATAAAAAGTGACATTTGTGAGACTATACAGTGTTTTGTAAATAATTTTACAAAGAACACCTGGGCCATTGCCTGCATTTTGATGTAAATAGAGGTAAATTACTATGTTCTTTGTTAAAAATTTGCATATGTTTTGAAGTTTACAATTTTTATTTGAAGTTTAAGTTTTAAAAACAGTTCATCACACATATTTGTGGTTTTCACAGTAAAAACGTTACTTTTTTCCACTCGGATTTTATGTTTTGTGTGTGAATTTGGGTCCAATGTGTAAATATAGTATGTCAAAATGATAAAATAACTGTAAATTGACACAGGTGAGGTTGTGCTGAAAAAAATGATACCAGGCAAGGCAAGGTAAAAATTTTGTAAGAGGAAATATAAAGGTAAAATCTAAAGTAGTCAAAAACGGCCAATAGTGACTCACAGACTCCACAGACAAGTCCCTTTGGCGCCACTCAGTGGGCAAAACTACTTTGTCTACTGTAATGTATATTTGGGTCATCTTTGGCGCCCCCTAAAACGTAAACCGTGGGGTGCAGCGTCATGATTTTTACAACTTTGAATGGCCATGGAGTGTAGATTGGCCTGAGCAAATTTGGTGTCAGTGGGACGAAAGCCTTAGGAGGAGTTAGCGAAATTCCAATGTGTGCGAATCGGCAAAAAATGCAAAATAGCCCTTTTACCGTACATTATACAGATACGCGCTCTTTGACTTTTTCGTAGATCTAATTGAGATACACATGATTGTCAATTTTTGTGTCATTTTGCCAAAGCGTACAGGCGTGACAGTCAACAATGTGTATTTTCACCTTAGGGGACAAGAAAAAATGGACTTTTTTCTCCTGCCATGGGGGGCGCTCTTTTAGGGAGTAAAAATTCCTTCACAAATGTGTTGATGGCTGGACATTGCATCATCCTAGAAAACTTGGAGGCCAGTGAGGACAAAAATAAAAAGTTATAAGACTTTTAAAAATGTGGATTTTTGGGTTATCTTTGGCGCCCCCTAGAACGTAAACCGTGGGATGCAGCGTCATGATTTGAATAACTTTTAATGGCCATGGGGTGTAGATTGGCCTGAGCAAATGTGGTGCCGGTGGAACGAAAGCCTTCAGAGGAGTTAGCGAAATTCCAATGTGTGCGAATCGGCAAAAAATGCGGAATAACCCTTTAACCTTACATTTGACAGATACGCGCTCGCGGACTTTTTTGTAGATCTTATTGAGATACATGTGTGTGTCAATTTTTGTGTCATTTTGACAAAGCGTACAGGCGTGACACTCAACAATGTGTATTTTCACCTTAGGGGACAAGAAAAAATGGACTTTTTTCTCCTGCCATGGGGGGGCGCTCTTTTAGGGAGTAAAAATTCCTTCACAAATGTGTTGATGGCTGGACATTGCATCATCCTAGAAAATTTGGAGGCCAGTGAGGGCAAAAATAAAAAGTTATAAGACTTTTAAATATGTGGATTTTAGGGTTATCTTTGGCGCCCCCTAGAACCTAAACCGTGGGGTGCAGCGTCATGATTTGAATAACTTTTAATGGCCATGGGGTGTAGATTGGCCTGAGCAAATGTGGTGCCGGTGGAACGAAAGCCTTCGGAGGAGTTAGCGAAATTCCAATGTGTGCGGATCGGCAAAAAATGCGAAATAACCCTTTTACCGTACATTTGACAGATACGCCCGCACTGACTTTTTTGTAGATCTTATTGAGATACATATGTGTGTCAATTTTTGTGTCATTTTGACAAAGCGTAAAGGCGTGACAGTCAATAGTGTGAATTTTCACCTTAGGGGGCGCTATGGAGCCATTTTGCATTTTCTTGTTTGGGCGACTTCGGAATATCAAATTTTTCACCAGGCCCGGTCATCCTGCCAAATTTCATGAGTTTTCGCCAGTGGGAAGTGGGCCATTTTCCAGTTCAAAGGGGAGGAAAAAGAAGAAACTAGGGCCCCGTTGGGGCACTGGCGGGCCCGAGCCGCGTTGCGCCGCCCCCAGTGCGACCGCCTCCCCCTCCCGATCGCGTCACACTCAAGGTCCAAAGATGGTGTGCGCACTTGTCTGTGGTCATTTCCCATTATAATGAATGGGAGGCGCAGTTTCTACCAAAACACTCGCTGCAGACAAACTACATGTCCTATTTGAAAAAAGTCTTGACCATGAGTGAGGGCACAAACACAGCTAGGATATATCCAAACGGCAAGTTGCTCCTCGTTACGGTGTTGCCGGGAGAGCGATGCGATTGAGCCATTGAGTGATGGGCAGGAAAAACTTGACTGTTTCTCCTGCCATGGGGGATGGGGGATGGGGGATGGGGGGGGGGGGGGGATGTGGATTCTTTTAAGAATGTGGATATTTGGGTCATCTTTGGCGCCCCCTAGAACGTAAACCGTGGGGTGCAGCGTCATGATTTTTAAAACTTTGAATGGCCATGGGGTGTAGATTGGCCTGAGCAAATTTGGTGTCAGTGGGACGAAAGCCTTAGGAGGAGTTAGCCACATTCCAATGTGTGCTAATCGGCAAAAAATGCAAAATAGCCCTTTAACCGTACATTTTACAGATACGCGCGCATTGACTTTTTCGTAGATCTTATTGAGATACATGTGTGTGTCAAATTTTGTGTCAATATGACAAAGCATACAGGTATGACAGTCAACAATGTGTATTTTCACCTTATGGGACAAGAAAAAATGGACTTTTTTCTCCTGCCATGGGGGGGCGCTCTTTTGGGGAGTAAAAATTCCTTCACAAATGTGTTGATGGCTGGACATTGCATCATCCTAGAAAACTTGGAGGCCAGAGAGGACAAAAATAAAAAGTTATAAGACTTTTAAATATGTGGATTTTAGGGTTATCTTTGGCGCCCCCTAGAACCTAAACCGTGGGGTGCAGCGTCATGATTTGAATAACTTTTAATGGCCATGGGGTGTAGATTGGCCTGAGCAAATGTGGTGCCGGTGGAACGAAAGCCTTCGGAGGAGTTAGCGAAATTCCAATGTGTGCGGATCGGCAAAAAATGCGCAATACCCCTTTAACTGTACATTTGACAGATACGCCAGCACTGACTTTTTTGTAGATCTTATTGAGATACATGTGTGTGTCAATTTTTGTGTAATTTTGACAAAGCGTACAGGCGTGACAGTCAATAGTGTGAATTTTCACCTTATGGGACAAGAAAAAATGGACTTTTTTCTCCTGCCATGGGGGGGCGCTCTTTTGGGGAGTAAAAATTCCTTCACAAATGTGTTGATGGCTGGACATTGCATCATCCTAGAAAACTTGGAGGCCAGTGAGGGCAAAAATAAAAAGTTATAAGACTTTGAAATATGTGGATTTTAGGGTTATCTTTGGCGCCCCCTAGAACCTAAACCGTGGGGTGCAGCGTCATGATTTGAATAACTTTTAATGGCCATGGGGTGTAGATTGGCCTGAGCAAATGTGGTGCCGGTAGAACGAAAGCCTTCGGAGGAGTTAGCGAAATTCCAATGTGTGCGGATCGGCAAAAAATGCGCAATAACCCTTTAACCGTACATTTGACAGATACGCCCGCACTGACTTTTTTGTAGATCTTATTGAGATACATGTGTGTGTCAATTTTTGTGTCATTTTGACAAAGCGTACAGGCGTCAGGTGAATTTTTCACCTTAGGGGGCGCTATGGAGCCATTTTGCATTGTATTGTTTGGGCGACTTCAGAATATCAAATTTTTCACCAGGCCCGGTCGTCCTGCCAAATTTCATGAGTTTTCGCCAGTGGGAAGTGGGCCATTTTCCAGTTCAAAGGGGAGGAAAAAGAAAAAAGAAACAAAGAAAAACCACTTGGGGAATAATAGGGCTCTCGCAGCTGCTTAGCAGCTACGCTCGGGCCCTAACTAGGGCCCCGTTGGGGCACTGGCGGGCCCGAGCTGCGTTGCGCCGCCCCCAGTGCGACCGCCTCCCCCTCCCGATCGCGTCACACTCAAGGTCCAAAGATGGTGTGCGCACTTGTCTGTGGTCATTTCCCATTATAATGAATGGGAGGCGCAGTTTCTACCAAAACACTCGCTGCAGACAAACTACATGTCCTATTTGAAAAAAGTCTGGACCATGAGTGAGGGCACAAACACAGCTAGGATATATCCAAACGGCAAGTTGCTCCTCGTTACGGTGTTGCCGGGAGAGCGATGCGATTGAGCCATTGAGTGATGGGCAGGAAAAACTTGACTGTTTCTCCTGCCATGGGGGATGGGGGATGGGGGATGGGGGGGATGTGGATTCTTTTAAGAATGTGGATATTTGGGTCATCTTTGGCGCCCCCTAGAACGTAAACCGTGGGGTGCAGCGTCATGATTTTTAAAACTTTGAATGGCCATGGGGTGTAGATTGGCCTGAGCAAATTTGGTGTCAGTGGGACGAAAGCCTTAGGAGGAGTTAGCCACATTCCAATGTGTGCTAATCGGCAAAAAATGCAAAATAGCCCTCTAACCATACATTTTACAGATACCCGCGCATTGACTTTTTCGTAGATCTTATTGAGATACATGTGTGTGTCAAATTTTGTGTCAATATGACAAAGCATACAGGTATGACAGTCAACAATGTGTATTTTCACCTTATGGGACAAGAAAAAATGGACTTTTTTCTCCTGCCATGGGGGGCGCTCTTTTGGAGAGTAAAAATTCCTTCACAAATGTGTTGATGGCTGGACATTGCATCATCCTAGAAAACTTGGAGGCCAGAGAGGACAAAAATAAAAAGTTATAAGACTTTTAAATATGTGGATTTTAGGGTTATCTTTGGCGCCCCCTAGAACCTAAACCGTGGGGTGCAGCGTCATGATTTGAATAACTTTTAATGGCCATGGGGTGTAGATTGGCCTGAGCAAATGTGGTGCCGGTGGAACGAAAGCCTTCGGAGGAGTTAGCGAAATTCCAATGTGTGCGGATCGGCAAAAAATGCGCAATAACCCTTTAACCGTACATTTGACAGATACGCCAGCATTGACTTTTTTGTAGATCTTATTGAGATACATGTGTGTGTCAATTTTTGTGTAATTTTGACAAAGCGTACAGGCGTGACAGTCAATAGTGTGAATTTTCACCTTATGGGACAAGAAAAAATGGACTTTTTTCTCCTGCCATGGGGGGGCGCTCTTTTGGGGAGTAAAAATTCCTTCACAAATGTGTTGATGGCTGGACATTGCATCATCCTAGAAAACTTGGAGGCCAGTGAGGGCAAAAATAAAAAGTTATAAGACTTTGAAATATGTGGATTTTAGGGTTATCTTTGGCGCCCCCTAGAACCTAAACCGTGGGGTGCAGCGTCATGATTTGAATAACTTTTAATGGCCATGGGGTGTAGATTGGCCTGAGCAAATGTGGTGCCGGTGAAACGAAAGCCTTCGGAGGAGTTAGCGAAATTCCAATGTGTGCGGATCGGCAAAAAATGCGCAATAACCCTTTAACCGTACATTTGACAGATACGCCCGCACTGACTTTTTTGTAGATCTTATTGAGATACATGTGTGTGTCAATTTTTGTGTCATTTTGACAAAGCGTACAGGCGTCAGGTGAATTTTTCACCTTAGGGGGCGCTATGGAGCCATTTTGCATTGTATTGTTTGGGCGACTTCAGAATATCAAATTTTTCACCAGGCCCGGTCGTCCTGCCAAATTTCATGAGTTTTCGCCAGTGGGAAGTGGGCCATTTTCCAGTTCAAAGGGGAGGAAAAAGAAACTAGGGCCCCGTTGGGGCACTGGCGGGCCCGAGCCGTGTCGTGCCGCCCCCAGCGCGACCGCCTACCCCTCCCGATCGCGTCACACTCAAGGTCCAAAGATGGTGTGCGCACTTGTCTGTGGTCATTTACCATTATAATGAATGGGAGGCGCAGTTTCTACCAAAACGCTCGCTGCAGACAAACTCCATGTCCTTTTTGAAAAAAGTCTGGACCATGAGTGAGGGCACAAACACAGCTAGTATATATCCAAATGGCAAGTTGCTCCTCCTTTCGGTTTTGCCGAGAGAGCGATGCGTTTGAGCCATTGAGCGATGGGCAGGAAAACTTGACTTTTTCTCCTGCCATGGGGGGGCGCTCTTTTGGGGAGAAAAATTTCCTTCACAAATGTGTTGATGGCTGGACATTGCATCATCCTAGAAAACTTGGAGGCCAGTGAGGACAAAAATAAAAAGTTATAAGACTTTTAAAAATGTGGATATTTGGGTCCTCTTTGGCGCCCCCTAGAACGTAAACTGTGGGGTGCAGTGTCATGATTTGTACAACTTTGAATGGCCATGGGGTGTAGATTGACCTGAGCAAATTTGAAGCCGATGGGACAAAAGATTTAGGAGGAGTTAGCCACATTCCAATGTGTGCGAATCGGCCAAAAATGCGAAATAGCCCTTTAACCGTACATTGAACAGATACGCTCACATTGACTTTTTCGTAGATCTTATTGAGATACATGTTATTGTCAAATTTTGTGTCATTTTGACAAAGCGTAAAGGCGTGACAGTCAACAATGTGTATTTTCGCCTTAGGAGACAAGAAAAAATGGACTTTTTTCTCCTGCCATGGGGGGGCGCTCTTTTGGCGAGTAAAAATTCCTTCACAAATGTGTTGATGGCTGGACATTGCATCATCCTAGAGAACTTGGAGGCCAGTGAGGACAAAAATAAAAAGTTATAAGACTTTTAAGACTGTGGATTTTTGGGTTATCTTTGGCGCCCCCTAGAACGTAAACCGTGGGGTGCAGCGTCATGATTTGTACAACTTTTAATGGCCATGGGGTGTAGATTGGCCTGAGCAAATGTGGTGCCTTTGGAACGAAAGCCTTCGGAGGAGTTAGCGAAATTCCAATGTGTGCGGATCGGCAAAAAATGCGAAATAGCCCTTTAACCGTACATTTGACAGATACGCCCGCATGACTGACTTTTTTGTAGATCTTATTGAGATACATGTGTGTGTCAATTTTTGTGTCAATATGACAAAGCGTATAGGCGTGACACTCAATAGTGTGAATTTTCGCCTTAGGAGACAAGAAAAAATGGACTTTTTTCTCCTGCCATGGGGGGGCGCTCTTTGGCGAGTAAAAATTCCTTCACAAATGTGTTGATGGCTGGACATTGCATCATCCTAGAGAACTTGGAGGCCAGTGAGGACAAAAATAAAAAGTTATAAGACTTTTAAGACTGTGGATTTTTGGGTTATCTTTGGCGCCCCCTAGAACGTAAACCGTGGGGTGCAGCGTCATGATTTGTACAACTTTTAATGGCCATGGGGTGTAGATTGGCCTGAGCAAATGTGGTGCCTTTGGAACGAAAGCCTTCGGAGGAGTTAGCGAAATTCCAATGTGTGTGGATCGGCAAAAAATGCGAAATAGCCCTTTAACCGTACATTTGACAGATACGCCCGCACTGACTTTTTTGTAGATCTTATTGAGATACACGTGTGTGTCAAATTTTGTGTCATTTTGACAAAGCGTACAGGCGTGACACTCAATCATGTGAATTTTTCACCTTAGGGGGCGCTATGGAGCCATTTTGCATTTGATTGTTTGGATGACTTCAGAATATCGAATTTTTCACCAGGCCCGGTCGTCCTGCCAAATTTCATGAGTTTTCACCAGTGGGAAGTGGGCCATTTTCCAGTTCAAAGGGGCAGAAAAATAATAACTAGGGCCCCGTTGGGGCACTGGCGGGCCCGAGCTGTGTCGCCCCCCCCCCCCCCCAACGCGCTGCCTCCCCGTCCCATTCGCGTCCTCTGGCCATCGTCCTCTCTGGTAACGCCCATCACTGCAAAGACCCTTTTCCTTCATCGGCGTTTGCTGTTCTTCCTGCCAGTGCGTGTTGCTTTCACTTACACTTGCCACAGCCAGCCTCGTGAGTGCCTAGCCTATTGGATATCACTGTCACCTAGAACAGGACAGTCATTACCTTTCTATTAATACTTTGTGTTTTAATTTCACATTAATTTCCATATTGTATAAACGACTGGAAAAAACTTGAGCCCCTGCCCCTGTATAATCATGTGCATGTCTCTGTTCTAGCTCCAAGGTGAATCTTCACTGCTCATGTTCTCCTCAGAAGCACTCACCTCACTCCCCTCAGGTTACTGTACACATGCACCAACTGCCTGCTTCAGGTTTGGATGGAGCTTCATGGTTGTCTTTTGGAGAAATGACCAGTCAAGTTGTGTTTGAAATTTGATTTTTTTCAGGGGCAAAAGGAGCCTCTGCATTCTTGTCAAATATGTAAATAGCATGTTTTTGCAGGTGCTAAAAACCAGACTCTGAGTGTGTGTGTGTGTGTGTGTGTGTGTGTGTGTGTGTGTGTGCGTGTGTGTGTGTCTATGTGTGCGTTCAAGTCACATGACATATTTAACCGGATGTAGCTGCAAGACGGAGCCTCGTTGACTCTCCGTTTCAACTTATCTCAAAAGTGAGGACCTCAACCTATATACCAGTTTTTAAATTGTGTTGATAGGCCAAATAAAACCAGAGTTATGATAAATTATGTCCGCGATACTTTTTTTCTGCTTATTTTGATCACGTTCGGCGCTCGATCGCGCTGTATGAGACAGGAAAACATAGCATGCAGACATTAGCGACAGGTCTTACAGGCGGAAAAGGCTTGCCAAAAGAAAAAAAAAACACACCACAACATCTCTCCTATTGGTGGAAAACTTCACCACAACAACCAATCCAAAATTATATGGTGACTGATTGACAAGGGGCGGGCGCTTACGTTCTTCCTGCAACATGAGAAGGGAGGGAGGGACTCTCAGCAGGGATGCAGTCTGGGACACGTAGTTGCAAACCTAGCGACTTTGTTGTTAGATTCAATTACTTTTCAGACACCCTAACGACTTTTTTAGAAAGAAAGGGACTTTTATCGACTTCTTCTGGAGTTTAGAGACTCTGACATGAAGCAGGCTTTCCTTACTGAGGAGTTAGCAACGCTGCTAAGAGTGCAGAGCCACACATGCGCTCAGAGCTCTGCATGGGAGACTGAAGCTGACAGAGCTGCAGCAGTTAGCAGGTTTCACCCTCAGAGACCACCAGGGGTTCATGTTGAGGCATTTTAATTTTTTTTTTTGTGCCATAGACACTGTCAGCACAATCTGCAGTTACACTAACAAAAATGCTGCAAAAAACAAAGAATTATGGAAAAATTACACATGGACTGACATAGAGGAGGATCTACACAAGTTTTTTACATCATGTTTTACATCATGCATCATTTACATCATGTTTTTTTGTAGTGGCATAAATAAAAAGTGACATTTGTGAGACTATACAGTGTTTTGTAAATAATTTTACAAAGAACGCCTGGGCCATTGCCTGCATTTTGATGTAAATAGAGGTAAATTACTATGTTCTTTGTTAAAAATTTGCATATGTTTTGAAGTTTACAATTTTTATTTGAAGTTTAAGTTTTAAAAACAGTTCATCACACATATTTGTGGTTTAATTTCACATTAATTTCCATATTGTATAAATGACTGGAAAAAACTTGAGCCCCTGCCCCTGTATAATCATGTGCACGTCCCTGTTCTAGCTCCAAGGTGAATCTTCACTGCTCATGTTCTCCTCAGAAATAGTCACCTCACTCCCCTCAGGTTACTGTACACATGCACCAACTATCTGCTTCAGGTTTGAAATGGAGCTTCATGGTTGTCTTTTGGAAAAATGAACAGTCAAGTTGTGTTTGAAATTTGATTTTTTTCAGGGGCAAAAGGAAGCCTCTGCATTCTTGTCAAATATGTAAACAGCATGTTTTTGCAGGTGCTAAAAAACAGACTCTGAGTGTGTGTCTGTGTGTGTGTGTGTGTGTGTGTGTGTGTGTGTGTGTGTGTGTGTGTATGTTGGCATGTGTGTATATGTGTGTGTATCCTGCAGTACTCTGTACTCCTGCAGTGGCCAAAAAGACTTTTAAGAATGTGGATTTTTGGGTCATCTTTGGCGCCCCCTAGAACTGCAGTACTCTGTACTCCTGCAGTGGCCAAAATGACTTTTAAGAATGTGGATTTTTGGGTCATCTTTGGCGCCCCCTAGAACGTAAACCGTGGGGTGCAGCGTCATGATTTTTACAACTTTGAATGGGCATGGGGTGTAGATTGCCCTGAGCAAATTTGGTATCGGTGGGACGAAAGCCTTAGGAGGAGATAGCCACATTCCAATGTGTGCGAATCGGCAAAAAATGCAAAATAGCCCTTTAACCGTACATTATACAGATACGCGCTCTTTGACTTTTTCGTAGATCTAATTGAGATACACATGATTGTCAATTTTTGTGTCAATATGACAAAGCGTTCAGGCGTGACACTCAACAATGTGTATTTTTATGAAAGGGGACAAGAAAAAATTGACTTTTTTCTCCTACCATGGGGCGCTCTTTTGGGGAGTAAAAATTCCTTCACAAATGTGTTGATGGCTGGACATTGCATCATCCTAGAAAACTTGGAGGCCAGTGAGGACAAAAATAAAAAGTTATAAAACATTTAAGAATGTGGATTTTTGGGTTATTTTTGGCGCCCCCTAGAACCTAAACCATGGGGTGCAGCATCATGATTTGAATAACTTTTAATGGCAATGGGGTGTACATTGGCCTGAGCAAATGTGGTGCCGGTGGAACGAAAGCCTTCGGAGGAGTTAGCGTAATTCCAATGTGTGCGTATCGGCAAAAAATGCGGAATAACCCTTTAACTGTACATTTGATAGATACGCGCGCATGGACTTTTTTGTAGATCTTATTGAGTTACATGTGTGTGTCAATTTTTGTGTCATTTTGACAAAGCGTATAGGCGTGACACTCAACAATGTGTATTTTCACCTTAGGGGACAAGAAAAAATGGACTTTTTTCTCCTGCCATGGGGGGGCGCTCTTTTGGGGAGTAAAAATTCCTTCACAAATGTGTTGATGGCTGGACATTGCATCATCCTAGAAAACTTGGAGGCCAGTGAGGACAAAAATAAAAAGTTATAAGACTTTTAAATATGTGGATTTTAGTGTTATCTTTGGCGCCCCCTAGAACCTAAACCTTGGGGTGCAGCGTCATGATTTTGATAACTTTTAATGGCCACGGGGTGTAGATTGGCCTGATCAAATGTGGTGCCGGTGGAACGAAAGCCTTCGGAGGAGTTAGCGAAATTCCAATGTGTGCGGATCGGCAAAAAATGCGAAATAACCCTTTAACCGTAATTTTGACAGATACGGCCGCACTGACTTTTTTGTAGATCTTATTGAGATACATATGTGTGTCAATTTTTGTGTCAATATGACAAAGCGTACAGGCGTGACAGTCAATAGTGTGAATTTCCACCTTAGGGGGCGCTATGGAGCCATTTTGCATTTTATTGTTTGGGCGACTTCAGAATATCGAATTTTTCACCAGGCCCGGTCGTCCTGCCAAATTTCATGAGTTTTCGCCAGTGGGAAGTGGGCCATTTTCCAGTTCAAAGGGGAGGAAAAAGAAGAAAGAAAGAAAGAAAGAAAGAAAGAAAGAAAGAAACAAAGAAAAACCACTTGGGGAATAATAGGGCCTACGCCCGGCTGCTCTGCAGCTGGCTCGGGCCCTAATAAGAAGAAGAAAGAAGAATCCATCAGGAATAATAGGGCTCTCGCAGCTGCTTAGCAGCTACGCTCGGGCCCTAACTAGGACCCCGTTGGGGCACTGGCGGGCCCGAGCCGTGTCGCGTCCCCCCCCCAACGTGCTGCCTCCCCGTCCCATTTGTGTTCTCTGGCCATCGCCCTCTCTGGTAACGCCCATCACTGCAAAGACCCTTTTCCTTCATCGGCGTTTGCTGTTCTTCCTGCCAGTGCGTGTTGCTTTCACTTACACTTGCCACAGCCAGCCTCGTGAGTGCCTAGCCTATTGGATATCACTGTCACCTACACAGGACAGTCATTACCTTTCTATTAATACTTTGTGTTTTAATTTCACAGTAATTACCATATTGTATAAACGACTGGAAAAAACTTGAGCCCCTGCCCCTGTATAATCATGTGCATGTCTCTGTTCTAGCTCCAAGGTGAATCTTCACTGCTCATGTTCTCCTCAGAAGCACTCACCTCACTCCCCTCAGGTTACTGTACACATGCACCAACTGCCTGCTTCAGGTTTGGATGGAGCTTCATGGTTGTCTTTTGGAGAAATGACCAGTCAAGTTGTGTTTGAAATTTGATTTTTTTCAGGGGCAAAAGGAGCCTCTGCATTCTTGTCAAATATGTAAATAGCATGTTTTTGCAGGTGCTAAAAACCAGACTCTGAGTGTGTGTGTGTGTGTGTGTGTGTGTGTGTGTGTGTGTGCGTGTGTGTGTGTCTGTGTGTGCGTTCAAGTCACATGACATATTTAACCGGATGTAGCTGCAAGACGGAGCCTCGTTGACTCTCCGTTTCAACTTATCTCAAAAGTGAGGACCTCAACCTATATACCAGTTTTTAAATTGTGTTGATAGGCCAAATAAAACCAGAGTTATGATAAATTATGTCCGCGATACTTTTTTTCTGCTTATTTTGATCACGTTCGGCGCTCGATCGCGCTGTATGAGACAGGAAAACATAGCATGCAGACATTAGCGACAGGTCTTACAGGCGGAAAAGGCTTGCCAAAAGAAAAAAAAAACACACCACAACATCTCTCCTATTGGTGGAAAACTTCACCACAACAACCAATCCAAAATTATATGGTGACTGATTGACAAGGGGCTGGCGCTTACGTTCTTCCTGCAACATGAGAAGCGAGGGAGGGACTCTCAGCAGGGATGCAGTCTGGGACACGTAGTTGCAAACCTAGCGACTTTGTTGTTAGATTCAATGACTTTTCAGACCCCCTAACGACTTTTTTTTAGAAAGAAAGGGACTTTTATCGACTTCTTCTGGAGTTTAGAGACTCTGACATGAAGCAGGCTTTCCTTACTGAGGAGTTAGCAACGCTGCTAAGGGTGCAGAGCCACACATGCGCTCCGAGCTCTGCATGGGAGACTGAAGCTGACAGAGCTGCAGCAGTTAGCAGGTTTCACCCTCAGAGACCACCAGGGGTTCATGTTGAGGCATTTTAAATTTATTTTTTTTTTGTGCCATAGACACTGTCAGCACAATCTGCAGTTACACTAACAAAAATGCTGCAAAAAACAAAGAATTATGGAAAAATTACACATGGACTGACATAGAGGAGGATCTACACAAGTTTTTTACATCATGTTTTACATCATGCATCATTTACATCATGTTTTTTTGTAGTGGCATAAATAAAAAGTGACATTTGTGAGACTATACAGTGTTTTGTAAATAATTTTACAAAGAACGCCTGGGCCATTGCCTGCATTTTGATGTAAATAGAGGTAAATTACTATGTTCTTTGTTAAAAATTTGCATATGTTTTGAAGTTTACAATTTTTATTTGAAGTTTAAGTTTTAAAAACAGTTCATCACACATATTTGTGGTTTAATTTCACATTAATTTCCATATTGTATAAATGACTGGAAAAAACTTGAGCCCCTGCCCCTGTATAATCATGTGCACGTCCCTGTTCTAGCTCCAAGGTGAATCTTCACTGCTCATGTTCTCCTCAGAAATAGTCACCTCACTCCCCTCAGGTTACTGTACACATGCACCAACTATCTGCTTCAGGTTTGAAATGGAGCTTCATGGTTGTCTTTTGGAGAAATGAACAGTCAAGTTGTGTTTGAAATTTGATTTTTTTCAGGGGCAAAAGGAAGCCTCTGCATTCTTGTCAAATATGTAAACAGCATGTTTTTGCAGGTGCTAAAAAACAGACTCTGAGTGTGTGTGTGTGTCTGTGTGTGTGTGTGTGTGTGTGTGTGTGTGTGTGTGTGTGTGTATGTTGGCGTGTGTGTATATGTGTGTGTATCCTGCAGTACTCTGTACTCCTGCAGTGGCCAAAAAGACTTTTAAGAATGTGGATTTTTGGTTCATCTTTGGCGCCCCCTAGAACTGCAGTACTCTGTACTCCTGCAGTGGCCAAAATGACTTTTAAGAATGTGGATTTTTGGGTCATCTTTGGCGCCCCCTAGAACGTAAACCGTGGGGTGCAGCGTCATGATTTTTACAACTTTGAATGGGCATGGGGTGTAGATTGCCCTGAGCAAATTTGGTATCGGTGGGACGAAAGCCTTAGGAGGAGATAGCCACATTCCAATGTGTGCGAATCGGCAAAAAATGCAAAATAGCCCTTTAACCGTACATTATACAGATACGCGCTCTTTGACTTTTTCGTAGATCTAATTGAGATACACATGATTGTCAATTTTTGTGTCAATATGACAAAGCGTTCAGGCGTGACACTCAACAATGTGTATTTTTATGTAAGGGGACAAGAAAAAATTGACTTTTTTCTCCTACCATGGGGGGCGCTCTTTTGGGGAGTAAAAATTCCTTCACAAATGTGTTGATGGCTGGACATTGCATCATCCTAGAAAACTTGGAGGCCAGTGAGGACAAAAATAAAAAGTTATAAAACATTTAAGAATGTGGATTTTTGGGTTATTTTTGGCGCCCCCTAGAACCTAAACCATGGGGTGCAGCATCATGATTTGAATAACTTTTAATGGCCATGGGGTGTAGATTGGCCTGAGCAAATGTGGTGCCGGTGGAACGAAAGCCTTCGGAGGAGTTAGCGAAATTCCAATGTGTGCGTATCGGCAAAAAATGCGGAATAACCCTTTAACTGTACATTTGACAGATACGCGCGCATTGACTTTTTTGTAGATCTTATTGAGTTACATGTGTGTGTCAATTTTTGTGTCATTTTGACAAAGCGTATAGGCGTGACACTCAACAATGTGTATTTTCACCTTAGGGGACAAGAAAAAATGGACTTTTTTCTCCTGCCATGGGGGGGCGCTCTTTTGGGGAGTAAAAATTCCTTCACAAATGTGTTGATGGCTGGACATTGCATCATCCTAGAAAACTTGGAGGCCGGTGAGGACAAAAATAAAAAGTTATAAGACTTTTAAATATGTGGATTTTAGTGTTATCTTTGGCGCCCCCTAGAACCTAAACCTTGGGGTGCAGCGTCATGATTTTGATAACTTTTAATGGCCATGGGGTGTAGATTGGCCTGAGCAAATGTGGTGCCGGTGGAACGAAAGCCTTCGGAGGAGTTAGCGAAATTCCAATGTGTGCGGATCGGCAAAAAATGCGAAATAACCCTTTAACCGTAATTTTGACAGATACGGCCGCACTGACTTTTTTGTAGATCTTATTGAGATACATATGTGTTTCAATTTTTGTGTCAATATGATAAAGCGTACAGGCGTGACAGTCAATAGTGTGAATTTCCACCTTAGGGGGCGCTATGGAGCCATTTTGCATTTTATTGTTTGGGCGACTTCAGAATATCGAATTTTTCACCAGGCCCGGTCGTCCTGCCAAATTTCATGAGTTTTCGCCAGTGGGAAGTGGGCCATTTTCCAGTTCAAAGGGGAGGAAAAAGAAGAACTAGGACCCCGTTGGGGCACTGGCGGGCCCGAGCCGTGTCGCGTTTCCCCCCCCCCCCCCCCAACGTGCTGCCTTCCCGTCCCATTTGTGTCCTCTGGCCATCGCCCTCTCTGGTAACGCCCATCACTGCAAAGACCCTTTTCCTTCATCGGCGTTTGCTGTTCTTCCTGCCAGTGCGTGTTGCTTTCACTTACACTTGCCACAGCCAGCCTCGTGAGTGCCTAGCCTATTGGATATCACTGTCACCTACACAGGACAGTCATTACCTTTCTATTAATACTTTGTGTTTTAATTTCACATTAATTTCCATATTGTATAAACGACTGGAAAAAACTTGAGCCCCTGCCCCTGTATAATCATGTGCATGTCTCTGTTCTAGCTCCAAGGTGAATCTTCACTGCTCATGTTCTCCTCAGAAGCACTCACCTCACTCCCCTCAGGTTACTGTACACATGCACCAACTGCCTGCTTCAGGTTTGGATGGAGCTTCATGGTTGTCTTTTGGAGAAATGACCAGTCAAGTTGTGTTTGAAATTTGATTTTTTTCAGGGGCAAAAGGAGCCTCTGCATTCTTGTCAAATATGTAAATAGCATGTTTTTGCAGGTGCTAAAAACCAGACTCTGAGTGTGTGTGTGTGTGTGTGTGTGTGTGTGTGTGTGTGTGTGTGTGTGGTGTGTGTGTGTCTGTGTGTGCGTTCAAGTCACATGACATATTTAACCGGATGTAGCTGCAAGACGGAGCCTCGTTGACTCTCCGTTTCAACTTATCTCAAAAGTGAGGACCTCAACCTATATACCAGTTTTTAAATTGTGTTGATAGGCCAAATAAAACCAGAGTTATGATAAATTATGTTTGCGATACTTTTTTTCTGCTTATTTTGATCACGTTCGGCGCTCGATCGCGCTGTATGAGACAGGAAAACATAGCCATAGACAAGGGGCGGGCGCTTACGTTCTTCCTGCAACATGAGAAGGGAGGGAGGGACTCTCAGCAGGGATGCAGTCTGGGACACGTAGTTGCAAACCTAGCGACTTTGTTGTTAGATTCAATGACTTTTCAGACCCCCTAACGACTTTTTTTTAGAAAGAAAGGGACTTTTATCGACTTCTTCTGGAGTTTAGAGACTCTGACATGAAGCAGGCTTTCCTTACTGAGGAGTTAGCAACGCTGCTAAGGGTGCAGAGCCACACATGCGCTCAGAGCTCTGCATGGGAGACTGAAGCTGACAGAGCTGCAGCAGTTAGCAGGTTTCACCCTCAGAGACCACCAGGGGTTCATGTTGAGGCATTTTAATTTTTTTTTTTTTTTGTGCCATAGACACTGTCAGCACAATCTGCAGTTACACTAACAAAAATGCTGCAAAAAAAGAAGAATTATGGAAAAATTACACATGGACTGACATAGAGGAGGATCTACACAAGTTTTTTACATCATGTTTTACATCATGCATCATTTACATCATGTTTTTTTGTAGTGGCATAAATAAAAAGTGACATTTGTGAGACTATACAGTGTTTTGTAAATAATTTTACAAAGAACGCCTGGGCCATTGCCTGCATTTTGATGTAAATAGAGGTAAATCACTATGTTCTTTGTTAAAAATTTGCATATGTTTTGAAGTTTACAATTTTTATTTGAAGTTTAAGTTTTAAAAACAGTTCATCACACATATTTGTGGTTTTCACAGTAAAAATGTTACTTTTTTCCACTCGGATTTTATGTTTTGTGTGTGAATTTGGGTCCATTGTGTAAATTCAGTATGTCAACATGATAAAATAACTGTAAATTCGCACAGGTTAGGTTGTGCTGAAAAATGATACCAGGCAAGGCACGTGATTGTCAAATTTTGTGTCAATATGACAAAGCGTATAGGCGTGAATCTCAACAATATGTATTTTCACCTTAGGGGACAAGAAAAAATGGACTTTTTTCTCCTGCCATGGGGGGGCGCTCTTTTGGGGAGTAAAAATTCCTTCACAAATGTGTTGATGGCTGGACATTGCATCATCCTAGAAAACTTGGAGGCCAGTGAGGACAAAAATAAAAAGTTATAAGACTTTTAAATATGTGGATTTTAGGGTTATCTTTGGCGCCCCCTAGAACCTAAACCGTGGGGTGCAGCGTCATGATTTGAATAACTTTTAATGGCCATGGGGTGTAGATTGTCCTGAGCAAATGTGGTGCCGGTGGAACGAAAGCCTTAGGAGGAGTTAGCCACATTCCAATGTGTGCGGATCGGCAAAAAATGCGGAATAACCCTTTAACCGTACATTTGACAGATACGCGCGCATTGACTTTTTCGTAGATCTTATTGAGTTACATGTGTGTGTCAATTTTTGTGTCATTTTGACAAAGCGTATAGGCGTGACACTCAACAATGTGTATTTTCACCTTAGGGGACAAGAAAAAATGGACTTTTTTCTCCTGCCATGGGGGGGCGCTCTTTTGGGGAGTAAAAATTCCTTCACAAATGTGTTGATGGCTGGACATTGCATCATCCTAGAAAACTTGGAGGCCAGTGAGGACAAAAATAAAAAGTTATAAGACTTTTAAATATGTGGATTTTAGTGTTATCTTTGGCGCCCCCTAGAACCTAAACCTTGGGGTGCAGCGTCATGATTTTGATAACTTTTAATGGCCACGGGGTGTAGATTGGCCTGAGCAAATGTGGTGCCGGTGGAACGAAAGCCTTCGGAGGAGTTAGCGAAATTCCAATGTGTGCGGATCGGCAAAAAATGCGAAATAACCCTTTGACCGTACATTTGACAGATACGGCCGCACTGACTTTTTTGTAGATCTTATTGAGATACATATGTGTGTCAATTTTTGTGTCAATATGACAAAGCGTACAGGCGTGACAGTCAATAGTGTGAATTTCCACCTTAGGGGGCGCTATGGAGCCATTTTGCATTTTATTGTTTTGGCGACTTCAGAATATCAAATTTTTCACCAGGCCCGGTCGTCCTTCCAAATTTCATGAGTTTTCGCCAGTGGGAAGTGGGCCATTTTCCAGTTCAAAGGGGAGGAAAAAGAAGAAAGAAAGAAAGAACTAGGGCCCCGTTGGGGCACTGGCGGGCCCGAGCAGTGTCGCGCCGCCCCCAGCGCGACCGCCTACCCCTCCCGATCGCGTCACACTCAAGGTCCAAAGATGGTGTGCGCACTTGTCTGTGGTCATTTACCATTATAATGAATGGGAGGCGCAGTTTCTACCAAAACGCTCGCTGCAGACAAACTCCATGTCCTTTTTGAAAAAAGTCTGGACCATGAGTGAGGGCACAAACACAGCTAGTATATATCCAAATGGCAAGTTGCTCCTCCTTTCGGTTTTGCCGAGAGAGCGATGCGTTTGAGCCATTGAGCGATGGGCAGGAAAAACTTGACTTTTTCTCCTGCCATGGGGGGGCGCTCTTTTGGGGAGAAAAAATTCCTTCACAAATGTGTTGATGGCTGGACATTGCATCATCCTAGAAAACTTGGAGGCCAGTGAGGACAAAAATAAAAAGTTATAAGACTTTTAAAAATGTGGATATTTGGGTCCTCTTTGGCGCCCCCTAGAACGTAAACTGTGGGGTGCAGCGTCATGATTTGTACAACTTTGAATGGCCATGGGGTCTAGATTGACCTGAGCAAATTCGAAGCCGATGGGACAAAAGATTTAGGAGGAGTTAGCCACATTCCAATGTGTGCGAATCGGCAAAAAATGCGAAATAGCCCTTTAACCGTACATTGAACAGATACGCTCGCATTGACTTTTCGTAGATCTTATTGAGATACATGTGTGTGTCAAATTTTGTGTCATTTTGACAAAGCGTAAAGGCGTGACAGTCAACAATGTGTATTTTCGCCTTAGGAGACAAGAAAAAATGGACTTTTTTCTCCTGCCATGGGGGGGCGCTGTTTTGGCGAGTAAAAATTCCTTCACAAATGTGTTGATGGCTGGACATTGCATCATCCTAGAGAACTTGGAGGCCAGTGAGGACAAAAATAAAAAGTTATAAGACTTTTAAGACTGTGGATTTTTGGGTTATCTTTGGCGCCCCCTAGAACGTAAACCGTGGGGTGCAGCGTCATGATTTGTACAACTTTTAATGGCCATGGGGTGTAGATTGGCCTGAGCAAATGTGGTGCCTTTGGAACGAAAGCCTTCGGAGGAGTTAGCGAAATTCCAATGTGTGCGGATCGGCAAAAAATGCGAAATAGCCCTTTAACCGTACATTTGACAGATACGCCCGCACTGACTTTTTTGTAGATCTTATTGAGATACATGTGTGTGTCAATTTTTGTGTCAATATGACAAAGCGTAAAGGCGTGACAGTCAATAGTGTGAATTTTCGCCTTAGGAGACAAGAAAAAATGGACTTTTTTCTCCTGCCATGGGGGGGCGCTCTTTTGGCGAGTAAAAATTCCTTCACAAATGTGTTGATGGCTGGACATTGCATCATCCTAGAGAACTTGGAGGCCAGTGAGGACAAAAATAAAAAGTTATAAGCCTTTTAAGACTGTGGATTTTTGGGTTATCTTTGGCGCCCCCTAGAACGTAAACCGTGGGGTGCAGCGTCATGATTTGTACAACTTTTAATGGCCATGGGGTGTAGATTGGCCTGAGCAAATGTGGTGCCGGTGGAAGGAATGCCTTCGGAGGAGTTAGCGAAATTCCAATGTGTGCGGATCGGCAAAAAATGCGAAATAACCCTCTAACCGTACATTTCACAGATGCGCCCGCACTGACTTTTTCGTAGACCGTATTGAGATACACGTGTGTGTCAATTTTTGTGTCAATATGACAAAGCGTACAGGTGTGACAGTCAATAGTGTGAATTTTCACCTTAGGGGGCGCTATGGAGCCATTTTGCATTTTATTGTTTGGGCGACTTCAGAATATCGAATTTTTCACCAGGCCCGGTCATCCTGCCAAATTTCCTGAGTTTTCGCCAGTGGGAAGTGGGCCATTTTCCCCTTCAAAGGGGAGGAAAAATAAGAAGAAAGAAAGAAAGAAAGAAGAAAGAAAAACTCATCAGGAATAATAGGGCTCTACGCCCGGCTGCTCTGCAGCTGGCTCGGGCCCTAACTAGGGCCCCGTGTGGGCACTGGCGGGCCCGAGCCGTGTCGCGCCCCCCCCCCAACGCGCTGCCTCCCCGTCCCATTCGCGTCCTCTGGCCATCGCCCTCTCTGGTAACGCCCATCACTACAAAGACCCTTTTCCTTCATCGGCGTTTGCTGTTCTTCCTGCCAGTGCGTGTTGCTTTCACTTACACTTGCCACAGCCAGCCTCGTGAGTGCCTAGCCTATTGGATATCACTGTCACCTACACAGGACAGTCATTACCTTTCTATTAATACTTTGTTTTTTAATTTCACATTAATTTCCATATTGTATAAACGACTGGAAAAAACTTGAGCCCCTGCCCCTGTATAATCATGTACACGTCCCTGTTCTAGCTCCAAGGTGAATCTTCACTGCTCATGTTCTCCTCAGAAGCAGTCACCTCACTCCCCTCAGGTTACTGTACACATGCACCAACTGCCTGCTTCAGGTTTGGATGGAGCTTCATGGTTGTCTTTTGGAGAAATGAGCAGTCAAGTTGTGTTTGAAATTTGATTTTTTTTCAGGGGCAAAAGGAAGCCTCTGCATTCTTGTCAAATATGTAAATAGCATGTTTTTGCAGGTGCTAAAAACCAGACTCTGAGTGTGCGTGTGTGTGTGTGTCTGTGTGTGTGTGTGTGTGTGTGTGTGTGTGTGTGTGCGTTCAAGTCACATGACATATTTAACCGGATGTAGCTGCAAGACGGTGTGTGTGTGCGTGTGTGTGTGTGTCTGTGTGTGTGTGTGTGTGTGTGTGTGTGTGTGCGTTCAAGTCACATGACATATTTAACCGGATGTAGCTGCAAGACGGAGCCTCGTTGACTCTCCGTTTCAACTAATCTCAAAAGTGAGGACCTCAACCTATATACCAGTTTTTAAATTGTGTTGATAGGCCAAATAAAACCAGAGTTATGATAAATTATGTCCGCGATACTTGTTTTCTGCTTATTTTGATCACGTTCGGCGCTCGATCGCGCTGTATGAGACAGGAAAACATAGCATGCAGACATTAGCGACAGGTCTTACAGGCGGAAAAGGCTTGCCAAAGGAAAAGAAAAAAACACACCACAACATCTCTCCTATTGGTGGAAAACTTCACCACAACAACCAATCCAAAATTATATGGTGACTGATTGACAAGGGGCGGGCGCTTACGTTCTTCCTGCAATATGAGAAGGGAGGGAGGGACTCTCAGCAGGGATGCAGTCTGGGACACGTAGTTGCAAACCTAGCGACTTTGTTGTTAGATTCAATGACTTTTCAGACCCCCTAACGACTTTTTTTTTAGAAAGAAAGTGACTTTTATCGACTTCTGGAGTTTAGAGACTCTGACATGAAGCAGGCTTTCCTTACTGAGGAGTTAGCAACGCTGCTAAGGGTGCAGAGCCACACATGCGCTCCGAGCTCTGCATGGGAGACTGAAGCTGACAGAGCTGCAGCAGTTAGCAGGTTTCACCCTCAGAGACCACCAGGGGTTCATGTTGAGGCATTTTCAGTTTTTTTTTTTTTTTTTGCCATAGACACTGTCAGCACAATCTGCAGTTACACTAACAAAAATGCTGCAAAAAACAAAGAATTATGGAAAAATTACACATGGACTAACATAGAGGAGGATCTACACAAGTTTTTTACATCATGTTTTACATCATGCATCATTTACATCATGTTTTTTTGTAGTGGCATAAATAAAAAGTGACATTTGTGAGACTATACAGTGTTTTGTAAATAATTTTACAAAGAACACCTGGGCCATTGCCTGCATTTTGATGTCAATAGAGGTAAATTACTATGTTCTTTGTTAAAAATTTGCATATGTTTTGAAGTTTACAATTTTTATTTGAAGTTTAAGTTTTAAAAACAGTTCATCACACATATTTGTGGTTTTCACAGTAAAAACGTTACTTTTTTCCACTCGGATTTTATGTTTTGTGTGTGAATTTGGGTCCAATGTGTAAATATAGTATGTCAAAATGATAAAATAACTGTAAATTGACACAGGTGAGGTTGTGCTGAAAAAAATGATACCAGGCAAGGCAAGGTAAAAATTTTGTAAGAGGAAATATAAAGGTAAAATCTAAAGTAGTCAAAAACGGCCAATAGTGACTCACAGACTCCACAGACAAGTCCCTTTGGCGCCACTCAGTGGGCAAAACTACTTTGTCTACTGTAATGTATATTTGGGTCATCTTTGGCGCCCCCTAAAACGTAAACCGTGGGGTGCAGCGTCATGATTTGAATAACTTTTAATGGCCATGGGGTGTAATTTGGCCTGAGCAAATGTGGTGCCGGTGGAACGAAAGCCTTAGGAGGAGTTAGCGAAATTCCAATGTGTGCGAATCGGCAAAAAATGCAAAATAGCCCTTTTACCGTACATTATACAGATACGCGCTCTTTGACTTTTTCGTAGATCTAATTGAGATACACATGATTGTCAATTTTTGTGTCATTTTGCCAAAGCGTACAGGCGTGACAGTCAACAATGTGTATTTTCACCTTAGGGGACAAGAAAAAATTGACTTTTTTCTCCTGCCATGGGGGGGCGCTCTTTTAGGGAGTAAAAATTCCTTCACAAATGTGGTGATGGCTGGACATTGCATCATCCTAGAAAACTTGGAGGCCAGTGAGGACAAAAATAAAAAGTTATAAGACTTTTAAAAATGTGGATTTTTGGGTTATCTTTGGCGCCCCCTAGAACGTAAACCGTGGGATGCAGCGTCATGATTTGAATAACTGTTAATGGCCATGGGGTGTAATTTGGCCTGAGCAAATGTGGTGCCGGTGGAACGAAAGCCTTCGGAGGAGTTAGCGAAATTCCAATGTGTGCGAATCGGCAAAAAATGCGGAATAACCCTTTAACCGTACATTAGACAGATACGCGCACATTGACTTTTTTGTAGATCTTATTGAGATACATGTGTGTGTCAATTTTTGTGTCATTTTGACAAAGCGTACAGGCGTGACACTCAACAATGTGTATTTTCACCTTAGGGGACAAGAAAAAATGGACTTTTTTCTCCTGCCATGGGGGGGCGCTCTTTTGGGGAGTAAAAATTCCTTCACAAATGTGTTGATGGCTGGACATTGCATCATCCTAGAAAATTTGGAGGCCAGTGAGGGCAAAAATAAAAAGTTATAAGACTTTTAAAAATGTGGATTTTAGGGTTATCTTTGGCGCCCCCTAGAACCTAAACCATGGGGTGCAGCGTCATGATTTGAATAACTTTTAATGGCCATGGGGTGTAGATTGGCCTGAGCAAATGTGGTGCCGGTGGAACGAAAGCCTTCGGAGGAGTTAGCGAAATTCCAATGTGTGCGGATCGGCAAAAAATGCAAAATAACCCTTTAACCGTACATTTGACAGATACGCCCGCACTGACTTTTTTGTAGATCTTATTGAGATACATGTGTGTGTCAATTTTTGTGTCATTTTGACAAAGCGTACAGGCGTGACAGTCAATAGTGTGAATTTTCACCTTAGGGGGCGCTATGGAGCCATTTTGCATTTTCTTGTTTGGGCGACTTCGGAATATCAAATTTTTCACCAGGCCCGGTCGTCCTGCCAAATTTCCTGAGTTTTCGCCAGTGGGAAGTGGGCCATTTTCCAGTTCAAAGGGGAGGAAAAAGAAACTAGGGCCCCGTTGGGGCACTGGCGGGCCCGAGCTGTGTCGCCCCCCCCCCCCCCCCAACGCGCTGCCTCCCCGTCCCATTCGCGTCCTCTGGCCATCGTCCTCTCTGGTAACGCCCATCACTGCAAAGACCCTTTTCCTTCATCGGCGTTTGCTGTTCTTCCTGCCAGTGCGTGTTGCTTTCACTTACACTTGCCACAGCCAGCCTCGTGAGTGCCTAGCCTATTGGATATCACTGTCACCTAGAACAGGACAGTCATTACCTTTCTATTAATACTTTGTGTTTTAATTTCACATTAATTTCCATATTGTATAAACGACTGGAAAAAACTTGAGCCCCTGCCCCTGTATAATCATGTGCATGTCTCTGTTCTAGCTCCAAGGTGAATCTTCACTGCTCATGTTCTCCTCAGAAGCACTCACCTCACTCCCCTCAGGTTACTGTACACATGCACCAACTGCCTGCTTCAGGTTTGGATGGAGCTTCATGGTTGTCTTTTGGAGAAATGACCAGTCAAGTTGTGTTTGAAATTTGATTTTTTTCAGGGGCAAAAGGAGCCTCTGCATTCTTGTCAAATATGTAAATAGCATGTTTTTGCAGGTGCTAAAAACCAGACTCTGAGTGTGTGTGTGTGTGTGTGTGTGTGTGTGTGTGTGTGTGTGTGTGTGTGTGTCTATGTGTGCGTTCAAGTCACATGACATATTTAACCGGATGTAGCTGCAAGACGGAGCCTCGTTGACTCTCCGTTTCAACTTATCTCAAAAGTGAGGACCTCAACCTATATACCAGTTTTTAAATTGTGTTGATAGGCCAAATAAAACCAGAGTTATGATAAATTATGTCCGCGATACTTTTTTTCTGCTTATTTTGATCACGTTCGGCGCTCGATCGCGCTGTATGAGACAGGAAAACATAGCATGCAGACATTAGCGACAGGTCTTACAGGCGGAAAAGGCTTGCCAAAAGAAAAAAAAAACACACCACAACATCTCTCCTATTGGTGGAAAACTTCACCACAACAACCAATCCAAAATTATATGGTGACTGATTGACAAGGGGCGGGCGCTTACGTTCTTCCTGCAACATGAGAAGGGAGGGAGGGACTCTCAGCAGGGATGCAGTCTGGGACACGTAGTTGCAAACCTAGCGACTTTGTTGTTAGATTCAATTACTTTTCAGACACCCTAACGACTTTTTTTAGAAAGAAAGGGACTTTTATCGACTTCTTCTGGAGTTTAGAGACTCTGACATGAAGCAGGCTTTCCTTACTGAGGAGTTAGCAACGCTGCTAAGAGTGCAGAGCCACACATGCGCTCAGAGCTCTGCATGGGAGACTGAAGCTGACAGAGCTGCAGCAGTTAGCAGGTTTCACCCTCAGAGACCACCAGGGGTTCATGTTGAGGCATTTTAATTTTTTTTTTTGTGCCATAGACACTGTCAGCACAATCTGCAGTTACACTAACAAAAATGCTGCAAAAAACAAAGAATTATGGAAAAATTACACATGGACTGACATAGAGGAGGATCTACACAAGTTTTTTACATCATGTTTTACATCATGCATCATTTACATCATGTTTTTTTGTAGTGGCATAAATAAAAAGTGACATTTGTGAGACTATACAGTGTTTTGTAAATAATTTTACAAAGAACGCCTGGGCCATTGCCTGCATTTTGATGTAAATAGAGGTAAATTACTATGTTCTTTGTTAAAAATTTGCATATGTTTTGAAGTTTACAATTTTTATTTGAAGTTTAAGTTTTAAAAACAGTTCATCACACATATTTGTGGTTTAATTTCACATTAATTTCCATATTGTATAAATGACTGGAAAAAACTTGAGCCCCTGCCCCTGTATAATCATGTGCACGTCCCTGTTCTAGCTCCAAGGTGAATCTTCACTGCTCATGTTCTCCTCAGAAATAGTCACCTCACTCCCCTCAGGTTACTGTACACATGCACCAACTATCTGCTTCAGGTTTGAAATGGAGCTTCATGGTTGTCTTTTGGAAAAATGAACAGTCAAGTTGTGTTTGAAATTTGATTTTTTTCAGGGGCAAAAGGAAGCCTCTGCATTCTTGTCAAATATGTAAACAGCATGTTTTTGCAGGTGCTAAAAAACAGACTCTGAGTGTGTGTCTGTGTGTGTGTGTGTGTGTGTGTGTGTGTGTGTGTGTGTGTGTATGTTGGCATGTGTGTATATGTGTGTGTATCCTGCAGTACTCTGTACTCCTGCAGTGGCCAAAAAGACTTTTAAGAATGTGGATTTTTGGGTCATCTTTGGCGCCCCCTAGAACTGCAGTACTCTGTACTCCTGCAGTGGCCAAAATGACTTTTAAGAATGTGGATTTTTGGGTCATCTTTGGCGCCCCCTAGAACGTAAACCGTGGGGTGCAGCGTCATGATTTTTACAACTTTGAATGGGCATGGGGTGTAGATTGCCCTGAGCAAATTTGGTATCGGTGGGACGAAAGCCTTAGGAGGAGATAGCCACATTCCAATGTGTGCGAATCGGCAAAAAATGCAAAATAGCCCTTTAACCGTACATTATACAGATACGCGCTCTTTGACTTTTTCGTAGATCTAATTGAGATACACATGATTGTCAATTTTTGTGTCAATATGACAAAGCGTTCAGGCGTGACACTCAACAATGTGTATTTTTATGAAAGGGGACAAGAAAAAATTGACTTTTTTCTCCTACCATGGGGGGGCGCTCTTTTGGGGAGTAAAAATTCCTTCACAAATGTGTTGATGGCTGGACATTGCATCATCCTAGAAAACTTGGAGGCCAGTGAGGACAAAAATAAAAAGTTATAAAACATTTAAGAATGTGGATTTTTGGGTTATTTTTGGCGCCCCCTAGAACCTAAACCATGGGGTGCAGCATCATGATTTGAATAACTTTTAATGGCAATGGGGTGTACATTGGCCTGAGCAAATGTGGTGCCGGTGGAACGAAAGCCTTCGGAGGAGTTAGCGTAATTCCAATGTGTGCGTATCGGCAAAAAATGCGGAATAACCCTTTAACTGTACATTTGATAGATACGCGCGCATGGACTTTTTTGTAGATCTTATTGAGTTACATGTGTGTGTCAATTTTTGTGTCATTTTGACAAAGCGTATAGGCGTGACACTCAACAATGTGTATTTTCACCTTAGGGGACAAGAAAAAATGGACTTTTTTCTCCTGCCATGGGGGGGCGCTCTTTTGGGGAGTAAAAATTCCTTCACAAATGTGTTGATGGCTGGACATTGCATCATCCTAGAAAACTTGGAGGCCAGTGAGGACAAAAATAAAAAGTTATAAGACTTTTAAATATGTGGATTTTAGTGTTATCTTTGGCGCCCCCTAGAACCTAAACCTTGGGGTGCAGCGTCATGATTTTGATAACTTTTAATGGCCACGGGGTGTAGATTGGCCTGATCAAATGTGGTGCCGGTGGAACGAAAGCCTTCGGAGGAGTTAGCGAAATTCCAATGTGTGCGGATCGGCAAAAAATGCGAAATAACCCTTTAACCGTAATTTTGACAGATACGGCCGCACTGACTTTTTTGTAGATCTTATTGAGATACATATGTGTGTCAATTTTTGTGTCAATATGACAAAGCGTACAGGCGTGACAGTCAATAGTGTGAATTTCCACCTTAGGGGGCGCTATGGAGCCATTTTGCATTTTATTGTTTGGGCGACTTCAGAATATCGAATTTTTCACCAGGCCCGGTCGTCCTGCCAAATTTCATGAGTTTTCGCCAGTGGGAAGTGGGCCATTTTCCAGTTCAAAGGGGAGGAAAAAGAAGAAAGAAAGAAAGAACTAGGACCCCGTTGGGGCACTGGCGGGCCCGAGCCGTGTCGCGTCCCCCCCCCCCCCCCCAACGTGCTGCCTTCCCGTCCCATTTGTGTCCTCTGGCCATCGCCCTCTCTGGTAACGCCCATCACTGCAAAGACCCTTTTCCTTCATCGGCGTTTGCTGTTCTTCCTGCCAGTGCGTGTTGCTTTCACTTACACTTGCCACAGCCAGCCTCGTGAGTGCCTAGCCTATTGGATATCACTGTCACCTACACAGGACAGTCATTACCTTTCTATTAATACTTTGTGTTTTAATTTCACATTAATTTCCATATTGTATAAACGACTGGAAAAAACTTGAGCCCCTGCCCCTGTATAATCATGTGCATGTCTCTGTTCTAGCTCCAAGGTGAATCTTCACTGCTCATGTTCTCCTCAGAAGCACTCACCTCACTCCCCTCAGGTTACTGTACACATGCACCAACTGCCTGCTTCAGGTTTGGATGGAGCTTCATGGTTGTCTTTTGGAGAAATGAGCAGTCAAGTTGTGTTTGAAATTTCATTTTTTTCAGGGGCAAAAGGAAGTCTCTGCATTCTTGTCAAATATGTAAATAGCATGTTTTTGCAGGTGCTAAAAACCAGACTCTGAGTGTGTGTGTGTGTGTGTGTGTGTGTGTGTGTGTGTGTGTGTGTGCGTGTGTGTGTGTCTGTGTGTGCGTTCAAGTCACATGACATATTTAACCGGATGTAGCTGCAAGACGGAGCCTCGTTGACTCTCCGTTTCAACTTATCTCAAAAGTGAGGACCTCAACCTATATACCAGTTTTTAAATTGTGTTGATAGGCCAAATAAAACCAGAGTTATGATAAATTATGTCCGCGATACTTTTTTTCTGCTTATTTTGATCACGTTCGGCGCTCGATCGCGCTGTATGAGACAGGAAAACATAGCATGCAGACATTAGCGACAGGTCTTACAGGCGGAAAAGGCTTGCCAAAAGAAAAAAAAAACACACCACAACATCTCTCCTATTGGTGGAAAACTTCACCACAACAACCAATCCAAAATTATATGGTGACTGATTGACAAGGGGCGGGCGCTTACGTTCTTCCTGCAACATGAGAAGGGAGGGAGGGACTCTCAGCAGGGATGCAGTCTGGGACACGTAGTTGCAAACCTAGCGACTTTGTTGTTAGATTCAATGACTTTTCAGACCCCCTAACGACTTTTTTTTAGAAAGAAAGGGACTTTTATCGACTTCTTCTGGAGTTTAGAGACTCTGACATGAAGCAGGCTTTCCTTACTGAGGAGTTAGCAACGCTGCTAAGGGTGCAGAGCCACACATGCGCTCAGAGCTCTGCATGGGAGACTGAAGCTGACAGAGCTGCAGCAGTTAGCAGGTTTCACCCTCAGAGACCACCAGGGGTTCATGTTGAGGCATTTTAATTTTTTTTTTTTTTTGTGCCATAGACACTGTCAGCACAATCTGCAGTTACACTAACAAAAATGCTGCAAAAAACAAAGAATTATGGAAAAATTACACATGGACTGACATAGAGGAGGATCTACACAAGTTTTTTACATCATGTTTTACATCATGCATCATTTACATCATGTTTTTTTGTAGTGGCATAAATAAAAAGTGACATTTGTGAGACTATACAGTGTTTTGTAAATAATTTTACAAAGAACGCCTGGGCCATTGCCTGCATTTTGATGTAAATAGAGGTAAATTACTATGTTCTTTGTTAAAAATTTGCATATGTTTTGAAGTTTACAATTTTTATTTGAAGTTTAAGTTTTAAAAACAGTTCATCACACATATTTGTGGTTTAATTTCACATTAATTTCCATATTGTATAAATGACTGGAAAAAACTTGAGCCCCTGCCCCTGTATAATCATGTGCACGTCCCTGTTCTAGCTCCAAGGTGAATCTTCACTGCTCATGTTCTCCTCAGAAATAGTCACCTCACTCCCCTCAGGTTACTGTACACATGCACCAACTATCTGCTTCAGGTTTGAAATGGAGCTTCATGGTTGTCTTTTGGAGAAATGAACAGTCAAGTTGTGTTTGAAATTTGATTTTTTTCAGGGGCAAAAGGAAGCCTCTGCATTCTTGTCAAATATGTAAACAGCATGTTTTTGCAGGTGCTAAAAAACAGACTCTGAGTGTGTGTGTGTGTCTGTGTGTGTGTGTGTGTGTGTGTGTGTGTGTGTGTATGTTGGCGTGTGTGTATATGTGTGTGTATCCTGCAGTACTCTGTACTCCTGCAGTGGCCAAAAAGACTTTTAAGAATGTGGATTTTTGGGTCATCTTTGGCGCCCCCTAGAACTGCAGTACTCTGTACTCCTGCAGTGGCCAAAATGACTTTTAAGAATGTGGATTTTTGGGTCATCTTTGGCGCCCCCTAGAACGTAAACCGTGGGGTGCAGCGTCATGATTTTTACAACTTTGAATGGGCATGGGGTGTAGATTGCCCTGAGCAAATTTGGTGTCAGTGGGATGAAAGCCTTAGGAGGAGTTAGCCACATTCCAATGTGTGCGGATCGGCAAAAAATGCAAAATAGCCCTTTAACCATACATTATACAGATACGCGCTCTTTGACTTTTTCGTAGATCTAATTGAGATACACATGATTGTAAATTTTTGTGTCAATATGACAAACCGTTCAGGCGTGACACTCAACAATGTGTATTTTTATGTAAGGGGACAAGAAAAAATTGACTTTTTTCTCCTACCATGGGGGGCGCTCTTTTGGGGAGTAAAAATTCCTTCACAAATGTGTTGATGGCTGGACATTGCATCATCCTAGAAAACTTGGAGGCCAGTGAGGACAAAAATAAAAAGTTATAAAACATTTAAGAATGTGGATTTTTGGGTTATTTTTGGCGCCCCCTAGAACCTAAACCATGGGGTGCAGCATCATGATTTGAATAACTTTTAATGGCCATGGGGTGTAGATTGGCCTGAGCAAATGTGGTGCCGGTGGAACGAAAGCCTTCGGAGGAGTTAGCGAAATTCCAATGTGTGCGTATCGGCAAAAAATGCGGAATAACCCTTTAACTGTACATTTGACAGATACGCGCGCATGGACTTTTTTGTAGATCTTATTGAGTTACATGTGTGTGTCAATTTTTGTGTCATTTTGACAAAGCGTATAGGCGTGACACTCAACAATGTGTATTTTCACCTTAGGGGACAAGAAAAAATGGACTTTTTTCTCCTGCCATGGGGGGGCGCTCTTTTGGGGAGTAAAAATTCCTTCACAAATGTGTTGATGGCTGGACATTGCATCATCCTAGAAAACTTGGAGGCCAGTGAGGACAAAAATAAAAAGTTATAAGACTTTTAAATATGTGGATTTTAGTGTTATCTTTGGCGCCCCCTAGAACCTAAACCTTGGGGTGCAGCGTCATGATTTTGATAACTTTTAATGGCCACGGGGTGTAGATTGGCCTGAGCAAATGTGGTGCCGGTGGAACGAAAGCCTTCGGAGGAGTTAGCGAAATTCCAATGTGTGCGGATCGGCAAAAAATGCGAAATAACCCTTTAACCGTAATTTTGACAGATACGGCCGCACTGACTTTTTTGTAGATCTTATTGAGATACATGTGTGTGTCAATTTTTGTGTCAATATGACAAAGCGTACAGGCGTGACAGTCAATAGTGTGAATTTCCACCTTAGGGGGCGCTATGGAGCCATTTTGCATTTTATTGTTTTGGCGACTTCAGAATATCGAATTTTTCACCAGGCCCGGTCGTCCTGCCAAATTTCATGAGTTTTCGCCAGTGGGAAGTGGGCCATTTTCCAGTTCAAAGGGGAGGAAAAAGAAAAAAGAAAGAAAGAAACAAAGAAAAACCACTTGGGGAATAATAGGGCCTACGCCCGGCTGCTCTGCAGCTGGCTCGGGCCCTAAAGAAAGAAAGAAAGAAAGAAACAAAGAAAAACCACTTGGGGAATAATAGGGCCTACGCCCGGCTGCTCTGCAGCTGGCTCGGGCCCTAAAAAGAAACAAAGAAAAACCACTTGGGGAATAATAGGGCTCTCGCAGCTGCTTAGCAGCTACGCTCGGGCCCTAACTAGGACCCCGTTGGGGCACTGGCGGGCCCGAGCCGTGTCGCGTCCCCCCCCCAACGTGCTGCCTCCCCGTCCCATTTGTGTCCTCTGGCCATCGCCCTCTCTGGTAACGCCCATCACTGCAAAGACCCTTTTCCTTCATCGGCGTTTGCTGTTCTTCCTGCCAGTGCGTGTTGCTTTCACTTACACTTGCCACAGCCAGCCTCGTGAGTGCCTAGCCTATTGGATATCACTGTCACCTACACAGGACAGTCATTACCTTTCTATTAATACTTTGTGTTTTAATTTCACATTAATTTCCATATTGTATAAACGACTGGAAAAAACTTGAGCCCCTGCCCCTGTATAATCATGTGCATGTCTCTGTTCTAGCTCCAAGGTGAATCTTCACTGCTCATGTTCTCCTCAGAAGCACTCACCTCACTCCCCTCAGGTTACTGTACACATGCACCAACTGCCTGCTTCAGGTTTGGATGGAGCTTCATGGTTGTCTTTTGGAGAAATGAGCAGTCAAGTTGTGTTTGAAATTTGATTTTTTTCAGGGGCAAAAGGAGCCTCTGCATTCTTGTCAAATATGTAAATAGCATGTTTTTGCAGGTGCTAAAAACCAGACTCTGAGTGTGTGTGTGTGTGTGTGTGTGAGTGTGTGTGTGTGTGTGTGTGTGCGTGTCTGTGTGTGCGTTCAAGTCACATGACATATTTAACCGGATGTAGCTGCAAGACGGAGCCTTGTTGACTCTCCGTTTCAACTTATCTCAAAAGTGAGGACCTCAACCTATATACCAGTTTTTAAATTGTGTTGATAGGCCAAATAAAACCAGAGTTATGATAAATTATGTCCGCGATACTTGTTTTCTGCTTATTTTGATCACGTTCGGCGCTCGATCGCGCTGTATGAGACAGGAAAACATAGCATGAAGACATTAGCGACAGGTCTTACAGGCGGAAAAGGCTTGCCAAAAGAAAAAAAAAAACACACCACAACATCTCTCCTATTGGTGGAAAACTTCACCACAACAACCAATCCAAAATTATATGGTGACTGATTGACAAGGGGCGGGCGCTTACGTTCTTCCTGCAACATGAGAAGGGAGGGAGGGACTCTCAGCAGGGATGCAGTCTGGGACACGTAGTTGCAAACCTAGCGACTTTGTTGTTAGACTCAATGACTTTTCAGACCCCCTAACGACTTTTTTTTAGAAAGAAAGGGACTTTTATCGACTTCTTCTGGAGTTTAGAGACTCTGACATGAAGCAGGCTTTCCTTACTGAGGAGTTAGCAACGCTGCTAAGGGTGCAGAGCCACACATGCGCTCAGAGCTCTGCATGGGAGACTGAAGCTGACAGAGCTGCAGCAGTTAGCAGGTTTCACCCTCAGAGACCACCAGGGGTTCATGTTGAGGCATTTTAATTTTTTTTTTTTTGTGCCATAGACACTGTCAGCACAATCTGCAGTTACACTAACAAAAATGCTGCAAAAAACAAAGAATTATGGAAAAATTACACATGGACTGACATAGAGGAGGATCTACACAAGTTTTTTACATCATGTTTTACATCATGCATCATTTACATCATGTTTTTTTGTAGTGGCATAAATAAAAAGTGACATTTGTGAGACTATACTGTAGTGATTTGAAATGAGCCTCATACGGTCGCACCAAAATATATGTAGCGATTTGAAATGAGCCTCACAAGGCCGCACCAAAATAATACTTGGCGATTGGAATTTATAATAAATGTCTGAAGATTAATAATCTCAAATTATGACATTTATGCACTCGTTGAAAGGGGCACCACCCACCCTTAATGGTGGGAAAATAAAGAAAACAAAAGTTTAATTCAGAAATCAAACATCAAGTCAGTTTTAATTAATCAGTCTTAATTAATCAGTCTTAATTAATCAGTCTCATATCTTAAGTCGAAATTCTAATTTCAGGGACTCCACTTCTGGAAGAACACTAACAGACAGGAACTTAGAAAAATAATGATCTGTTTATTACAGGATAAATGATGGTACAACACACATGCAATAAATGATAAGATGATGAAGATAAATAATAATAGGTGAATAAATAAAGATTCTGAGTCAGGCTAGGAGCACTAAAGTTAATGATAGTGAGTGAATATGCGCTAACATATTAACCTACACTAACTTTGGTGTCGAGATAAACTCGGATGTGGATTTGGAGGAATCTAAGATCACCAGAAATAAGAGGATATCTGAGTTGAACGCAGGAGACAGCACCAGCCCTCTTTAGAGCTCTGGAGGTTTGCATACTTAAGTGAGACTGGTCCTTGGAGAAGATGGAGCAGGTTCCGAAGGTCCGGGCTACTGGCGGTTCGAGCGGTTCAGCTCAGAAGATGACTGAAGTCAGCCGAAGGATGAGCCAGGAGTTGCAGCACTCGGGTCCGAAGCAAAGCCAGCGCCTGTGGATCCTGTGGATGCTCGTTTGGGTACTTCTTTGGTCTCACTTAAAACTCTGGTACAGAGGATGACCTGGGCCTGCTGGGTTGCGTTCAGAGGTGACTTTGAATCACGCAGAAAACTCAGAAAAACGAGACTCGAGCAGAGAAAACTTTCAAAAATGGCTTCGCGAAATTAAAGAAAAATCAATCAAAGGCTTAATCTTGAATTGCTATGCGCACAAAAAGTTGAAGTTTCAAAACTTGAACTAAGACGATGTTAAAGAAAAATCAACGTGAATCAACACGTGGCGTAAAACTTAGAAGACTAAGAAAAAGTTCTAAGAGAAAACAAAGAAACGCACCACAGAAGGGTGTGGACAGAAGAGAAGGGGCATAAGAGCCGGGGACAAGAGAGTCAGCAGAAGAGCAGAAGCATAAGAGGAATAAGAGATAAGAGGAATAAGAGGAAAAAGAGATAAGAGAGCGTAAGAGAGCGTAAGAGAGTGAGCAACCCCACTCCACTGGTTTTATCTTCTCACACTGGGAGTGTCTGAGGAGAAAGAGGAGGGGTCATCGGGTCTCTGATTATTTGATCTAACTTATTCTTTTGGCTGGTAAAAGAGTCAGATCTGATACTCACTCACTATGATTAATATCATTGAATGCTTGGTTTCATGATAAATAATTTGATACTAAACACATATGAATGAAGTGTAGGATCACATCAAACATTCTCATTATGTTTTAAGTATCACATTGAACATGCTAAATTACTCTGAAATGAAACAGATAGTAACACATAGAAACTGTGAACAACAAAAGAGTAAACACATGTGAATGAACGTCATCATGATTAATAATGGATTCTAAATACTCACATTCAGATTATTCAGTGACATTATAACCACCTAATGGTTAAGATACTAAATAAATAACTAAAATATAAACCAAACATTTCTAAACTATTTCTGTTACTTAGAGTAAACTTAGGATTCATAGTCAATAAATTTAACTCTTAAAAGTTCATGAAACAGTCTGAAAAGCTGTTGGTCTAAAGAACAAAAGAATAAGGATTTATTCTGTCAGATAAGATAACTTGGCTTCTGAAGCACATAGAAAAACGGGAAACATCTCATTTTAACACAAATTTCATGATTAGACAGATTAGTACATTGCTGAATGCATAAGATGTCATGATCAGTCATTTGTATTCTTTCACCAAAGGAATGCAGTCTTTATCAGTGTATGGTCGAGCAGGGTTTTACGACCGAGGTCTGGAGGTCAGTGTCCCCCCTTATCCTGGGGTCCGTATGTTCACACACTTTAAGACGCTTAATCTCAAATGGGAGATCTGGGTTAAGGTTAATGTTTATTTAGATGGTCAGCAAATGGAGTCAGTTTGAAAGGTAATAAAAACTCTGTCTCTGTTCGCCGAACTGACCAATCCTGAAGAGTCAGAGGTTTAGTCAACCTCCGGTTGGGTCACTTATTTAACCTGAAAGTGCAAACACGTCTGGAAAGATTTATATCCTGTTTCCTGGGACCAGATAAGGAAACTTTCCTGTAAGGAATGTGTGGGTTTCACATCCAGGGTTGTCTTGATTGCTACAGTCCCCCTTCGTCACGGTGGTCCTGTCCATGGAGCATCGGGACGACGAGTAGACAACCATGAAGCAGCAGCAGCAGCAGGTGTATGCAAATAGGACTGATGCGTCTCGTCATCACTATGTGAATCACTAGTACTGCTTTGAGATAAAATTAAGCATGCATTAAGCTATCAAATAAAATCGTCTAGTTGTTAGACTCTTCTCAGTTAACTATTGGTAGACTAATGTGAAAGAAAATCTCCTAATTTTCAATATTAATGAGACTTAGAAAAGCACTCTTTAGTCTGAATGCTAACTGGATCTAAAGCTATAGCTGTTTTTCATGCTTGCTGGAGAAGTCTGAAAGTTCAATTTCAGTTTCAAAAATGGTTAAGACTTAGGTGGAAAAGAAATGTCTGCTATAGACATATTAACCATCTGTGTATGAGCATAGTCAACCTGAATCACAAACATCAAAAGTTTACTGCACAGAGTTTCTCTTAAACTTTGTCTGTTAAACTTGGGGATGATGCTCTTATCGGTTTGACTAATTATCTGCTATTAAGTCTGAAATTTGTCAATCTGAGTCTTAATGACAGAAATTTCAGGTTTTAATCTGTTCATGGGATATTTGACAGCTGACAAGCTGACTATATTGACAGAGGAGAGACAAATGCTAACAAAGAAAGCAGCAACTGGGATTGCAGTCATCAATGTATCACCACAGCATTTGGATATCTTATTGGAGTCATTTAGCTTTGGCTGGGTGACTTCTGCTTTCGCAGGACTCACACCTTCATGACTCCACAGTGTTAATCTCAGTGGTTAGCTGAGTAGTCATGTTTATTCACCTTCAAAGTGGATGAAACCGATTGAGGTGGATAATAAGATCGTCGTTTCTGAGAGTGTGATTTACTCTGATTCTGCCAGTCATTCACCCCCCTTTGGTGGTGTTGGTGGTTTTTCCTTTGTCTGGGATAAAACCCACCATGACGGGAGTCTGAATAACAACAGTTGGTCTCAAAGTTTACCGGGCATTGGTCTGTGTCAGACCTGGGCCTTGGTGTGTAACTTTGACCTTTGTGAGTGTGTTGAGGTCGAAAAGGTTTTGGAGGCCTGGTTAACCACTCATTTGGAGGCTTACCGGAGCCTGAAAATACACAATCTGAAGCTTCGTTCAGCTCCATGGGCAGTGATTTTGTCTCCATAGCCAACAGAGTAACAGGCTCTGCTTTCTTAGCCAAAGTTTGTCGTTGTTTGGCAAAACCTTTTACAGCAAGTTCACGAAGCTGTCGGCTAGTCAAAGTGTTTGGACAAGCTAAGACGCCAAGGTGATGACTGGTGGTAGGGTGGAGGTTCTGGACGAACAGCGTTTTGAAGTTCAAGTCCTCCTCCATTTCTGGTTCATTTCGGAAACCAAAGTAAGCTTCGCGTAAGCGGTTGTAATACTGTTGGGGAGGTTCTGATCTCCCTTGTTTAATAGACAGAGCAGCAGAGAGGCCTGTCTGGGTCAAATGATCAGAAAACTCTTCAATTAATGCTTGGCAGAGCAAGTCATAATTATTTCTGACATGATAAGGCTGTCTTTCAAGGAAACTGCTAACCTCTCGACTTGACGTTGCTTTAATAAGGTAGATTTTGTCATCAACGGTTGCACCTGGAAATTTCCTCAGGTAAAAGTCAATGTCTTTCAAGTAGGTGCAGGTGTCAGTAGCACCTTGGTGCTCAGGTTCAAAGCGTGCTATGATGCGAGCAATTTTGTCAAGATCCCTGTCTGAGGGAAATGGTAAGAAGCCATCATGAGGAGGAGAGTAGGACTCTTGGTTTAAGGATGACCTCTCAGGGTCAAGCAGGGTCCTGTCATGATGCTGAGAGAGATACTTAAGAGTTGGTTTGGAAGGAAGTGATGGCGCTCTCTCAGGAGGCTGATCACCTATCATTTCTTCAAGAAACGTTTGCTCCATGCGTTCTCTTTGGGCTCGACCTGACTGGAGGGAGCATTGTAACTCTCTTTGGGCATCTTCAAGTTCTTTGTCTGTCTTTTCTTGCCGTTCTTGACAAAGAATTAACTGTCTTTGAGCTATCTGGAGCTGGTGCTGTAAGGTAGAAGTTTGCTTCTCCTTAACTTCAAGAGCTTCAGCACGCACTTTGACCAGTGCTTTCAAAGTTTTTACATCTTCTGTTGCTTGCTCTAGTAGGGATTCTGACTGTATCAGATCCTCTGTGGTCTTAGCAAGCTGCTTATTCGTGTCATCGAGTTCTTTCTCCTTTTTGTAAAGGGTTTCATTAAGTCTTTCAATCTTGTCTTTGAGATCAAGATTTTCTTCATGACTTATCAGTGAGGGAAGCTTTGACGCTTCACATCTGGCACTGTGTTTTTCTAAAACACTTAGAGACTTCTTAGTCTCCTCTAGCGTCTTTTTCAGAGCGCTGTTTTCGTCTTTTTGCGCCTTTATCTTTGCTAAAGCGCATTCCAGCAAGTAGTCTTTATACTCAAGCTGAGAAGACATCATGACAGACATGCATCTAGTGAGCTCTTTGTCACGAAGTGTCGTGGTTAAGGCTGTTTCCAGTAAGTCAGCCATTGCATCCTCCGGATTGGAGGGTTTGGCCTTTTGAATCTTAGTCATGTATTGAGGTATCAACTGACTAGTCAAGTTTGCCAACACTGTGTGTATGTCCCTCAGGGGGTCTCCCTGGCTGGACTCTTTTGTGTTAGGCATGTTTGGTTTTGGTAAAGAGGTGCAGCTGGTTGGTTGATGAGTTTGAGTTGACTTAAAATGAAAGGAAGAAGCAAAATATCAAATTAAGTGGGTTAATCGACTTAATTTATCAGTGCTTGATAAAGAGAAAGAGCCTATCTGAGTAGATCTCTAATGGAGAGAAAAAACCATAAAGTTAAATTCATTTCAATGAAAATTGAAAAAAGTGAAATGATGTTAAATTAAATTTAACATCAGATACAGAACCATTGAATAAAGGGTTCAATTTGTCTCTGTGTTGCAGAGATCAGCAAAGCTTAAATAAACTGCCTGCTGCAGTTGGATGAATTTGAAAAATCAATGAAATTGTCAATTAAGGAATTAACTCTGAAATTAATTCACAAATCGCAATAAAGCCAAAGATTCAACTACCCAATTCATCTGAAATGTTAAAAGAAATTTCAAGTATTAATTAATTTGTTCATTAATTAATTAATCTTATGAGGAGGGTTAATACATTCATGTATTATAGGGAACAGTAAAACTGCTCAATGGTGTGATAAGTAACAACAAGATCAGGTGATTGATTCAAGGAGTTACTTCATCAATACCTTACGGAGGCTCTTATAACAAAGATTAAAATCAAAAATCAATGATCAATGATTTAGAATAAGCACATCAAACTTCATCAACCAAGTCAATCACTTGAGTTATGTCTGTAGAGTGTTACACACTGACTACAGAGAGGCAGTACAGCTAGCTGATACTGCAGACAGATAATAGCAGTGTTAGCTCAATACCAAAAGCAACCATGTGGGGCAGTATGGAGTTGGGGTAACTGCACAAGCTCAACACAAGTGGAGAAGAAGAAGAAACTAGGGCCCCGTTGGGGCACTGGCGGGCCCGAGCTGTGTTGCGCCCCCCCCCCCCCCCAACGCGCTGCCTCCCCGTCCCATTCGCGTCCTCTGGCCATCGTCCTCTCTGGTAACGCCCATCACTGCAAAGACCCTTTTCCTTCATCGGCGTTTGCTGTTCTTCCTGCCAGTGCGTGTGGCTTTCACTTGCACTTGCCACAGCCAGCCTCGTGAGTGCCTAGCCTATTGGATATCACTGTCACCTACACAGGACAGTCATTACCTTTCTATTAATACTTTGTTTTTTAATTTCACATTAATTTCCATATTGTCTAAACGACTGGAAAAAACTTGAGCCCCTGCCCCTGTATAATCATGTGCACGTCCCTGTTCTAGCTCCAAGGTGAATCTTGACTGCTCATGTTCTCCTCAGAAGCAGTCACCTCACTCCCCTCAGGTTACTGTACACATGCACCAACTGCCTGCTTCAGGTTTGGATGGAGCTTCATGGTTGTCTTTTGGAGAAATGAGCAGTCAAGTTGTGTTTGAAATTTCATTTTTTTCAGGGGCAAAAGGAAGTCTCTGCATTGTTGTCAAATATGTAAATAGCATGTTTTTGCAGGTGCTGAAAAACAGACTCTGAGTGTGTATGTGTGTGTGTGTGTGTGTGTGTGTGTGTGTGTGTGTGTGTGTGTGTGTGTGTGTGTGTGTGTGTGTGTGTGTGTGTGTGTGTGTGTGTGTGTGTGTGTGTGTGTATCCTGCAGTACTCTGTACTCCTGCAGTGGCCAAAACGACTTTTAAGAATGTGGATATTTGGGTCATCTTTGGCGCCCCCTAGAACGTAAACCATGGGGTGCAGCGGCATGATTTTTACAACTTTGAATGGGCATGGGGTGTAGATTGCCCTGAGCAAATTTGGTATCGGTGGGACGAAAGCCTTAGGAGGAGATAGCCACATTCCAATGTGTGCTAATCGGCAAAAAATGCGAAATAGCCCTTTAACCGTACATTATACAGATACGCGTTTTTTGACTTTTTCGTAGATCTAATTGAGATACACATGATTGTCAATTTTTGTGTCAATATGACAAAGCGTTCAGGCGTGACACTCAACAATGTGTATTTTCATGTAAGGGGACAAGAAAAAATGGACTTTTTTCTCCTGCCATGGGGGGGCGCTCTTTTGGGGAGTAAAAATTCCTTCACAAATGTGTTGATGGCTGGACATTGCATCATCCTAGAAAACTTGGAGGGCAGTGAGGACAAAAATAAAAAGTTATAAGACTTTTAAGAATGTGGATTTTGGGTTATCTTTGGCGCCCCCTAGAACGTAAACCGTGGGGTGCAGCGTCATGATTTGTACAACTTTTAATGGCCATGGGGGGTAGATTGGCCTGCGCAAATGTGGTGCCGGTCGAACGAAAGCCTTCGGAGGAGTTAGCGAAATTCCAATGTGTGCAGATCTGCAAAAAATGCAAAATAACCCATTAACCGTACATTTGACAGATACGCCCGCACTGACTTTTTTGTAGATCTTATTGAGATACATGTGTGTGTCAATTTTTGTGTCAATATGACAAAGCGTACAGCCGTCATGTGAATTTTCACCTTAGGGGGCGCTATGGAGCCATTTTGCATTTTATTGTTTGGGCGACTTCAGAATATCGAATTTTTCACCAGGCCCGGTCGTCCTGCCAAATTTCCTGAGTTTTCGCCAGTGGGAAGTGGGCCATTTTCCAGTTTAAAGCGGAGGAAAAATAATAACGAAAGAAGGAAACATGCAGGAACAAGAGGGCTCTCGCAGCTGCTTAGCAGCTACGCTCGGGCCCTAATTGACTTTTTTCTCCTGCCATGGGGGGGCGCTCTTTTGGGGAGTAAAAATTCCTTCACAAATGTGTTGATGGCTGGACATTGCATCATCCTAGAAAACTTGGAGGGCAGTGAGGACAAAAATAAAAAGTTATAAGACTTTTAAGAATGTGGATTTTGGGTTATCTTTGGCGCCCCCTAGAACGTAAACCGTGGGGTGCAGCGTCATGATTTGTACAACTTTTAATGGCCATGGGGGGTAGATTGGCCTGCGCAAATGTGGTGCCGGTCGAACGAAAGCCTTCGGAGGAGTTAGCGAAATTCCAATGTGTGCAGATCTGCAAAAAATGCAAAATAACCCATTAACCGTACATTTGACAGATACGCCCGCACTGACTTTTTTGTAGATCTTATTGAGATACATGTGTGTGTCAATTTTTGTGTCAATATGACAAAGCGTACAGCCGTCATGTGAATTTTCACCTTAGGGGGCGCTATGGAGCCATTTTGCATTTTATTGTTTGGGCGACTTCAGAATATCGAATTTTTCACCAGGCCCGGTCGTCCTGCCAAATTTCCTGAGTTTTCGCCAGTGGGAAGTGGGCCATTTTCCAGTTTAAAGCGGAGGAAAAATAATAACGAAAGAAGGAAACATGCAGGAACAAGAGGGCTCTCGCAGCTGCTTAGCAGCTACGCTCGGGCCCTAAATACTAGGGCCCCGTTGGGGCACTGGCGGGCCCGAGCTGTGTCGCGTCCCCCCCCCCAACGCGCTGCCTCCCCGTCCCATTTGTGTCCTCTGGCCATCGCCCTCTCTGGTAACGCCCATCACTGCAAAGACCCTTTTCCTTCATCGGCGTTTGCTGTTCTTCCTGCCAGTGCGTGTTGCTTTCACTTACACTTGCCACAGCCAGCCTCGTGAGTGCCTAGCCTATTGGATATCACTGTCACCTACACAGGACAGTCATTACCTTTCTATTAATACTTTGTTTTTTAATTTCACATTAATTTCCATATTGTCTAAACGACTGGAAAAAACTTGAGCCCCTGCCCCTGTATAATCATGTGCACGTCCCTGTTCTAGCTCCAAGGTGAATCTTGACTGCTCATGTTCTCCTCAGAAGCAGTCACCTCACTCCCCTCAGGTTACTGTACACATGCACCAACTGCCTGCTTCAGGTTTGGATGGAGCTTCATGGTTGTCTTTTGGAGAAATGAGCAGTCAAGTTGTGTTTGAAATTTCATTTTTTTCAGGGGCAAAAGGAAGTCTCTGCATTGTTGTCAAATATGTAAATAGCATGTTTTTGCAGGTGCTGAAAAACAGACTCTGAGTGTGTATGTGTGTGTGTGTGTGTGTGTGTGTGTGTGTGTGTGTGTGTGTTTGTGTGTGTGCGTGTGTGTGTGTGTCCGTGTGTGTGTGTGTCTGTGTGTGTGTGTGTCTGTGTGTGTGTATCCTGCAGTACTCTGTACTCCTGCAGTGGCCAAAACGACTTTTAAGAATGTGGATATTTGGGTCATCTTTGGCGCCCCCTAGAACGTAAACCATGGGGTGCAGCGGCATGATTTTTACAACTTTGAATGGGCATGGGGTGTAGATTGCCCTGAGCAAATTTGGTATCGGTGGGACGAAAGCCTTAGGAGGAGATAGCCACATTCCAATGTGTGCTAATCGGCAAAAAATGCGAAATAGCCCTTTAACCGTACATTATACAGATACGCGCTTTTTGACTTTTTCGTAGATCTAATTGAGATACACATGATTGTCAATTTTTGTGTCAATATGACAAAGCGTTCAGGCGTGACACTCAACAATGTGTATTTTCATGTAAGGGGACAAGAAAAAATTGACTTTTTTCTCCTGCCATGGGGGGGCGCTCTTTTGGGGAGTAAAAATTCCTTCACAAATGTGTTGATGGCTGGACATTGCATCATCCTAGAAAACTTGGAGGGCAGTGAGGACAAAAATAAAAAGTTATAAGACTTTTAAGAATGTGGATTTTGGGTTATCTTTGGCGCCCCCTAGAACGTAAACCGTGGGGTGCAGCGTCATGATTTGTACAACTTTTAATGGCCATGGGGGGTAGATTGGCCTGTGCAAATGTGGTGCCGGTCGAACGAAAGCCTTCGGAGGAGTTAGCGAAATTCCAATGTGTGCAGATCTGCAAAAAATGCAAAATAACCCATTAACCGTACATTTGACAGATACGCCCGCACTGACTTTTTTGTAGATCTTATTGAGATACACGTGTGTGTCAATTTTTGTGTCAATATGACAAAGCGTACAGCCGTCATGTGAATTTTCACCTTAGGGGGCGCTATGGAGCCATTTTGCATTTTATTGTTTGGGCGACTTCAGAATATCGAATTTTTCACCAGGCCCGGTCGTCCTGCCAAATTTCCTGAGTTTTCGCCAGTGGGAAGTGGGCCATTTTCCAGTTTAAAGCGGAGGAAAAATAATAACGAAAGAAGGAAACATGCAGGAACAAGAGGGCTCTCGCAGCTGCTTAGCAGCTACGCTCGGGCCCTAAAGAGGAAACAGTCATCCAACTAGCCTCTTGTGGCTGTGTGAAGTTGGGAAGTATGCAGGAAGGGGCCTTTAGGCTCTGCCTCCTTGAAGGGCCTTATCTGCTTAAGGTCAAATGGTCAGTCTCTCCACTGACAACAAAGGGTTAACATTTCACAGCAGGCTGCATCTGCACCCTCAAACATAGAACTTTCCACCATCTGCTCAGGCAGATTGGTTCAATAAAATCATTTACAGGAACAAGAATCAAAGTGGCAAATCCCTCAACAGCAGATTCAACTGCAGACTTAAAAATCACAAATGCGGCGATTTGTGATCACAAATTTTATCTGAATTCATTCAAACAACAACCTCCCACTGTTACAGTGGTTTCCTGTGACAGTTAGCTTATCTGTCAGGGGAAAGGAGGAAATCTAAATCCCATATAGTTACTAGAACTTCATAGCAGACTATAGTGACAAGAATCAAAGTGACAAATCCCTCAACAGCAGATTCAACTGCAGACTTTAAAATCACAAATGCGGCGATTTGTGAACACAAATTTTGTCTGAATTCAATCAAACAACAACCTCCCACTGTTACAGTGGTTTCCTGTGACAGGTAGCTAATCTGTCAGGGGAAAGGAGGAAATCTGAATCCCATATAGTTACTAGAAACTCGTAGCAGACTACAGAGACTTCAGGGGCTTGAAACCACAGCTCGGAGCATCGCGAACACTGGGTTCAGCCAAAGGCCTTAAATACAAGCGTACGGCGACGCAACAATCGTGCACTTAAATATTGGACAGTCTAGACAGAGCAGAAGAGTCAGTCTCACTGCTACTCAGAACAACATTTCACGCTGTCCAGCTCAAACACAGACTACAGGCATGTAGTACAAAAGTGTGTGAAACACAGAGCATAAAGGTTTTATGCATAGATCAGGAAAACATCAGAACTTAGTCAAGCAACTTCAGCAAGCATAGCATTGATTGTGATTAAGTCTAAAATAGCCTGGAAATAAGTTTCTCGCATCAATTTGGAAGGCTAAGTTTTAGGTTGTCTGTTAGTATCCAGAAGTTTTGTTTGAAACGCCTCACGCAGGGGCTCCAAAATATATGTAGTGATTTGAAATGAGCCTCATACGGTCGCACCAAAATATATGTAGCGATTTGAAATGAGCCTCACAAGGCCGCACCAAAATAATACTTGGCGATTGGAATTTATAATAAATGTCTGAAGATTAATAATCTCAAATTATGACATTTATGCACTCGTTGAAAGGGGCACCACCCACCCTTAATGGTGGGAAAATAAAGAAAACAAAAGTTTAATTCAGAAATCAAACATCAAGTCAGTTTTAATTAATCAGTCTTAATTAATCAGTCTTAATTAATCAGTCTCATATCTTAAGTCGAAATTCTAATTTCAGGGACTCCACTTCTGGAAGAACACTAACAGACAGGAACTTAGAAAAATAATGATCTGTTTATTACAGGATAAATGATGGTACAACACACATGCAATAAATGATAAGATGATGAAGATAAATAATAATAGGTGAATAAATAAAGATTCTGAGTCAGGCTAGGAGCACTAAAGTTAATGATAGTGAGTGAATATGCGCTAACATATTAACCTACACTAACTTTGGTGTCGAGATAAACTCGGATGTGGATTTGGAGGAATCTAAGATCACCAGAAATAAGAGGATATCTGAGTTGAACGCAGGAGACAGCACCAGCCCTCTTTAGAGCTCTGGAGGTTTGCATACTTAAGTGAGACTGGTCCTTGGAGAAGATGGAGCAGGTTCCGAAGGTCCGGGCTACTGGCGGTTCGAGCGGTTCAGCTCAGAAGATGACTGAAGTCAGCCGAAGGATGAGCCAGGAGTTGCAGCACTCGGGTCCGAAGCAAAGCCAGCGCCTGTGGATCCTGTGGATGCTCGTTTGGGTACTTCTTTGGTCTCACTTAAAACTCTGGTACAGAGGATGACCTGGGCCTGCTGGGTTGCGTTCAGAGGTGACTTTGAATCACGCAGAAAACTCAGAAAAACGAGACTCGAGCAGAGAAAACTTTCAAAAATGGCTTCGCGAAATTAAAGAAAAATCAATCAAAGGCTTAATCTTGAATTGCTATGCGCACAAAAAGTTGAAGTTTCAAAACTTGAACTAAGACGATGTTAAAGAAAAATCAACGTGAATCAACACGTGGCGTAAAACTTAGAAGACTAAGAAAAAGTTCTAAGAGAAAACAAAGAAACGCACCACAGAAGGGTGTGGACAGAAGAGAAGGGGCATAAGAGCCGGGGACAAGAGAGTCAGCAGAAGAGCAGAAGCATAAGAGGAATAAGAGATAAGAGGAATAAGAGGAAAAAGAGATAAGAGAGCGTAAGAGAGCGTAAGAGAGTGAGCAACCCCACTCCACTGGTTTTATCTTCTCACACTGGGAGTGTCTGAGGAGAAAGAGGAGGGGTCATCGGGTCTCTGATTATTTGATCTAACTTATTCTTTTGGCTGGTAAAAGAGTCAGATCTGATACTCACTCACTATGATTAATATCATTGAATGCTTGGTTTCATGATAAATAATTTGATACTAAACACATATGAATGAAGTGTAGGATCACATCAAACATTCTCATTATGTTTTAAGTATCACATTGAACATGCTAAATTACTCTGAAATGAAACAGATAGTAACACATAGAAACTGTGAACAACAAAAGAGTAAACACATGTGAATGAACGTCATCATGATTAATAATGGATTCTAAATACTCACATTCAGATTATTCAGTGACATTATAACCACCTAATGGTTAAGATACTAAATAAATAACTAAAATATAAACCAAACATTTCTAAACTATTTCTGTTACTTAGAGTAAACTTAGGATTCATAGTCAATAAATTTAACTCTTAAAAGTTCATGAAACAGTCTGAAAAGCTGTTGGTCTAAAGAACAAAAGAATAAGGATTTATTCTGTCAGATAAGATAACTTGGCTTCTGAAGCACATAGAAAAACGGGAAACATCTCATTTTAACACAAATTTCATGATTAGACAGATTAGTACATTGCTGAATGCATAAGATGTCATGATCAGTCATTTGTATTCTTTCACCAAAGGAATGCAGTCTTTATCAGTGTATGGTCGAGCAGGGTTTTACGACCGAGGTCTGGAGGTCAGTGTCCCCCCTTATCCTGGGGTCCGTATGTTCACACACTTTAAGACGCTTAATCTCAAATGGGAGATCTGGGTTAAGGTTAATGTTTATTTAGATGGTCAGCAAATGGAGTCAGTTTGAAAGGTAATAAAAACTCTGTCTCTGTTCGCCGAACTGACCAATCCTGAAGAGTCAGAGGTTTAGTCAACCTCCGGTTGGGTCACTTATTTAACCTGAAAGTGCAAACACGTCTGGAAAGATTTATATCCTGTTTCCTGGGACCAGATAAGGAAACTTTCCTGTAAGGAATGTGTGGGTTTCACATCCAGGGTTGTCTTGATTGCTACAATACAGTGTTTTGTAAATAATTTTACAAAGAACGCCTGGGCCATTGCCTGCATTTTGATGTAAATAGAGGTAAATCACTATGTTCTTTGTTAAACATTTGCATATGTTTTGAAGTTTACAATTTTTATTTGAAGTTTAAGTTTTAAAAACAGTTCATCACACATATTTGTGGTTTTCACAGTAAAAATGTTACTTTTTTCCACTCGGATTTTATGTTTTGTGTGTGAATTTGGGTCCATTGTGTAAATTCAGTATGTCAACATGATGAAATAACTGTAAATTCGCACAGGTGAGGTTGTGCTGAAAAAAATGATACCAGGCAAGGCACGTGATTGTCAAATTTTGTGTCAATATGACAAAGCGTATAGGCGTGAATCTCAACAATATGTATTTTCACCTTAGGGGACAAGAAAAAATGGAATTTTTTCTCCTGCCATGGGGGGGCGCTCTTTTGGGGAGTAAAAATTCCTTCACAAATGTGTTGATGGCTGGACATTGCATCATCCTAGAAAACTTGGAGGCCAGTGAGGACAAAAATAAAAAGTTATAAGACTTTTAAATATGTGGATTTTAGGGTTATCTTTGGCGCCCCCTAGAACCTAAACCGTGGGGTGCAGCGTCATGATTTTGATAACTTTTAATGGCCATGGGGTGTAGATTGGCCTGAGCAAATGTGGTGCCGGTGGAACGAAAGCCTTAGGAGGAGTTAGCCACATTCCAATGTGTGCGGATCGGCAAAAAATGCGGAATAACCCTTTAACCGTACATTTGACAGATACGCGCGCATTGACTTTTTCGTAGATCTTATTGAGTTACATGTGTGTGTCAATTTTTGTGTCATTTTGACAAAGCGTATAGGCGTGACACTCAACAATGTGTATTTTCACCTTAGGGGACAAGAAAAAATGGACTTTTTTCTCCTGCCATGGGGGGGCGCTCTTTTGGGGAGTAAAAATTCCTTCACAAATGTGTTGATGGCTGGACATTGCATCATCCTAGAAAACTTGGAGGCCAGTGAGGACAAAAATAAAAAGTTATAAGACTTTTAAATATGTGGATTTTAGTGTTATCTTTGGCGCCCCCTAGAACCTAAACCTTGGGGTGCAGCGTCATGATTTTGATAACTTTTAATGGCCACGGGGTGTAGATTGGCCTGAGCAAATGTGGTGCCGGTGGAACGAAAGCCTTCGGAGGAGTTAGCGAAATTCCAATGTGTGCAGATCGGCAAAAAATGCGAAATAACCCTTTAACCGTAATTTTGACAGATACGGCCGCACTGACTTTTTTGTAGATCTTATTGAGATACATGTGTGTGTCAATTTTTGTGTCATTTTGACAAAGCGTACAGTCGTGACAGTGAATAGTGTGAATTTTCCCCTTTAGGGGGCGCTATGGAGCCATTTTGCATTTTATTGTTTTGGCGACTTCAGAATATCAAATTTTTCACCAGGCCCGGTCGTCCTGCCAAATTTCATGAGTTTTCGCCAGTGGGAAGTGGGCCATTTTCCAGTTCAAAGGGGAGGAAAAAGAAACTAGGACCCCGTTGGGGCACTGGCGGGCCCGAGCCGTGTCGCGTCCCCCCCCCCCCCCAACGTGCTGCCTTCCCGTCCCATTTGTGTCCTCTGGCCATCGCCCTCTCTGGTAACGCCCATCACTGCAAAGACCCTTTTCCTTCATCGGCGTTTGCTGTTCTTCCTGCCAGTGCGTGTTGCTTTCACTTACACTTGCCACAGCCAGCCTCGTGAGTGCCTAGCCTATTGGATATCACTGTCACCTACACAGGACAGTCATTACCTTTCTATTAATACTTTGTGTTTTAATTTCACATTAATTTCCATATTGTATAAACGACTGGAAAAAACTTGAGCCCCTGCCCCTGTATAATCATGTGCATGTCTCTGTTCTAGCTCCAAGGTGAATCTTCACTGCTCATGTTCTCCTCAGAAGCACTCACCTCACTCCCCTCAGGTTACTGTACACATGCACCAACTGCCTGCTTCAGGTTTGGATGGAGCTTCATGGTTGTCTTTTGGAGAAATGACCAGTCAAGTTGTGTTTGAAATTTGATTTTTTTCAGGGGCAAAAGGAGCCTCTGCATTCTTGTCAAATATGTAAATAGCATGTTTTTGCAGGTGCTAAAAACCAGACTCTGAGTGTGTGTGTGTGTGTGTGTGTGTGTGTGTGTGTGTGCGTGTGTGTGTGTCTGTGTGTGCGTTCAAGTCACATGACATATTTAACCGGATGTAGCTGCAAGACGGAGCCTCGTTGACTCTCCGTTTCAACTTATCTCAAAAGTGAGGACCTCAACCTATATACCAGTTTTTAAATTGTGTTGATAGGCCAAATAAAACCAGAGTTATGATAAATTATGTCCGCGATACTTTTTTTCTGCTTATTTTGATCACGTTCGGCGCTCGATCGCGCTGTATGAGACAGGAAAACATAGCATGAAGACATTAGCGACAGGTCTTACAGGCGGAAAAGGCTTGCCAAAAGAAAAAAAAAAACACACCACAACATCTCTCCTATTGGTGGAAAACTTCACCACAACAACCAATCCAAAATTATATGGTGACTGATTGACAAGGGGCGGGCGCTTACGTTCTTCCTGCAACATGAGAAGGGAGGGAGGGACTCTCAGCAGGGATGCAGTCTGGGACACGTAGTTGCAAACCTAGCGACTTTGTTGTTAGACTCAATGACTTTTCAGACCCCCTAACGACTTTTTTTTAGAAAGAAAGGGACTTTTATCGACTTCTTCTGGAGTTTAGAGACTCTGACATGAAGCAGGCTTTCCTTACTGAGGAGTTAGCAACGCTGCTAAGGGTGCAGAGCCACACATGCGCTCAGAGCTCTGCATGGGAGACTGAAGCTGACAGAGCTGCAGCAGTTAGCAGGTTTCACCCTCAGAGACCACCAGGGGTTCATGTTGAGGCATTTTAATTTTTTTTTTTTTTTTGTGCCATAGACACTGTCAGCACAATCTGCAGTTACACTAACAAAAATGCTGCAAAAAACAAAGAATTATGGAAAAATTACACATGGACTGACATAGAGGAGGATCTACACAAGTTTTTTACATCATGTTTTACATCATGCATCATTTACATCATGTTTTTTTGTAGTGGCATAAATAAAAAGTGACATTTGTGAGACTATACAGTGTTTTGTAAATAATTTTACAAAGAACGCCTGGGCCATTGCCTGCATTTTGATGTAAATAGAGGTAAATTACTATGCTCTTTGTTAAAAATTTGCATATGTTTTGAAGTTTACAATTTTTATTTGAAGTTTAAGTTTTAAAAACAGTTCATCACACATATTTGTGGTTTAATTTCACATTAATTTCCATATTGTATAAATGACTGGAAAAAACTTGAGCCCCTGCCCCTGTATAATCATGTGCACGTCCCTGTTCTCGCTCCAAGGTGAATCTTCACTGCTCATGTTCTCCTCAGAAATAGTCACCTCACTCCCCTCAGGTTACTGTACACATACACCAACTATCTGCTTCAGGTTTGAAATGGAGCTTCATGGTTGTCTTTTGGAGAAATGAACAGTCAAGTTGTGTTTGAAATTTGATTTTTTTCAGGGGCAAAAGGAAGCCTCTGCATTCTTGTCAAATATGTAAACAGCATGTTTTTGCAGGTGCTAAAAAACAGACTCTGAGTGTGTGTGTGTGTCTGTGTGTGTGTGTGTGTGTGTGTGTGTATGTTGGCGTGTGTGTATATGTGTGTGTATCCTGCAGTACTCTGTACTCCTGCAGTGGCCAAAAAGACTTTTAAGAATGTGGATTTTTGGGTCATCTTTGGCGCCCCCTAGAACTGCAGTACTCTGTACTCCTGCAGTGGCCAAAATGACTTTTAAGAATGTGGATTTTTGGGTCATCTTTGGCGCCCCCTAGAACGTAAACCGTGGGGTGCAGCGTCATGATTTTTACAACTTTGAATGGGCATGGGGTGTAGATTGCCCTGAGCAAATTTGGTATCGGTGGGACGAAAGCCTTAGGAGGAGATAGCCACATTCCAATGTGTGCAAATCGGCAAAAAATGCAAAATAGCCCTTTAACCGTACATTATACAGATACGCGCTCTTTGACTTTTTCGTAGATCTAATTGAGATACACATGATTGTCAATTTTTGTGTCAATATGACAAAGCGTTCAGGCGTGACACTCAACAATGTGTATTTTCATGTAAGGGGACAAGAAAAAATTGACTTTTTTCTCCTACCATGGGGGGGCGCTCTTTTGGGGAGTAAAAATTCCTTCACAAATGTGTTGATGGCTGGACATTGCATCATCCTAGAAAACTTGGAGGCCAGTGAGGACAAAAATAAAAAGTTATAAAACATTTAAGAATGTGGATTTTTGGGTTATTTTTGGCGCCCCCTAGAACCTAAACCATGGGGTGCAGCATCATGATTTGAATAACTTTTAATGGCCATGGGGTGTAGATTGGCCTGAGCAAATGTGGTGCCGGTGGAACGAAAGCCTTCGGAGGAGTTAGCGAAATTCCAATGTGTGCGGATCGGCAAAAAATGCGAAATAACCCTTTAACCGTACATTTGACAGATACGCCCGCACTGACTTTTTTGTAGATATTATTGAGATACATGTGTGTGTCAATTTTTGTGTCAATATGACAAAGCGTACAGGCGTGACAGTCAATAGTGTGAATTTTCACCTTTGGGGGCGCTATTGAGCCATTTTGCATTTTATTGTTTGGGCGACATCAGAATATCGAATTTTTCACCAGGCCCGGTCATCCTGCCAAATTTCATGAGTTTTCGCCGGTGGGAAGTGGGCCATTTTCCAGTTTAAAGCGGAGGAAAAATAATAATAACTAGGGCCCCGTTGGGGCACTGGCGGGCCCGAGCCGTGTCGCGCCGCCCCCAGCGCGACCGCCTACCCCTCCCGATCGCGTCACACTCAAGGTCCAAAGATGGTGTGCGCACTTGTCTGTGGTCATTTACCATTATAATGAATGGGAGGCGCAGTTTCTACCAAAACGCTCGCTGCAGACAAACTCCATGTCCTTTTTGAAAAAAGTCTGGACCATGAGTGAGGGCACAAACACAGCTAGTATATATCCAAATGGCAAGTTGCTCCTCCTTTCGGTTTTGCCGAGAGAGCGATGCGTTTGAGCCATTGAGCGATGGGCAGGAAAAACTTGACTTTTTCTCCTGCCATGGGGGGCGCTCTTTTGGGGAGAAAAATTCCTTCACAAATGTGTTGATGGCTGGACATTGCATCATCCTAGAAAACTTGGAGGCCAGTGAGGACAAAAATAAAAAGTTATAAGACTTTTAAAAATGTGGATATTTGGGTCCTCTTTGGCGCCCCCTAGAACGTAAACTGTGGGGTGCAGCGTCATGATTTGTACAACTTTGAATGGCCATGGGGTGTAGATTGACCTGAGCAAATTTGAAGCCGATGGGACAAAAGATTTAGGAGGAGTTAGCCACATTCCAATGTGTGCGAATCAGCAAAAAATGCGAAATAGCCCTTTAACCGTACATTGAACAGATACGCTCGCATTGACTTTTTCGTAGATCTTATTGAGATACATGTGTGTGTCAAATTTTGTGTCATTTTGACAAAGCGTAAAGGCGTGACAGTCAACAATGTGTATTTTCGCCTTAGGAGACAAGAAAAAATGGACTTTTTTCTCCTGCCATGGGGGGGCGCTCTTTTGGCGAGTAAAAATTCCTTCACAAATGTGTTGATGGCTGGACATTGCATCATCCTAGAGAACTTGGAGGCCAGTGAGGACAAAAATAAAAAGTTATAAGACTTTTAAGACTGTGGATTTTTGGGTTATCTTTGGCGCCCCCTAGAACGTAAACCGTGGGGTGCAGCGTCATGATTTGTACAACTTTTAATGGCCATGGGGTGTAGATTGGCCTGAGCAAATGTGGTGCCTTTGGAACGAAAGCCTTCGGAGGAGTTAGCGAAATTCCAATGTGTGCGGATCGGCAAAAAATGCGAAATAGCCCTTTAACCGTACATTTGACAGATACGCTCGCACTGACTTTTTTGTAGATCTTATTGAGATACATGTGTGTGTCAATTTTTGTGTCAATATGACAAAGCGTAAAGGCGTGACAGTCAATAGTGTGAATTTTCGCCTTAGGAGACAAGAAAAAATGGACTTTTTTCTCCTGCCATGGGGGGGCGCTCTTTTGGCGAGTAAAAATTCCTTCACAAATGTGTTGATGGCTGGACATTGCATCATCCTAGAGAACTTGGAGGCCAGTGAGGACAAAAATAAAAAGTTATAAGACTTTTAAGACTGTGGATTTTTGGGTTATCTTTGGCGCCCCCTAGAACGTAAACCGTGGGGTGCAGCGTCATGATTTGTACAACTTTTAATGGCCATGGGGTGTAGATTGGCCTGAGCAAATGTGGTGCCGGTGGAACGAAAGCCTTCGGAGGAGTTAGCGAAATTCCAATGTGTGCGGATCGGCAAAAAATGCGAAATAACCCTTTAACCGTACATTTGACAGATACGCTCGCACTGACTTTTTTGTAGATCTTATTGAGATACATGTGTGTGTCAATTTTTGTGTCAATATGACAAAGCGTAAAGGCGTGACAGTCAATAGTGTGAATTTTCACCTTAGGGGGCGCTATGGAGCCATTTTGCATTTTATTGTTTGGGCGACTTCAGAATATCGAATTTTTCACCAGGCCCATTCGTCCTGCCAAATTTCATGAGTTTTCGCCAGTGGGAAGTGGGCCATTTTCCCCTTCAAAGGGGAGGAAAAATAAGACTAGGGCCCCGGTGGGGCACTGTCGGGCCCGAGCCGCGTCGCGCCGCCCCCAGCGCGACCGCCTCCCCCTCCCGATCGCGTCACACTCAAGGTCCAAAGATGGTGTGCGCACTTGTCTGTGGTCATTTCCCATTATAATGAATGGGAGGCGCAGTTTCTACCAAAACGCTCGCTGCAGACAAACTACATGTCCTATTTGAAAAAAGTCTGGACCATGAGTGAGGGCACAAACACAGCTAGTATATATCCAAATGGCAAGTTGCTCCTCCTTTCGGTTTTGCAGAGAGAGCGATGCGTTTGAGCCATTGAGCGATGGGCAGGAAAAACTTGACTTTTTCTCCTGCCATGGGGGGCGCTCTTTTGGGGAGAAAAATTCCTTCACAAATGTGTTGATGGCTGGACATTGCATCATCCTAGAAAACTTGGAGGCCAGTGAGGACAAAAATAAAAAGTTATAAGACTTTTAAAAATGTGGATATTTGGGTCCTCTTTGGCGCCCCCTAGAACGTAAACTGTGGGGTGCAGCGTCATGATTTGTACAACTTTGAATGGCCATGGGGTGTAGATTGACCTGAGCAAATTTGAAGCCGATGGGACAAAAGATTTAGGAGGAGTTAGCGAAATTCCAATGTGTGCGGATCGGCAAAAAATGCGAAATAACCCTTTAACCGTACATTTGACAGATACGCCCGCACTGACTTTTTTGTAGATCTTATTGAGATACATGTGTGTGTCAAATTTTGTGTCATTTTGACAAAGCGTAAAGGCGTGACAGTCAACAATGTGTATTTTCGCCTTAGGAGACAAGAAAAAATGGACTTTTTTCTCCTGCCATGGGGGGCGCTCTTTTGGCGAGTAAAAATTCCTTCACAAATGTGTTGATGGCTGGACATTGCATCATCCTAGAGAACTTGGAGGCCAGTGAGGACAAAAATAAAAAGTTATAAGACTTTTAAGACTGTGGATTTTTGGGTTATCTTTGGCGCCCCCTAGAACGTAAACCGTGGGGTGCAGCGTCATGATTTGTACAACTTTTAATGGCCATGGGGTGTAGATTGGCCTCAGCAAATGTGGTGCTTTTGGAACGAAAGCCTTCGGAGGAGTTAGCGAAATTCCAATGTGTGCGGATCGGCAAAAAATGCGAAATAGCCCTTTCACCGTACATTTGACAGATACGCCCGCACTGACTTTTTTGTAGATCTTATTGAGATACATGTGTGTGTCAATTTTTGTGTCAATATGACAAAGCGTAAAGGCGTGACAGTCAATAGTGTGAATTTTCGCCTTAGGAGACAAGAAAAAATGGACTTTTTTCTCCTGCCATGGGGGGGCGCTCTTTTGGGGAGTAAAAATTCCTTCACAAATGTGTTGATGGCTGGACATTGCATCATCCTAGAAAACTTGGAGGCCAGTGAGGACAAAAATAAAAAGTTATACGACTTTTAAGAATGTGGATTTCTGGGTTATCTTTGGCGCCCCCTAGAACGTAAACCGTGGGATGCAGCGTCATGATTTGTACAACTTTTAATTGCCATGGGGTGTAGATTGGCCTGAGCAAATTTGGTGCCGGTGGAACGAAAGCCTTCGGAGGAGTTAGCGAAATTCCAATGTGTGCGGATCGGCAAAAAATGCGAAATAGCCCTTTAACCGTACATTTGACAGATACGCCCGCACTGACTTTTTTGTAGATCTTATTGAGATACACGTGTGTGTCAAATTTTGTGTCATTTTGACAAAGCGTACAGGCGTGACACTCAATCATGTGAATTTTTCACCTTAGGGGGCGCTATGGAGCCATTTTGCATTTGATTTTTTGGGCGACTTCAGAATATCGAATTTTTCACCAGGCCCGGTCGTCCTGCCAAATTTCATGACTTTTCACCAGTGGGAAGTGGGCCATTTTCCAGTTCAAAGGGGCAGAAAAATAATAAGAAGAAGAAGAAGAAAGAAGAATCCATCAGGAATAATAGGGCTCTCGCAGCTGCTTAGCAGCTACGCTCGGGCCCTAAAGAAAGAAAGAAAGAAAGAAAGAAAGAAAGAAGAAAGAAAAACCTATACAGGAATAATAGGGCTCTACGCCCGGCTGCTCTGCAGCTGGCTCGGGCCCTAATAATAACAAAAGAAGGAAACATGCAGGAACAAGAGGGCTCTCGCAGCTGCTTAGCAGCTACGCTCGGGCCCTAACTAGGACCCCGTTGGGGCACTGGCGGGCCCGAGCCGTGTCGCGTCCCCCCCCAACGTGCTGCCTCCCCGTCCCATTTGTGTCCTCTGGCCATCGCCCTCTCTGGTAACGCCCATCACTGCAAAGACCCTTTTCCTTCATCGGCGTTTGCTGTTCTTCCTGCCAGTGCGTGTTGCTTTCACTTACACTTGCCACAGCCAGCCTCGTGAGTGCCTAACCTATTGGATATCACTGTCACCTACACAGGACAGTCATTACCTTTCTATTAATACTTTGTGTTTTAATTTCACATTAATTTCCATATTGTATAAACGACTGGAAAAAACTTGAGCCCCTGCCCCTGTATAATCATGTGCATGTCTCTGTTCTAGCTCCAAGGTGAATCTTCACTGCTCATGTTCTCCTCAGAAGCACTCACCTCACTCCCCTCAGGTTACTGTACACATGCACCAACTGCCTGCTTCAGGTTTGGATGGAGCTTCATGGTTGTCTTTTGGAGAAATGACCAGTCAAGTTGTGTTTGAAATTTGATTTTTTTCAGGGGCAAAAGGAGCCTCTGCATTCTTGTCAAATATGTAAATAGCATGTTTTTGCAGGTGCTAAAAACCAGACTCTGAGTGTGTGTGTGTGTGTGTGTGTGTGTGTGCGTGTGTGTGTGTCTATGTGTGCGTTCAAGTCACATGACATATTTAACCTGATGTAGCTGCAAGACGGAGCCTCGTTGACTCTCCGTTTCAACTTATCTCAAAAGTGAGGACCTCAACCTATATACCAGTTTTTAAATTGTGTTGATAGGCCAAATAAAACCAGAGTTATGATAAATTATGTCCGCGATACTTTTTTTCTGCTTATTTTGATCACGTTCGGCGCTCGATCGCGCTGTATGAGACAGGAAAACATAGCATGCAGACATTAGCGACAGGTCTTACAGGCGGAAAAGGCTTGCCAAAAGAAAAAAAAAACACACCACAACATCTCTCCTATTGGTGGAAAACTTCACCACAACAACCAATCCAAAATTATATGGTGACTGATTGACAAGGGGCGGGCGCTTACGTTCTTCCTGCAACATGAGAAGGGAGGGAGGGACTCTCAGCAGGGATGCAGTCTGGGACACGTAGTTGCAAACCTAGCGACTTTTTTGTTAGATTCAATGACTTTTCAGACACCCTAACGACTTTTTTAGAAAGAAAGGGACTTTTATCGACTTCTTCTGGAGTTTAGAGACTCTGACATGAAGCAGGCTTTCCTTACTGAGGAGTTAGCAACGCTGCTAAGGGTGCAGAGCCACACATGCGCTCAGAGCTCTGCATGGGAGACTGAAGCTGACAGAGCTGCAGCAGTTAGCAGGTTTCACCCTCAGAGACCACCAGGGGTTCATGTTGAGGCATTTTAATTTTTTTTTTTTTTTGTGCCATAGACACTGTCAGCAAAATCTGCAGTTACACTAACAAAAATGCTGCAAAAAACAAAGAATTATGGAAAAATTACACATGGACTGACATAGAGGAGGATCTACACAAGTTTTTTACATCATGTTTTACATCATGCATCATTTACATCATGTTTGTTTGTAGTGGCATAAATAAAAAGTGACATTTGTGAGACTATACAGTGTTTTGTAAATAATTTTACAAAGAACGCCTGGGCCATTGCCTGCATTTTGATGTAAATAGAGGTAAATTACTATGTTCTTTGTTAAAAATTTGCATATGTTTTGAAGTTTACAATTTTTATTTGAAGTTTAAGTTTTAAAAACAGTTCATCACACATATTTGTGGTTTAATTTCACATTAATTTCCATATTGTATAAATGACTGGAAAAAACTTGAGCCCCTGCCCCTGTATAATCATGTGCACGTCCCTGTTCTAGCTCCAAGGTGAATCTTCACTGCTCATGTTCTCCTCAGAAATAGTCACCTCACTCCCCTCAGGTTACTGTACACATGCACCAACTATCTGCTTCAGGTTTGAAATGGAGCTTCATGGTTGTCTTTTGGAGAAATGAACAGTCAAGTTGTGTTTGAAATTTGATTTTTTTCAGGGGCAAAAGGAAGCCTCTGCATTCTTGTCAAATATGTAAACAGCATGTTTTTGCAGGTGCTAAAAAACAGACTCTGAGTGTGTGTGTGTGTCTGTGTGTGTGTGTGTGTGTGTGTGTGTGTGTGTGTGTGTGTGTGTGTGTGTATGTTGGCGTGTGTGTATATGTGTGTGTATCCTGCAGTACTCTGTACTCCTGCAGTGGCCAAAAAGACTTTTAAGAATGTGGATTTTTGGGTCATCTTTGGCGCCCCCTAGAACTGCAGTACTCTGTACTCCTGCAGTGGCCAAAATGACTTTTAAGAATGTGGATTTTTGGGTCATCTTTGGCGCCCCCTAGAACGTAAACCGTGGGGTGCAGCGTCATGATTTTTACAACTTTGAATGGGCATGGGGTGTAGATTGCCCTGAGCAAATTTGGTATCGGTGGGACGAAAGCCTTAGGAGGAGATAGCCACATTCCAATGTGTGCGAATCGGCAAAAAATGCAAAATAGCCCTTTAACCGTACATTATACAGATACGCGCTCTTTGACTTTTTCGTAGATCTAATTGAGATACACATGATTGTCAATTTTTGTGTCAATATGACAAAGCGTTCAGGCGTGACACTCAACAATGTGTATTTTTATGTAAGGGGACAAGAAAAAATTGACTTTTTTCTCCTACCATGGGGGGGCGCTCTTTTGGGGAGTAAAAATTCCTTCACAAATGTGTTGATGGCTGGACATTGCATCATCCTAGAAAACTTGGAGGCCAGTGAGGACAAAAATAAAAAGTTATAAGACTTTTAAATATGTGGATTTTACGGTTATTTTTGGCGCCCCCTAGAACCTAAACCATGGGGTGCAGCATCATGATTTGAATAACTTTTAATGGCCATGGGGTGTAGATTGGCCTGAGCAAATGTGGTGCCGGTGGAACGAAAGCCTTCGGAGGAGTTAGCGAAATTCCAATGTGTGCGTATCGGCAAAAAATGCGGAATAACCCTTTAACTGTACATTTGACAGATACGCGCGCATGGACTTTTTTGTAGATCTTATTGAGTTACATGTGTGTGTCAATTTTTGTGTCATTTTGACAAAGCGTATAGGCGTGACACTCAACAATGTGTATTTTCACCTTAGGGGACAAGAAAAAATGGACTTTTTTCTCCTGCCATGGGGGGGCGCTCTTTTGGGGAGTAAAAATTCCTTCACAAATGTGTTGATGGCTGGACATTGCATCATCCTAGAAAACTTGGAGGCCAGTGAGGACAAAAATAAAAAGTTATAAGACTTTTAAATATGTGGATTTTAGTGTTATCTTTGGCGCCCCCTAGAACCTAAACCTTGGGGTGCAGCGTCATGATTTTGATAACTTTTAATGGCCACGGGGTGTAGATTGGCCTGAGCAAATGTGGTGCCGGTGGAACGAAAGCCTTCGGAGGAGTTAGCGAAATTCCAATGTGTGCGGATCGGCAAAAAATGCGAAATAACCCTTTAACCGTAATTTTGACAGATACGGCCGCACTGACTTTTTTGTAGATCTTATTGAGATACATATGTGTGTCAATTTTTGTGTCAATATGACAAAGCGTACAGGCGTGACAGTCAATAGTGTGAATTTCCACCTTAGGGGGCGCTATGGAGCCATTTTGCATTTTATTGTTTGGGCGACTTCAGAATATCGAATTTTTCACCAGGCCCGGTCGTCCTGCCAAATTTCATGAGTTTTCGCCAGTGGGAAGTGGGCCATTTTCCAGTTCAAAGGGGAGGAAAAAGAAGAAAGAAAGAAAGAACTAGGGCCCCGGTGGGGCACTGTCGGGCCCGAGCCGCGTCGCGCCGCCCCCAGCGCGACCGCCTCCCCCTCCCGATCGCATCACACTCAAGGTCCAAAGATGGTGTGCGCACTTGTCTGTGGTCATTTCCCATTATAATGAATGGGAGGCGCAGTTTCTACCAAAACGGTCGCTGCAGACAAACTACATGTCCTATTTGAAAAAAGTCTGGACCATGAGTGAGGGCACAAACACAGCTAGGATATATCCAAATGGCAAGTTGCTCCTCCTTACGGTGTTGCCAGGAGAGCGATGCGATTGAGCCATTGAGCGATGGGCAGGGTTAACTGGACTTTTTCTCCTGCCTTGGGGGGGGGGATGTGGATTCTTTTAAGAATGTGGATATTTGGGTCATCTTTGGCGCCCCCTAGAACGTAAACCATGGGGTGCAGCGGCATGATTTTTACAACTTTGAATGGCCATGGGATGTAGATCGGCTTGAACAAATTTGGTGTCGGTGGGAAGAAAGCCTTAGGAGGAGTTAGCCACATTCCAATGTGTGCGAATCGGCAAAAAATGCGAAATAGCCCTTTAACCGTACATTTTACAGATACGTGCCCATTGACTTTTTCGTAGATCTTATTGAGATACACGTGTGTGTCAAATTTTGTGTCATTTTGACAAAGCGTATAGGCGTGACAGTCAACAATGTGTTTTTTCACCTTAGGGGACAAGAAAAAATGGACTTTTTTCTCCTGCCATGGGGGGGGCGCTCTTTACGGGAGTAAAAATTCCTTTACAAATGTGTTGATGGCTGGACATTGCATCATCCTAGAAAACTTGGAGGCCAGTGAGGACAAAAATAAAAAGTTATAAGACTATAAAGAATGTGGATTTTTGGGTTATCTTTGGCGCCCCCTAGAACCTAAACCGTGGAGTGCAGCGTCATGATTTGTACAACTTTTAATGGCCATGGGGTGTAGATTGGCCTGAGCAAATTTGGTGGCGGTGGAACTAAAGCCTTCGGAGGAGTTAGCGAAATTCCAATGTGTGCGGATCGGCAAAAAATGCGAAATAACCCTTTAACCGTACATTTGACAGATACGCCCGCACTGACTTTTTTGTAGATCGTATTGAGATACATGTGTGTGTCAATTTTTGTGTCAATATGACAAAGCGTACAGGCGTGACAGTCAATAGTGTGAATTTCCACCTTAGGGGGCGCTATGGAGCCATTTTGCATTTTATTGTTTGGGCGACTTCAGAATATCGAATTTTTCACCAGGCCCGGTCGTCCTGCCAAATTTCATGAGTTTTCGCCAGTGGGAAGTGGGCCATTTTCCCCTTCAAAGGGGAGGAAAAATAAGAAGAAAGAAAGAAAGAAAGAAAGACTAGGGCCCCGGTGGGGCACTGTCGGGCCCGAGCCGCGTCGCGCCGCCCCCAGCGCGACCGCCTCCCCCTCCCGATCGCGTCACACTCAAGGTCCAAAGATGGTGTGCGCACTTGTCTGTGGTCATTTCCCATTAAAATGAATGGGAGGCGCAGTTTCTACCAAAACACTCGCTGCAGACAAACTACATGTCCTATTTGAAAAAAGTCTGGACCATGAGTGAGGGCACAAACACAGCTAGGATATATCCAAATGGCAGATTGCTCCTCCTTACGGTGTTGCCGGGAGAGCGATGCGATTGAGCCATTGAGTGATGGGCAGGAAAAACTTGACTGTTTCTCCTGCCATGGGGGATGGGGGATGGGGGGGGGGGGATGTGGATTCTTTTAAGAATGTGGATTTTTGGGTCATCTTTGGCGCCCCCTAAAACGTAAACCGTGGGGTGCAGCGTCATGATTTTTACAACTTTGAATGGCCATGGAGTGTAGATTGGCCTGAGCAAATGTGGTGCCGGTGGAACGAAAGCCTTCGGAGGAGTTAGCGAAATTCCAATGTGTGCGGATCGGCAAAAAATGCGAAATAACCCTTTAACCGTACATTTGACAGATACACCCGCACTGACTTTTTTGTAGATCTAATTGAGATACACATGATTGTCAATTTTTGTGTCATTTTGCCAAAGCGTACAGGCGTGACAGTCAACAATGTGTATTTTCACCTTAGGGGACAAGAAAAAATGGACTTTTTCTCCTGCCATGGGGGGGCGCTCTTTTGGGGAGTAAAAATTCCTTCACAAATGTGTTGATGGCTGGACATTGCATCATCCTAGAAAACTTGGAGGCCAGTGAGGACAAAAATAAAAAGTTATAAGACTTTTAAAAATGTGGATTTTTGGGTTATCTTTGGCGCCCCCTAGAACGTAAACCGTGGGGTGCAGCGTCATGATTTGAATAACTTTTAATGGCCATGGGGTGTAGATTGGCCTGAGCAAATGTGGTGCCGGTGGAACGAAAGCCTTCGGAGGAGTTAGCGAAATTCCAATGTGTGCGTATCGGCAAAAAATGCGGAATAACCCTTTAACTGTACATTTGACAGATACGCGCGCTTGGACTTTTTTGTAGATCTTATTGAGATACATGTGTGTGTCAATTTTTGTGTCATTTTGCCAAAGCGTACAGGCGTGACAGTCAACAATGTGTATTTTCACCTTAGGGGACAAGAAAAAATGGACTTTTTTCTCCTGCCATGGGGGGGCGCTCTTTTGGGGAGTAAAAATTCCTTCACAAATGTGTTGATGGCTGGACATTGCATCATCCTAGAAAACTTGGAGGCCAGTGAGGACAAAAGTAAAAAGTTATAAGACTTTTAAGAATGTGGATTTTAGTGTTATCTTTGGCGCCCCCTAGAACCTAAATCGTGGGGTGCAGCGTCATGATTTGTACAACTTTTAATGGCCATGGGAGGTAGATTGGCCTGCGCAAATGTGGTGCCGGTCGAACAAAAGCCTTCGGAGGAGTTAACGAAATTCCAATGTGTGCAGATCTGCAAAAAATGCAAAATAACCCATTAACCGTACATTTGACAGATACGCCCGCACTGACTTTTTTGTAGATCTTATTGAGATACATGTGTGTGTCAATTTTTGTGTCAATATGACAAAGCGTACAGCCGTCATGTGAATTTTCACCTTAGGGGGCGCTATGGAGCCATTTTGCATTTTATTGTTTGGGCGACTTCAGAATATCGAATTTTTCACCAGGCCCGGTCGTCCTGCCAAATTTCCTGAGTTTTCGCCAGTGGGAAGTGGGCCATTTTCCAGTTTAAAGCGGAGGAAAAATAATAACGAAAGAAGGAAACATGCAGGAACAAGAGGGCTCTCGCAGCTGCTTAGCAGCTACGCTCGGGCCCTAAAGAAAGAAAGAGGAAACAAAGAAAAACCACTTGGGGAATAATAGGGCCTACGCCCGGCTGCTCTGCAGCTGGCTCGGGCCCTAATAACACTAGGACCCCGTTGGGGCACTGGCGGGCCCGAGCTGTGTCGCGTCCCCCCCCCCAACGCGCTGCCTCCCCGTCCCATTTGTGTCCTCTGGCCATCGCCCTCTCTGGTAACGCCCATCACTGCAAAGACCCTTTTCCTTCATCGGCGTTTGCTGTTCTTCCTGCCAGTGCGTGTTGCTTTCACTTACACTTGCCACAGCCAGCCTCGTGAGTGCCTAGCCTATTGGATATCACTGTCACCTACACAGGACAGTCATTACCTTTCTATTAATACTTTGTTTTTTAATTTCACATTAATTTCCATATTGTATAAACAACTGGTAAAAACTTGAGCCCCTGCCCCTGTATAATCATGTGCACGTCTCTGTTCTAGCTCTAAGGTGAATCTTCACTGCTCATGTTCTCCTCAGAAGCAGTCACCTCACTCCCCTCAGGTTACTGTACACATGCATCAACTGCCTGCTTCAGGTTTGGATGGAGCTTCATGGTTGTCTTTTGGAGAAATGACCAGTCAAGTTGTGTTTGAAATTTGATTTTTTTCAGGGGCAAAAGGAGCCTCTGCATTCTTGTCAAATATGTAAATAGCATGTTTTTGCAGGTGCTAAAAACCAGACTCTGAGTGTGTGTGTGTGCGTATGTGTGTGTGTGTGTGTGTGTGTGTGTGTGTGTGTGTGTGTGTGTGTGTGTGCGTTCAAGTCACATGACATATTTAACCGGATGTAGCTGCAAGACGGAGCCTCGTTGACTCTCCGTTTCAACTTATCTCAAAAGTGAGGACCTCAACCTATATACCAGTTTTTAAATTGTGTTGATAGGCCAAATAAAACCAGAGTTATGATAAATTATGTCCGCGATACTTGTTTTCTGCTTATTTTGATCACGTTCGGCGCTCGATCGCGCTGTATGAGACAGGAAAACATAGCATGCAGACATTAGCGACAGGTCTTACAGGCGGAAAAGGCTTGCCAAAGGAAAAAAAAAACACACCACAACATCTCTCCTATTGGTGGAAAACTTCACCACAACAACCAATCCAAAATTATATGGTGACTGATCGACAAGGGGCGGGCGCTTACGTTCTTCCTGCAATATGAGAAGGGAGGGAGGGACTCTCAGCAGGGATGCAGTCTGGGACACGTAGTTGCAAACCTAGCGACTTTGTTGTTAGATTCAATGACTTTTCAGACCCCCTAACGACGTTTTTTAGAAAGAAAGTGACTTTTATCGACTTCTTCTGGAGTTTAGAGACTCTGACATGAAGCAGGCTTTCCTTACTGAGGAGTTAGCAACGCTGCTAAGGGTGCAGAGCCACACATGCGCTCCGAGCTCTGCATGGGAGACTGAAGCTGACAGAGCTGCAGCAGTTAGCAGGTTTCACCCACAGAGACCACCAGGGGTTCATGTTGAGGCATTTTCAGTTTTTTTTTTTTTTTTGCCATAGACACTGTCAGCACAATCTGCAGTTACACTAACAAAAATGCTGCAAAAAACAAAGAATTATGGAAAAATTACACATGGACTGACATAGAGGAGGATCTACACAAGTTTTTTACATCATGTTTTACATCATGCATCATTTACATCATGTTTTTTTGTAGTGGCATAAATAAAAAGTGACATTTGTGAGACTATACAGTGTTTTGTAAATAATTTTACAAAGAACACCTGGGCCATTGCCTGCATTTTGATGTAAATAGAGGTAAATTACTATGTTCTTTGTTAAAAATTTGCATATGTTTTGAAGTTTACAATTTTTATTTGAAGTTTAAGTTTTAAAAACAGTTCATCACACATATTTGTGGTTTTCACAGTAAAAACGTTACTTTTTTCCACTCGGATTTTATGTTTTGTGTGTGAATTTGGGTCCAATGTGTAAATATAGTATGTCAAAATGATAAAATAACTGTAAATTGACACAGGTGAGGTTGTGCTGAAAAAAATGATACCAGGCAAGGCAAGGTAAAAATTTTGTAAGAGGAAATATAAAGGTAAAATCTAAAGTAGTCAAAAACGGCCAATAGTGACTCACAGACTCCACAGACAAGTCCCTTTGGCGCCACTCAGTGGGCAAAACTACTTTGTCTACTGTAATGTATATTTGGGTCATCTTTGGCGCCCCCTAAAACGTAAACCGTGGGGTGCCGCGTCATGATTTTTACAACTTTGAATGGCCATGGAGTGTAGATTGGCCTGAGCAAATTTGGTGTCAGTGGGACGAAAGCCTTAGGAGGAGTTAGCGAAATTCCAATATGTGCGAATCGGCAAAAAATGCAAAATAGCCCTTTTACCGTACATTATACAGATACGCACTCTTGACTTTTTCGTAGATCTAATTGAGATACACATGATTGTCAATTTTTGTGTCATTTTGCCAAAGCGTACAGGCGTGACAGTCAACAATGTGTATTTTCACCTTAGGGGACAAGAAAAAATGGACTTTTTTCTCCTGCCATGGGGGGGCGCTCTTTTAGGGAGTAAAAATTCCTTCACAAATGTGTTGATGGCTGGACATTGCATCATCCTAGAAAACTTGGAGGCCAGTGAGGACAAAAATAAAAAGTTATAAGACTTTTAAAAATTTGGATTTTTGGGTTGTCTTTGGCGCCCCCTAGAACCTAAACCGTGGGGTGCAGCGTCATGATTTGAATAACTTGTAATGGCCATGGGGTGTAGATTGGCCTGAGCAAATGTGGTGCCGGTGGACAGAAAGCCTTCGGAGGAGTTAGCCACATTCCAATGTGTGCGGATCGGCAAAAAATGCGGAATAACCCTTTAACCGTACATTTGACAGATACGCGCGCATTGACTTTTTCGTAGATCTTATTGAGTTACATGTGTGTGTCAATTTTTGTGTCATTTTGACAAAGCGTATAGGCGTGACACTCAACAATATGTATTTTCACCTTAGGGGACAAGAAAAAATGGACTTTTTTCTCCTGCCATGGGGGGACGCTCTTTTGGGGAGTAAAAATTCCTTCACAAATGTGTTGATGGCTGGACATTGCATCATCCTAGAAAACTTGGAGGCCAGTGAGGACAAAAATAAAAAGTTATAAGACTTTTAAATATGTGGATTTTAGGGTTATCTTTGGCGCCCCCTAGAACCTAAACCGTGGGGTGCAGCGTCATGATTTGAATAACTTTTAATGGCCATGGGGTGTAGATTGGCCTGAGCAAATGTGGTGCCGGTGGAACGAAAGCCTTCGGAGGAGTTAGCGAAATTCCAATGTGTGCGGATCGGCAAAAAATGCGAAATAACCCTTTAACCGTAATTTTGACAGATACGGCCGCACTGACTTTTTTGTAGATCTTATTGAGATACATATGTGTGTCAATTTTTGTGTCAATATGACAAAGCGTACAGGCGTGACAGTCAATAGTGTGAATTTCCACCTTAGGGGGCGCTATGGAGCCATTTTGCATTTTATTGTTTTGGCGACTTCAGAATATCAAATTTTTCACCAGGCCCGGTCGTCCTGCCAAATTTCATGAGTTTTCGCCAGTGGGAAGTGGGCCATTTTCCAGTTCAAAGGGGAGGAAAAAGAAGAAAGAAAGAACTAGGGCCCCGTTGGGGCACTGGCGGGCCCGAGCTGTGTCGCGCCCCCCCCCAACGCGCTGCCTCCCCGTCCCATTCGCGTCCTCTGGCCATCGTCCTCTCTGGTAACGCCCATCACTGCAAAGACCCTTTTCCTTCATCGGCGTTTGCTGTTCTTCCTGCCAGTGCGTGTTGCTTTCACTTACACTTGCCACAGCCAGCCTCGTGAGTGCCTAGCCTATTGGATATCACTGTCACCTAGAACAGGACAGTCATTACCTTTCTATTAATACTTTGTGTTTTAATTTCACATTAATTTCCATATTGTATAAACGACTGGAAAAAACTTGAGCCCCTGCCCCTGTATAATCATGTGCATGTCTCTGTTCTAGCTCCAAGGTGAATCTTCACTGCTCATGTTCTCCTCAGAAGCACTCACCTCACTCCCCTCAGGTTACTGTACACATGCACCAACTGCCTGCTTCAGGTTTGGATGGAGCTTCATGGTTGTCTTTTGGAGAAATGACCAGTCAAGTTGTGTTTGAAATTTGATTTTTTTCAGGGGCAAAAGGAGCCTCTGCATTCTTGTCAAATATGTAAATAGCATGTTTTTGCAGGTGCTAAAAACCAGACTCTGAGTGTGTGTGTGTGTGTGTGTGTGTGTGTGTGTGTGTGTGTGTGTGTGTGTGTGTGTCTATGTGTGCGTTCAAGTCACATGACATATTTAACCGGATGTAGCTGCAAGACGGAGCCTCGTTGACTCTCCGTTTCAACTTATCTCAAAAGTGAGGACCTCAACCTATATACCAGTTTTTAAATTGTGTTGATAGGCCAAATAAAACCAGAGTTATGATAAATTATGTCCGCGATACTTTTTTTCTGCTTATTTTGATCACGTTCGGCGCTCGATCGCGCTGTATGAGACAGGAAAACATAGCATGCAGACATTAGCGACAGGTCTTACAGGCGGAAAAGGCTTGCCAAAAGAAAAAAAAAACACACCACAACATCTCTCCTATTGGTGGAAAACTTCACCACAACAACCAATCCAAAATTATATGGTGACTGATTGACAAGGGGCGGGCGCTTACGTTCTTCCTGCAACATGAGAAGGGAGGGAGGGACTCTCAGCAGGGATGCAGTCTGGGACACGTAGTTGCAAACCTAGCGACTTTGTTGTTAGATTCAATTACTTTTCAGACACCCTAACGACTTTTTTAGAAAGAAAGGGACTTTTATCGACTTCTTCTGGAGTTTAGAGACTCTGACATGAAGCAGGCTTTCCTTACTGAGGAGTTAGCAACGCTGCTAAGAGTGCAGAGCCACACATGCGCTCAGAGCTCTGCATGGGAGACTGAAGCTGACAGAGCTGCAGCAGTTAGCAGGTTTCACCCTCAGAGACCACCAGGGGTTCATGTTGAGGCATTTTAATTTTTTTTTTTGTGCCATAGACACTGTCAGCACAATCTGCAGTTACACTAACAAAAATGCTGCAAAAAACAAAGAATTATGGAAAAATTACACATGGACTGACATAGAGGAGGATCTACACAAGTTTTTTACATCATGTTTTACATCATGCATCATTTACATCATGTTTTTTTGTAGTGGCATAAATAAAAAGTGACATTTGTGAGACTATACAGTGTTTTGTAAATAATTTTACAAAGAACGCCTGGGCCATTGCCTGCATTTTGATGTAAATAGAGGTAAATTACTATGTTCTTTGTTAAAAATTTGCATATGTTTTGAAGTTTACAATTTTTATTTGAAGTTTAAGTTTTAAAAACAGTTCATCACACATATTTGTGGTTTAATTTCACATTAATTTCCATATTGTATAAATGACTGGAAAAAACTTGAGCCCCTGCCCCTGTATAATCATGTGCACGTCCCTGTTCTAGCTCCAAGGTGAATCTTCACTGCTCATGTTCTCCTCAGAAATAGTCACCTCACTCCCCTCAGGTTACTGTACACATGCACCAACTATCTGCTTCAGGTTTGAAATGGAGCTTCATGGTTGTCTTTTGGAAAAATGAACAGTCAAGTTGTGTTTGAAATTTGATTTTTTTCAGGGGCAAAAGGAAGCCTCTGCATTCTTGTCAAATATGTAAACAGCATGTTTTTGCAGGTGCTAAAAAACAGACTCTGAGTGTGTGTCTGTGTGTGTGTGTGTGTGTGTGTGTGTGTGTGTGTGTGTGTGTGTGTTGTTGGCATGTGTGTATATGTGTGTGTATCCTGCAGTACTCTGTACTCCTGCAGTGGCCAAAAAGACTTTTAAGAATGTGGATTTTTGGGTCATCTTTGGCGCCCCCTAGAACTGCAGTACTCTGTACTCCTGCAGTGGCCAAAATGACTTTTAAGAATGTGGATTTTTGGGTCATCTTTGGCGCCCCCTAGAACGTAAACCGTGGGGTGCAGCGTCATGATTTTTACAACTTTGAATGGGCATGGGGTGTAGATTGCCCTGAGCAAATTTGGTATCGGTGGGACGAAAGCCTTAGGAGGAGATAGCCACATTCCAATGTGTGCGAATCGGCAAAAAATGCAAAATAGCCCTTTAACCGTACATTATACAGATACGCGCTCTTTGACTTTTTCGTAGATCTAATTGAGATACACATGATTGTCAATTTTTGTGTCAATATGACAAAGCGTTCAGGCGTGACACTCAACAATGTGTATTTTTATGAAAGGGGACAAGAAAAAATTGACTTTTTTCTCCTACCATGGGGGGGCGCTCTTTTGGGGAGTAAAAATTCCTTCACAAATGTGTTGATGGCTGGACATTGCATCATCCTAGAAAACTTGGAGGCCAGTGAGGACAAAAATAAAAAGTTATAAAACATTTAAGAATGTGGATTTTTGGGTTATTTTTGGCGCCCCCTAGAACCTAAACCATGGGGTGCAGCATCATGATTTGAATAACTTTTAATGGCAATGGGGTGTACATTGGCCTGAGCAAATGTGGTGCCGGTGGAACGAAAGCCTTCGGAGGAGTTAGCGTAATTCCAATGTGTGCGTATCGGCAAAAAATGCGGAATAACCCTTTAACTGTACATTTGATAGATACGCGCGCATGGACTTTTTTGTAGATCTTATTGAGTTACATGTGTGTGTCAATTTTTGTGTCATTTTGACAAAGCGTATAGGCGTGACACTCAACAATGTGTATTTTCACCTTAGGGGACAAGAAAAAATGGACTTTTTTCTCCTGCCATGGGGGGGCGCTCTTTTGGGGAGTAAAAATTCCTTCACAAATGTGTTGATGGCTGGACATTGCATCATCCTAGAAAACTTGGAGGCCAGTGAGGACAAAAATAAAAAGTTATAAGACTTTTAAATATGTGGATTTTAGTGTTATCTTTGGCGCCCCCTAGAACCTAAACCTTGGGGTGCAGCGTCATGATTTTGATAACTTTTAATGGCCACGGGGTGTAGATTGGCCTGATCAAATGTGGTGCCGGTGGAACGAAAGCCTTCGGAGGAGTTAGCGAAATTCCAATGTGTGCGGATCGGCAAAAAATGCGAAATAACCCTTTAACCGTAATTTTGACAGATACGGCCGCACTGACTTTTTTGTAGATCTTATTGAGATACATATGTGTGTCAATTTTTGTGTCAATATGACAAAGCGTACAGGCGTGACAGTCAATAGTGTGAATTTCCACCTTAGGGGGCGCTATGGAGCCATTTTGCATTTTATTGTTTGGGCGACTTCAGAATATCGAATTTTTCACCAGGCCCGGTCGTCCTGCCAAATTTCATGAGTTTTCGCCAGTGGGAAGTGGGCCATTTTCCAGTTCAAAGGGGAGGAAAAAGAAGAAAGAAAGAAAGAAAGAAAGAAAGAAAGAAAGAAACAAAGAAAAACCACTTGGGGAATAATAGGGCCTACGCCCGGCTGCTCTGCAGCTGGCTCGGGCCCTAAAGAAAGAAAGAAACAAAGAAACAAAGAAAAACCACTTGGGGAATAATAGGGCTCTACGCCCGGCTGCTCTGCAGCTGGCTCGGGCCCTAAAGAAAGAAAGAAACAAAGAAAAACCACTTGGGGAATAATAGGGCTCTACGCCCGGCTGCTCTGCAGCTGGCTCGGGCCCTAAAGAAAGAAAGAAACAAAGAAAAACCACTTGGGGAATAATAGGGCCTACGCCCGGCTGCTCTGCAGCTGGCTCGGGCCCTAAAGAAAGAAAGAACTAGGGCCCCGTTGGGGCACTGGCGGGCCCGAGCCGTGTCGCACCCCCCCCCCCCCAACGCGCTGCCTCCCCGTCCCATTCGTGTCCTCTGGCCATCGCCCTCTCTGGTAACGCCCATCACTGCAAAGACCCTTTTCCTTCATCGGCGTTTGCTGTTCTTCCTGCCAGTGCGTGTTGCTTTCACTTACACTTGCCACAGCCAGCCTCGTGAGTGCCTAGCCTATTGGATATCACTGTCACCTACACAGGACAGTCATACTTTGTTTTTTAATTTCACATTAATTTCCATATTGTATAAACGACTGGAAAAAACTTGAGCCCCTGCCCCTGTATTATCATGTGCACGTCCCTGTTCTAGCTCCAAGGTGAATCTTCAGTGCTCATGTTCTCCTCAGAAGCAGTCACCTCACTCCCCTCAGGTTACTGTACACATGCACCAACTGCCTGCTTCAGGTTTGGATGGAGCTTCATGGTTGTCTTTTGGAGAAATGACCAGTCAAGTTGTGTCTGAAATTTGATTTTTTTCAGGGGCAAAAGGAAGCCTCCGCATTCTTGTCAAATATGTAAATAGCATGTTTTTGCAGGTGCTAAAAAACAGACTCTGAGTGTGTGTGTGTGTGTGTGTGTGTGTGTGTGTGTGTGTGTGTGTGTGTGCGTGTGTGTGTGTGTGTCTGTGTGTGTGTGTGTGTGTGTATCCTGCAGTACTCTGAGAAGAATAATAAGCATATTTCTGAGGTGAATTTTGAAGATTCATCTGAGAGTTAGGTTTGATTCGATTCGATTGACGCTCCCCAGCGTTCAAGTCACATGACATATTTAACCGGATGTAGCTGCAAGACGGAGCCTCGTTAACTCTCCGTTTCAACTTATCTCAAAAGTGAGGACCTCAACCTATATACCAGTTTTTAAATTGTGTTGATAGGCCAAATAAAACCAGAGTTATGATAAATTATGTCCGCGATACTTTTTTTCTGCTTATTTTGATCACGTTCGGCGCTCGATCGTGCTGTATGAGACAGGAAAACATTGCATGCACACATTAGTGACAGGTCATACAGGCGGAAAAGGCTTGCCAAAAGAAAAAAAAAAACACACCACAACATCTCTCCTATTGGTGGAAAACTTCACCACAACAACCAATCCAAAATTATATGGTGACTGATTGACAAGGGGCGGGCGCTTACGTTCTTCCTGCAACATGAGAAGGGAGGGAGGGACTCTCAGCAGGGATGCAGTCTGGGACACGTAGTTGCAAACCTAGCGACTTTGTTGTTAGATTCAATTACTTTTCAGACCCCCTAACGACTTTTTTTAGAAAGAAAGGGACTTTTATCGACTTCTTCTGGAGTTTAGAGACTCTGACATGAAGCAGGCTTTCCTTACTGAGGAGTTAGCAACGCTGCTAAGGGTGCAGAGCCACACATGCGCTCCGAGCTCTGCATGGGAGACAGAAGCTGACAGAGCTGCAGCAGTTAGCAGGTTTCACCCTCAGAGACCACCAGGGGTTCATGTTGAGGCATTTTCAGTTTTTTTTTTTTTGCCATAGACAGTCAGCACAATCTGCAGTTACACTAACAAAAATGCTGCAAAAAACAAAGAATTATGGAAAAATTACACATGGACTGACATAGAGGAGGATCTACACAAGTTTTTTACATCATGTTTTACATCATGCATCATTTACATCATGTTTTTTTGTAGTGGCATAAATAAAAAGTGACATTTGTGAGACTATACAGTGTTTTGTAAATAATTTTACAAAGAACGCCTGGGCCATTGCCTGCATTTTGATGTAAATAGAGGTAAATTACTATGTTCTTTGTTAAAAATTTGCATATGTTTTGAAGTTTACAATTTTTATTTGAAGTTTAAGTTTTAAAAACAGTTCATCACAGATATTTGTGGTTTAATTTCACATTAATTTCCATATTGTATAAATGACTGGAAAAAACTTGAGCCCCTGCCCCTGTATAATCATGTGCACGTCCCTGTTCTAGCTCCAAGGTGAATCTTCACTGCTCATGTTCTCCTCAGAAATAGTCACCTCACTCTCCTCAGGTTACTGTACACATGCACCAACTATCTGCTTCAGGTTTGGATGGAGCTTCATGGTTGTCTTTTGGAGAAATGAACAGTCAAGTTGTGTTTGAAATCTGATTTTTTTCAGGGGCAAAAGGAAGCCTCTGCATTCTTGTCAAATATGTAAACAGCATGTTTTTGCAGGTGCTAAAAAACAGACTCTGAGTGTGTGTGTGTGTGTGTGTGTGTGTGTGTGTGTGTGTGTGTGTGTGTGTATATGTGTGTGTATCCTGCAGTACTCTGTACTCCTGCAGTGGCCAAAAAGACTTTTAAGAATGTGGATTTTTGGGTCATCTTTGGCGCCCCCTAGAACTGCAGTACTCTGTACTCCTGCAGTGGCCAAAATGACTTTTAAGAATGTGGATTTTTGGGTCATCTTTGGCGCCCCCTAGAACGTAAACCGTGGGGTGCAGCGTCATGATTTTTACAACTTTGAATGGGCATGGGGTGTAGATTGGCCTGAGCAAATTTGGTATCGGTGGGACGAAAGCCTTAGGAGGAGATAGCCACATTCCAATGTGTGCGAATCAACCAAAAATGCGAAATAGCCCTTTAACCGTACATTTTGCAGACACGTGCGCATTGACTTTTTCATAGATCTTATTGAGATACACGTGATTATCAAATTTTGTTTCAATATGACAAAGCGTACAGGCGTGACACTCAACAATGTGTATTTTCACCTTATAGGACAAGAAAAAATGGCCTTTTTTCTCCTGCCATGGGGGGGCGCTCTTTTGGGGAGTAAAAATTCCTTCACAAATGTGTTGATGGCTGGACATTGCATCATCCTAGAAAACTTGGAGGCCAGTGAGGACAAAAATAAAAAGTTATAAGACTTGTAAGAATGTGGATTTTTGGGTTATCTTTGGCGCCCCCTACAACGTAAACCGTGGGGTGCAGCGTCATGATTTGTACAACTTTGAATGGCCATGGGGTGTAGATTGGCCTGAGCAAATTTGGTGCCGGTGGAACGAAAGCCTTCGGAGGAGTTAGCGAAATTCCAATGTGTGCGGATCGGCAAAAAATGCGAAATAGCCCTTTAACCGTACATTTGACAGATACGCCCGCACTGACTTTTTTGTAGATCTTATTGAGATACACGTGTGTGTCAAATTTTGTGTCATTTTGACAAAGCGTACAGGCGTGACACTCAATCATGTGAATTTTTCACCTTAGGGGGCGCTATGGAGCCATTTTGCATTTGATTGTTTGGGTGACTTCAGAATATCGAATTTTTCACCAGGCCCGGTCGTCCTGCCAAATTTCATGAGTTTTCACCAGTGGGAAGTGGGCCATTTTCCAGTTCAAAGGGGCAGAAAAATAATAATAAGAAGAAGAAGAACTAGGGCCCCGTTGGGGCACTGGCGGGCCCGAGCCGTGTCACGCCGCCCCCAGCGCGACCGCCTCCCCCACCCGATCGCGTCACACTCAAGGTCCAAAGATGGTGTGCGCACTTGTTTGTGGTCATTTACCATTATAATGAACGGGAGGCGCAGTTTCTACCAAAACGCTCGCTGCAGAAAAACTCCATGTCCTATTTGAAAAAAGTCTGGACCATGAGTGAGGGCACAAACACAGCTAAGATATATCCAAATGGCAAGTTGCTCCTCCTTTCGCTTTTGCCGAGAGAGCAGTGCGTTTGAGCCATTGAATGATGAACAGGAAAAACTTGACTTTATTCTCCTGCCATGGGGGGGCGCTCTTTTAAAGAGAAAAAACTCCTTCACAAATGTGTTGATGGCTGGACATTGCATCATCCTAGAAAACATGGAGGCCAGTGAGGACAAAAATAAAAAGTTATAAGACTTTTAAATATGTGGATTTTAGGGTTATATTTGGCGCCCCCTAGAACCTAAACCGTGGGGTGCAGCGTCATGATTTGAATAACCTTTAATGGCCATGGGGTGTAGATTGGCCTGAGCAAATGTGGTGCCGGTGGAACGAAAGCCTTCGGAGGAATTAGCGAAATCCCAATGTGTGCGAATCTGCAAAAAATGCGAAATAACCCTTTAACTGTACATTTTACAGATACATGGCCATTGACTTTTTCGAAGATCTTATTGAAATACACGTGTATGTAAAATTTTGTGTCAATACGACAAAACATACAGGCGTAGCACTCAACAATGTGTATTTTCACCTTAGTGGACAAGAAAAAATTGACTTTTTTCTCCTGCCATGGGGGGGCGCTCTTTTGCCGAGTAAAAATTCCTTCACAAATGTGTTGATGGCTGGACATTGCATCATCCTAGAAAACTTGGAGGCCAGTGGGGACAAAAATAAAAAGTTATAAGACTTTTAAATATGTGGATTTTAGGGTTATCTTTGGCGCCCCCTAGAACCTAAACCGTGGGGTGCAGCGTCATGATTTGAATAACTTTTAATGGCCATGGGGTGTAGATTGGCCTGAGCAAATGTGGTGCCGGTGGAACGAAAGCCTTCGGAGGAGTTAGCGAAATTCCAATGTGTGCGGATCGGCAAAAAATGCGCAATAACCCTTTAACCGTACATTTGACAGATACGCGCGCATTGACTTTTTCGTAGATCTTATTGAGATACATGTGTGTGTCAATTTTTGTGTCATTTTGCCAAAGCGTACAGGTGTTACACTCAACAATGTGTATTTTCACCTTAGGGGACAAGAAAAAATGGACTTTTTTCTCCTGCCATGGGGGGGCGCTCTTTTGGGGAGTAAAAATTCCTTCACAAATGTGTTGATGGCTGGACATTGCATCATCCTAGAAAACTTGGAGGCCAGTGAGGGCAAAAATAAAAAGTTATAAGACTTTTAAATATGTGGATCTTAGGGTTATCTTTGGCGCCCCCTAGAACCTAAACCGTGGGGTGCAGCGTCATGATTTGAATAACTTTTAATGGCCATGGGGTGTAGATTGGCCTGAGCAAATGTGGTGCCGGTGGAACGAAAGCCTTCGGAGGAGTTAGCGAAATTCCAATGTGTGCGGATCGGCAAAAAATGCGAAATAACCCTTTAACCGTACATTTGACAGATACGCCCGCACTGACTTTTTTGTAGATCTTATTGAGATACATGTGTGTGTCAATTTTTGTGTCATTTTGACAAAGCGTACAGGCGTGACAGTGAATAGTGTGAATTTTCACCTTAGGGGGCGCTATGGAGCCATTTTGCATTTTCTTGTTTGGGCGACTTCGGAATATCAAATTTTTCACCAGGCCCGGTCGTCCTGCCAAATTTCATGAGTTTTCGCCAGTGGGAAGTGGGCCATTTTCCAGTTCAAAGGGGAGGAAAAATAATAATAACAAAAGAAGGAAACTACAGGAACAAGAGGGCTCTCGCAGCTGCTTAGCAGCTACGCTCGGGCCCTAAAGAAGAATCCATCAGGAATAATAGGGCTCTCGCAGCTGCTTAGCAGCTACGCTCGGGCCCTAAAGAAAGAAACAAAGAAAAACCACTTGGGGAATAATAGGGCCTACGCCCGGCTGCTCTGCAGCTGGCTCGGGCCCTAAGAAAGAAACAAAGAAAAACCACTTGGGGAATAATAGGGCTCTCGCAGCTGCTTAGCAGCTACGCTCGGGCCCTAACTAGGGCCCCGTTGGGGCACTGGCGGGCCCGAGCTGTGTCGCGCCCCCCCCCAACGTGCTGCCTCCCCGTCCCATTCGCGTCCTCTGGCCATCGTCCTCTCTGGTGACGCCCATCACTGCAAAGACCCTTTTCCTTCATCGGGGTTTGCTGTTCTTCCTGCCAGTGCGTGTTGCTTTCACTTACACTTGCCACAGCCAGCCTCGTGAGTGCCTAGCCTATTGGATATCACTGTCACCTACACAGGACAGTCATTACCTTTCTATTAATACTTTGTTTTTTAATTTCACATTAATTTCCATATTGTATAAACGACTGGAAAAAACTTGAGCCCCTGCCCCTGTATAATCATGTGCACGTCCCTGTTCTCGCTCCAAGGTGAATCTTCACTGCTCATGTTCTCCTCAGAAGCAGTCACCTCACTCCCCTCAGGTTACTGTACACATGCACCAACTGCCTGCTTCAGGTTTGGATGGAGCTTCATGGTTGTCTTTTGGAGAAATGAACAGTCAAGTTGTGTTTGAAATTTGATTTTTTTCAGGGGCAAAAGGAAGCCTCTGCATTCTTGTCAAATATGTAAACAGCATGTTTTTGCAGGTGCTAAAAAACAGACTCTGAGTGTGTGTGTGTGTGTGTGTGTGTGTGTGTGTGTGTGTGTGTGTGTGTGTGTGTGTGTGTGTGTGTGTGTGTATCCTGCAGTACTCTGTACTCCTGCAGTGACCAAAAAGACTTTTAAGAATGTGGATTTTTGGGTCATCTTTGGCGCCCCCTAGAACTGCAGTACTCTTTACTCCTGCAGTGGCCAAAATGACTTTTAAGAATGTGGATTTTTGGGTCATCTTTGGCGCCCCCTAGAACGTAAACCGTGGGGTGCAGCGTCATGATTTTTACAACTTTGAATGGCCATGGGTTGTAGATTGGCCTGAGCAAATTTGGTGTCATTGGGACGAAAGCCTTAGGAGGAGTTAGCCACATTCCAATGTGTGCAAATCGGCAAAAAATGCAAAATAGCCCTTTTACCGTACATTATACACATACGCGCTCTTTGACTTTTTCGTAGATCTTATTGAGATACACGTGATTGTCAAATTTTGTGTCAATATGACAAAGCGTTCAGGCATGACACTCTACAATGTGTGTTTTCACCTTAGGGGACAAGAAAAAATGCACTTTTTTCTCCTGCCATGGGGGGGCGCTCTTTTGGGGAGTAAAAATTCCTTCACAAATGTGTTGATGGCTGGACATTGCATCATCCTAGAAAACTTGGAGGCCAGTGAGGACAAAAATGAAAAGTTATAAGACTTTTAAGAATGTGGATTTTTGGGTTATCTTTGGCGCCCCCTAGAACGTAAACCGTGGGGTGCAGCGTCATGATTTGTACAACTTTTAATGGCCATGGGGTGTAGATTGACCTGAGCAAATTTGGTGCCGGTGGAACGAAAGCCTTTGGAGGAGTTAGCGAAATTCCAATGTGTGCGGATCGGCAGAAAATGCGAAATAGCCCTTTAACCGTACATTATACAGATACGCGCTCTTTGACTTTTTCGTAGATCTTATTGAGATACACGTCATTGTCAAATTTTGTGTCAATATGACAAAGCGTTCAGGCGTGACACTCTACAATGTGTATTTTCATGTTAGGGGACAAGAAAAAATGGACTTTTTTCACCTGCCATGGGGGGGCGCTCTTTTGGGGAGTAAAAATTCCTTCACAAATGTGTTGATGGCTGGACATTGCATCATCCTAGAAAACTTGGAGGCCAGTGAGGACAAAAATAAAAAGTTATAAGACTTTTAAGAATGTGGATTTTTGGGTTATCTGTGGCGCCCCCTATAACCTAAACCGTGGGGTGCAGCGTCATGATTTGTACAACTTTCAATGGCCATGGGGTGCAGATTGGCCTGAGCAAATGTGGTGCCGGTGGAACGAAAGCCTTCGGAGGAGTTAGCGAAATTCCAATGTGTGCGGATCTGCAAAAAATGCGAAATAACCCTTTAACCGTACTTTTGACAGATACGCCCGCACTGACTTTTTTGTAGATCTTATTGAGATACATGTGTGTGTCAATTTTTGTGTCAATATGACAAAGCGTACAGGCGTGACAGGCAATAGTGTGAATTTTCACCTTAGGGGGCGCTATGGAGCCATTTTGCATTTTATTGTTTGGGCGACTTCAGAATATCGAATTTTTCACCAGGCCCGGTTGTCCTGCCAAATTTCATGAGTTTTCGCCAGTGGGAAGTGGGCAATTTTCCAGTTTAAAGCGGAGGAAAAATAATAATAATAATAATAACTAGGGCCCCGGTGGGGCACTGTCGGGCCCGAGCCGCGTCGCGCCGCCCCCAGCGCGACCGCCTCCCCCTCCCGATTGCATCACACTCAAGGTCCAAAGATGGTGTGCGCACTTGTCTGTGGTCATTTCCCATTATAATGAATGGGAGGCGCAGTTTCTACCAAAACGGTCGCTGCAGACAAACTACATGTCCTATTTGAAAAAAGTCTGGACCATGAGTGAGGGCACAAACACAGCTGGGATATATCCAAATGGCAAGTTGCTCCTCCTTACGGTGTTGCCGGGAGAGCGATGCGATTGAGCCATTGAGCGATGGGCAGGGTTAACTGGACTTTTTCTCCTGCCTTGGGGGGGGGGGGGGGGGGGTGTGGATTCTTTTAAGAATGTGGATATTTGGGTCATCTTTGGCGCCCCCTAGAACGTAAACCATGGGGTGCAGCGGCATGATTTTTACAACTTTGAATGGCCATGGGATGTAGATCGGCTTGAGCAAATTTGGTGTCGGTGGGAAGAAAGCCTTAGGAGGAGTTAGCCACATTCCAATGTGTGCGAATCGGGAAAAAATGCGAAATAGCCCTTTAACCGTACATTTTACAGATACGTGCCCATTGACTTTTTCGTAGATCTTATTGAGATACACGTGTGTGTCAAATTTTGTGTCATTTTGACAAAGCGTATAGGCGTGACAGTCAACAATGTGTTTTTTCACCTTAGGGGACAAGAAAAAATGGACTTTTTTCTCCTGCCATGGGGGGGCGCCCTTTTCGGGAGTAAAAATTCCTTTACAAATGTGTTGATGGCTGGACATTGCATCATCCTAGAAAACTTGGAGGCCAGTGAGGACAAAAATAAAAAGTTATAAGACTATTAAGAATGTGGATTTTTGGGTTATCTTTGGCGCCCCCTAGAACCTAAACCGTGGAGTGCAGCGTCATGATTTGTACAACTTTTAATGGCCATGGGGTGTAGATTGGCCTGAGCAAATTTGGTGGCGGTGGAACTAAAGCCTTCGGAGGAGTTAGCGAAATTCCAATGTGTGCGGATCGGGAAAAAATGCGAAATAACCCTTTAACCGTACATTTTACAGATACGTGCCCATTGACTTTTTCGTAGATCTTATTGAGATACACGTGTGTGTCAAATTTTGTATCATTTTGACAAAGCGTATAGGCGTGACAGTCAACAATGTGTTTTTTCACCTTAGGGGACAAGAAAAAATGGACTTTTTTCTCCTGCCATGGGGGGGCGCTCTTTTCGTGAGTAAAAATTCCTTCACAAATGTGTTGATGGCTGGACATTGCATCATCCTAGAGAACTTGGAGGCCAGTGAGGACAAAAATAAAAAGTTATAAGACTTTTAAGACTGTGGATTTTTGGGTTATCTTTGGCGCCCCCTAGAACGTAAACCGTGGGGTGCAGCGTCATGATTTGTACAACTTTTAATGGCCATGGGGTGTAGATTGGCCTGAGCAAATGTGGTGCCGGTGGAACGAAAGCCTTCGGAGGAGTTAGCGAAATTCCAATGTGTGCAGATCGGCAAAAAATGCGAAATAACCCTCTAACCGTACATTTCACAGATGCGCCCGCACTGACTTTTTCGTAGACCGTATTGAGATACACGTGTGTGTCAATTTTTGTGTCAAAATGACAAAGCGTACAGGCGTGACAGTCAATAGTGTGAATTTTCGCCTTAGGGGGCGCTATGGAGCCATTTTGCATTTTATTGTTTGGGCGACTTCAGAATATCGAATTTTTCACCAGGCCCGGTCGTCCTGCCAAATTTCCTGAGTTTTCGCCAGTGGGAAGTGGGCCATTTTCCCCTTCAAAGGGGAGGAAAAATAACTAGGGCCCCGTTGGGGCACTGGCGGGCCCGAGCCGCGTTGCGCCGCCCCCAGTGCGACCGCCTCCCCCTCCCGATCGCGTCACACTCAAGGTCCAAAGATGGTGTGCGCACTTGTCTGTGGTCATTTCCCATTATAATGAATGGGAGGCGCAGTTTCTACCAAAACACTCGCTGCAGACAAACTACATGTCCTATTTGAAAAAAGTCTGGACCATGAGTGAGGGCACAAACACAGCTAGGATATATCCAAACGGCAAGTTGCTCCTCGTTACGGTGTTGCCGGGAGAGCGATGCGATTGAGCCATTGAGTGATGGGCAGGAAAAACTTGACTGTTTCTCCTGCCATGGGGGATGGGGGATGGGGGGGGGATGTGGATTCTTTTAAGAATGTGGATATTTGGGTCATCTTTGGCGCCCCCTAGAACGTGAGCCGTGGGGTGCAGCGTCATGATTTTTACAACTTTGAATGGCCATGGGGTGTAGATTGGCCTGAGCAAATTTGGTGTCAGTGGGACGAAAGCCTTAGGAGGAGTTAGCCACATTCCAATGTGTGCGAATCGGCAAAAAATGCAAAATAGCCCTTTAACCGTACATTTGACAGATACACGCCCATTGACTTTTTCGTAGATCTTATTGAGATACACGTGATTGTCAAATTTTGTGTCAATATGACAAAGCGTATAGGCGTGAATCTCAACAATATGTATTTTCACCTTAGGGGACAAGAAAAAATGGACTTTTTTCTCCTGCCATGGGGGGGCGCTCTTTTGGGGAGTAAAAATTCCTTCACAAATGTGTTGATGGCTGGACATTGCATCATCCTAGAAAACCTGGAGGCCAGTGAGGACAAAAATAAGAAGTTATAAGACTTTTAAATATGTGGATTTTAGGGTTATCTTTGGCGCCCCCTAGAACCTAAACCGTGGGGTGCAGCGTCATGATTTGAATAACTTTTAATGGCCATGGGGTGTAGATTGGCCTGAGCAAATGTGGTGCCAGTGGGACGAAAGCCTTAGGAGGAGTTAGCCACATTCCAATGTGTGCGGATCGGCAAAAAATGCGGAATAACCCTTTAACCGTACATGTGACAGATACGCGCGCATTGACTTTTTTGTAGATCTTATTGAGATACATGTGTGTGTCAATATTTGTGTCATTTTGCCAAAGCGTACAGGCGTGACACTAAACAATGTGTATTTTCACCTTAGGGGACAAGAAAAAATAGACTTTTTTCTCCTGCCATGGGGGGCGCTCTTTTGGGGAGTAAAATTTCCTTCACAAATGTGTTGATGGCTGGACATTGCATTATCCTAGAAAACTTGGAGGCCAGTGAGGACAAAAATAAAAAGTTATAAGACTTTTAAGAATGTGGATTTTTGGGTTATCTTTGGCGCCCCCTAGAACCTAAACCGTGGGGTGCAGCGTCATGATTTGTACAACTTTTAATGGCCATGGGGTGTAGATTGGCCTGAGCAAATTTGGTGCCGGTGGAACGAAAGCCTTCGGAGGAGTTAGCGAAATTCCAATGTGTGCGGATCGGCAAAAAATGAAAAATAGCCCTTTAACCGTACATTATACAGATACGCGCTCTTTGACTTTTTTGTAGATCTTATTGAGATACACGTGATTGTCAAATTTTTTGTCAATATGACAAAGCGTTTAGGCGTGACACTCAACAATGTGTATTTTCATGTTAGGGGACAAGAAAAACTTGACTTTTTTCTCCTGCCATGGGGGGGCGCTCTTTTGGGGAGTAAAAATTCCTTCACAAATGTGTTGATGGCTTGACATGGCATCATCCTAGAAAACTTGGAGGCCAGTGAGGACAAAAATAAAAAGTTATAAGACTTTTAAGAATGTGGATTTTTGGGTTATCTTTGGCGCCCCCTAGAACGTAAACCGTGGGGTGCAGCATCATGATTTGTACAACTTTTAATGGCCATGGGGTGTAGATTGGCCTGAGCAAATGTGGTGCCGGTGGAACGAAAGCCTTCGGAGGAGTTAGCGAAATTCCAATGTGTGCGGATCGGCAAAAAATGCGAAATAGCCCTTTAACGGTACATTTGACAGATACGCCCGCACTGACTTTTTTGTAGATCTTATTTAGATACACATGTGTGTCAAATTTTGTGTCATTTTGACAAAGTGTACAGGCGTCAGGTGAGTTTTCACCATAGGGGGCGCTATGCAGCCATTTTTCATTTTTTTGTTTGGGCGACTTCAGAATATCAAATTTTTCACCAGGCCCAGTCGTCCTGCCAAATTTCCTGAGTTTTCGCCAGTGGGAAGTGGGCCATTTTCCAGTTTAAAGCGGAGGAAAAATAACGAAAGAAGAATCCATCAGGAACAAGAGGGCTCTCGCAGCTGCTTAGCAGCTACGCTCGGGCCCTAAGAAGAAAGAAAGAAAGAAAGAAAGAAAGAAAGAAGAAAGAAAAACCTATACAGGAATAATAGGGCTCTACGCCCGGCTGCTCTGCAGCTGGCTCGGGCCCTAACTAGGACCCCGTTGGGGCACTGGCGGGCCCGAGCCGTGTCGCGTCCCCCCCCCCAACGTGCTGCCTCCCCGTCCCATTTGTGTCCTCTGGCCATCGCCCTCTCTGGTAACGCCCATCACTGCAAAGACCCTTTTCCTTCATCGGCGTTTGCTGTTCTTCCTGCCAGTGCGTGTTGCTTTCACTTACACTTGCCACAGCCAGCCTCGTGAGTGCCTAGCCTATTGGATATCACTGTCACCTACACAGGACAGTCATTACCTTTCTATTAATACTTTGTGTTTTAATTTCACATTAATTTCCATATTGTATAAACGACTGGAAAAAACTTGAGCCCCTGCCCCTGTATAATCATGTGCACGTCTCTGTTCTAGCTCTAAGGTGAATCTTCACTGCTCATGTTCTCCTCAGAAGCACTCACCTCACTCCCCTCAGGTTACTGTACACATGCACCAACTGCCTGCTTCAGGTTTGGATGGAGCTTCATGGTTGTCTTTTGGAGAAATGACCAGTCAAGTTGTGTTTGAAATTTGATTTTTTTCAGGGGCAAAAGGAGCCTCTGCATTCTTGTCAAATATGTAAATAGCATGTTTTTGCAGGTGCTAAAAACCAGACTCTGAGTGTGTGTGTGTGTGTGTGTGTGTGTGTGTGTGTGTGTGCGTGCGTGTGTGTGTGTCTGTGTGTGCGTTCAAGTCACATGACATATTTAACCGGATGTAGCTGCAAGACGGAGCCTCGTTGACTCTCCATTTCAACTTATCTCAAAAGTGAGGACCTCAACCTATATACCAGTTTTTAAATTGTGTTGATAGGCCAAATAAAACCAGAGTTATGATAAATTATGTCCGCAATACTTTTTTTCTGCTTATTTTGATCACGTTCGGCGCTCGATCGCGCTGTATGAGACAGGAAAACATAGCATGCAGACATTAGCGACAGGTCTTACAGGCGGAAAAGGCTTGCCAAAAGAAAAAAAAAACACACCACAACATCTCTCCTATTGGTGGAAAACTTCACCACAACAACCAATCCAAAATTATATGGTGACTGATTGACAAGGGGAGGGCGCTTACGTTCTTCCTGCAACATGAGAAGCGAGGGAGGGACTCTCAGCAGGGATGCAGTCTGGGACACGTAGTTGCAAACCTAGCGACTTTGTTGTTAGATTCAATGACTTTTCAGACCCCCTAACGACTTTTTTTTAGAAAGAAAGGGACTTTTATCGACTTCTTCTGGAGTTTAGAGACTCTGACATGAAGCAGGCTTTCCTTACTGAGGAGTTAGTAACGCTGCTAAGGGTGCAGAGCCACACATGCGCTCCGAGCTCTGCATGGGAGACATGCATGCATCATTTACATCATGTTTTTTTGTAGTGGCATAAATAAAAAGTGACATTTGTGAGACTATACAGTGTTTTGTAAATAATTTTACAAAAAACGCCTGGGCCATTGCCTGCATTTTGATGTCAATAGAGGTAAATTACTATGTTCTTTGTTAAAAATTTGCATATGTTTTGAAGTTTACAATTTTTATTTGAAGTTTAAGTTTTAAAAACAGTTCATCACACATATTTGTGGTTTAATTTCACATTAATTTCCATATTGTATAAATGACTGGAAAAAACTTGAGCCCCTGCCCCTGTATAATCATGTGCACGTCCCTGTTCTAGCTCCAAGGTGAATCTTCACTGCTCATGTTCTCCTCAGAAATAGTCACCTCACTCCCCTCAGGTTACTGTACACATGCACCAACTATCTGCTTCAGGTTTGGATGGAGCTTCATGGTTGTCTTTTGGAGAAATGAACAGTCAAGTTGTGTTTGAAATCTGATTTTTTTCAGGGGCAAAAGGAAGCCTCTGCATTCTTGTCAAATATGTAAACAGCATGTTTTTGCAGGTGCTAAAAAACAGACTCTGAGTGTGTGTGTGTGTGTGTGTGTGTGTGTGTGTGTGTGTGTGTGTGTGTGTGTGTGTGTGTGTGTATATGTGTGTGTATCCTGCAGTACTCTGTACTCCTGCAGTGGCCAAAAAGACTTTTAAGAATGTGGATTTTTGGGTCATCTTTGGCGCCCCCTAGAACTGCAGTACTCTGTACTCCTGCAGTGGCCAAAATGACTTTTAAGAATGTGGATTTTTGGGTCATCTTTGGCGTCCCCTAGAACGTAAACCGTGGGGTGCAGCGTCATGATTTTTACAACTTTGAATGGGCATGGGGTGTAGATTGCCCTGAGCAAATTTGGTATCGGTGGGACGAAAGCCTTAGGAGGAGATAGCCACATTCCAATGTGTGCGAATCGGCAAAAAATGCGAAATAGCCCTTTAACCGTACATTATACAGATACGCGCTTTTTGACTTTTTCGTAGATCTAATTGAGATACACATGATTGTCAATTTTTGTGTCAATATGACAAAGCGTTCAGGCGTGACACTCAACAATGTGTATTTTCATGTAAGGGGACAAGAAAAAATTGACTTTTTTCTCCTGCCATGGGGGGGCGCTCTTTTGGGGAGTAAAAATTCCTTCACAAATGTGTTGATGGCTGGACATTGCATCATCCTAGAAAACTTGGAGGGCAGTGAGGACAAAAATAAAAAGTTATAAGACTTTTAAGAATGTGGATTTTGGGTTATCTTTGGCGCCCCATAGAACGTAAACCGTGGAGTGCAGCGTCATGATTTGTACAACTTTTAATGGCCATGGGGGGTAGATTGGCCTGCGCAAATGTGGTGCCGGTCGAACGAAAGCCTTCGGAGGAGTTAGCGAAATTCCAATGTGTGCAGATCTGCAAACAATGCAAAATAACCCATTAACCGTACATTTGACAGATACGCCCGCACTGACTTTTTTGTAGATCTTATTGAGATACATGTGTGTGTCAATTTTTGTGTCAATATGACAAAGCGTACAGCCGTCATGTGAATTTTCACCTTAGGGGGCGCTATGGAGCCATTTTGCATTTTCTTGTTTGGGCGACTTCGGAATATCAAATTTTTCACCAGGCCCGGTCGTCCTGCCAAATTTCATGAGTTTTCGCCAGTGGGAAGTGGGCCATTTTCCAGTTTAAAGCGGAGGAAAAATAATAACGAAAGAAGGAAACATGCAGGAACAAGAGGGCTCTCGCAGCTGCTTAGCAGCTACGCTCGGGCCCTAACTAGGGCCCCGGTGGGGCACTGGCGGGCCCGAGCCGTGTCGTGCCGCCCCCAGCGCGACCGCCTCCCCCTCCTGATTGCGTCACACTCAAGGTCCAAAGATGGTGTGCCCACTTGTCTGTGGTCATTTCCCATTAAAATGAATGGGAGGCGCAGTTTCTACCAAAACACTCGCTGCAGACAAACTACATGTCCTATTTGAAAAAAGTCTGGACCATGAGTGAGGGCACAAACACAGCTAGGATATATCCAAATGGCAAGTTGCTCCTCATTACGGTGTTGCCGGGAGAGCGATGCGATTGAGCCATTGAGTGATGGGCAGGAAAAACTTGACTGTTTCTTGTGCCATGGGGGATGGGGGATGGGGGATGGGTGGGGGGGGGATGTGGATTCTTTTAAGAATGTGGATATTTGGGTCATCTTTGGCGCCCCCTAGAACGTAAACCGTGGGGTGCAGCGTCATGATTTTTACAACTTTGAATGGCCATGGGGTGTAGATTGGCCTGAGCAAATTTGGTATCAGTGGGACGAAAGCCTTAGGAGGAGTTAGCCACATTCCAATGTGTGCTAATCGGCAAAAAATGCAAAATAGCCCTTTAACCGTACATTTTACAGATACGCGCGCATTGACTTTTTCTTAGATCTTATTGAGATACATGTGTGTGTCAAATTTTGTGTCAATATGACAAAGCGTACAGGTATGACAGTCAGCAATGTGTATTTTCACCTTATGGGACAAGGAAAAATGGACTTTTTTCTCCTGCCATGGGGGGGGCGCTCTTTTGGGGAGTAAAAATTCCTTCACAAATGTGTTGATGGCTGGACATTGCATCATCCTAGAAAACTTGGAGGCCAGTGAGGACAAAAGTAAAAAGTTATAAGACTTTTAAGAATGTGGATTTTTGGGTTATCTTTGGCGCCCCCTAGAACGTAAACCGTGGGGTGCAGCGTCATGATTTGTACAACTTTTAATGGCCATGGGGGGTAGATTGGCCTGCGCAAATGTGGTGCCGGTCGAACGAAAGCCTTCGGAGGAGTTAGCGAAATTCCAATGTGTGCAGATCTGCAAAAAATGCAAAATAACCCATTAACCGTACATTTGACAGATACGCCCGCACTGACTTTTTTGTAGATCTTATTGAGATACATGTGTGTGTCAATTTTTGTGTCAATATGACAAAGCGTACAGCCGTCATGTGAATTTTCACCTTAGGGGGCGCTATGGAGCCATTTTGCATTTTATTGTTTGGGCGACTTCAGAATATCGAATTTTTCACCAGGCCCGGACGTCCTGCCAAATTTCCTGAGTTTTCGCCAGTGGGAAGTGGGCCATTTTCCAGTTTGAAGCGGAGGAAAAATAATAACTAGGGCCCCGTTGGGGCACTGGCGGGCCCGAGCCGTGTCGCGCTGCCCCCCCCAACGCGCTGCCTCCCCGTCCGATTCGCGTCCTCTGGCCATCGTCCTCTCTGGTAACGCCCATCACTGCAAAGACCCTTTCCTTCATCGGCGTTTGCTGTTCTTCCTGCCAGTGCGTGTTGCTTTCACTTACACTTGCCACAGCCAGCCTCGTGAGTGCCTAGCCTATTGGATATCACTGTCATCTACACAGGACAGTCATAACCTTTCTATTAATACTTTGTTTTTTAATTTCACATTAATTTCCATATTGTATAAATGACTGGAAAAAACTTGAGCCCCTGCCCCTGTATAATCATGTGCACGTCCCTGTTCTAGCTCCAAGGTGAATCTTCACTGCTCATGTTCTCCTCAGAAATAGTCACCTCACTCCCCTCAGGTTACTGTACACATGCACCAACTATCTGCTTCAGGTTTGGATGGAGCTTCATGGTTGTCTTTTGGAGAAATGAACAGTCAAGTTGTGTTTGAAATTTGATTTTTTTCAGGGGCAAAAGGAAGCCTCTGCATTCTTGTCAAATATGTAAACAGCATGTTTTTGCAGGTGCTAAAAACCAGACTCTGAGTGTGTGTGTGTGTGTGTGTGTGTGTGTGTGTGTGTGTGTGTGTGTGTGTGTGTTGGCGTGTGTGTATATGTGTGTGTATCCTGCAGTACTCTGTACTCCTGCAGTGGCCAAAAAGACTTTTAAGAATGTGGATTTTTGGGTCATCTTTGGCGCCCCCTAGAACTGCAGTACTCTGTACTCCTGCAGTGGCCAAAATGACTTTTAAGAATGTGGATTTTTGGGTCATCTTTGGCGCCCCCTAGAACGTAAACCGTGGGGTGCAGCGTCATGATTTTTACAACTTTGAATGGGCATGGGGTGTAGATTGCCCTGAGCAAATTTGGTATCAGTGGGACGAAAGCCTTAGGAGGAGATAGCCACATTCCAATGTGTGCGAATCGGCAAAAAATGCGAAATAGCCCTTTAACCGTACATTATACAGATACGCGCTCTTTGACTTTTTCGTAGATCTAATTGAGATACACATGATTGTCAATTTTTGTGTCAATATGACAAAGCGTTCAGGCGTGACACTCAACAATGTGTATTTTCATGTAAGGGGACAAGAAAAAATTGACTTTTTTCTCCTGCCATGGGGGGGCGCTCTTTTGGGGAGTAAAAATTCCTTCACAAATGTGTTGATGGCTGGACATTGCATCATCCTAGAAAACTTGGAGGCCAGTGAGGACAAAAATAAAAAGTTATAAGACTTTTAAGAATGTGGATTTTTGGGTTATCTTTGGCGCCCCCTAGAACCTAAACCGTGGGGTGCAGCGTCATGATTTGTACAACTTTTAATGGCCATGGGGTGTAGACTGGCCTGAGCAAATGTGGTGCCGGTGGAACGAAAGCCTTCGGAGGAGTTAGCGAAATTCCAATGTGTGCGGATCGGCAAAAAATGCGAAATAACCCTTTAACCGTACATTTGACAGATACGCCCGCACTGACTTTTTTGTAGATCTTATTGAGATACATATGTGTGTCAATTTTTGTGTCAATATGACAAAACGTACAGACGTGACAGTCAATAGTGTGAATTTTCACCTTAGGGGGCGCTATGGAGCCATTTTGCATTTTATTGTTTGGGCGACTTCAAAATATCGAATTTTTCACCAGGCCCGGTCGTCCTGCCAAATTTCATGAGTTTTCGCCAGTGGGAAGTGGGCCATTTTCCAGTTTAAAGCGGAGGAAAAATAATAACTAGGGCCCCGGTGGGGCACTGTCGGGCCCGAGCCGCGTCGCGCCGCCCCCAGCGCGACCGCCTCCCCCTCCCGATCTCGTCACACTCAAGGTCCAAAGATGGTGTGCGCACTTGTCTGTGGTCATTTCCCATTATAATGAATGGGAGGCGCAGTTTCTACCAAAACACTCGCTGCAGACAAACTACATGTCCTATTTGAAAAAAGTCTGGACCATGAGTGAGGGCACAAACACAGCTAGGATATATCCAAACGGCAAGTTGCTCCTCGTTACGGTGTTGCCGGGAGAGCGATGCGATTGAGCCATTGAGTGATGGGCAGGAAAATCTTGACTGTTTCTCCTGCCATGGAGGATGGGGGATGGGGGATGGGGGGGGGGATGTGGATTCTTTTAAGAATGTGGATTTTTGGGTCATCTTTGGCGCCCCCTAGAACGTAAACCGTGGGGTGCAGCGTCATGATTTTTACAACTTTGAATGGCCATGGGGTGTAGATTGGCCTGAGCAAATTTGGTGTCGGTGGGACGAAAGCCTTAGGAGGAGTTAGCCACATTCCAATGTGTGCGAATCGGCAAAAAATGCAAAATAGCCCTTTAACCGTACATTTTACAGATACGCGTGCATTGACTTTTTCGTAGACGTTATTGAGACACACGTGATTGTCAAATTTTGTGTCAATATGACAAAGCGTACAGGCGTGACACTCAACAATGTGTATTTGCACCTTAGGGGACAAGAAAAAATGGACTTTTTTCTCCTGCCATGGGGGGGCGCTCTTTTGGGGAGTAAAAATTCCTTCACAAATGTGTTGATGGCTGGACATTGCATCATCCTAGAAAACTTGGAGGCCAGTGAGGACAAAAATAAAAAGTTATAAGACTTTTAAGAATGTGGATTTTTGGGTTATCTTTGGCGCCCCCTAGAACATAAACCGTGGGGTACAGCGTCATGATTTGTACAACTTTTAATGGCCATGGGGTGTAGATTGGCCTGAGCAAATTTGGTGCCGGTGGAACGAAAGCCTTCGGAGGAGTTAGCGAAATTCCAATGTGTGCGGATCGGCAAAAAATGCGAAATAGCCCTTTAACGGTACATTTGACAGATACGCCCGCACTGACTTTTTTGTAGATCTTATTGAGATACACATGTGTGTCAAATTTTGTGTCATTTTGACAAAGCGTACAGGCGTCAGGTGAGTTTTCACCATAGGGGGCGCTATGGAGCCATTTTTCATTTTTTTGTTTGGGCGACTTCAGAATATCAAATTTTTCACCAGGCCCGGTCGTCCTGCCAAATTTCCTGAGTTTTCGCCAGTGGGAAGTGGGCCATTTTCCAGTTTAAAGCGGAGGAAAAATAACGAAAGAAGAATCCATCAGGAACAAGAGGGCTCTCGCAGCTGCTTAGCAGCTACGCTCGGGCCCTAATAATAATAACAAAAGAAGAATCCATCAGGAACAAGAGGGCTCTCGCAGCTGCTTAGCAGCTACGCTCGGGCCCTAACGAAAGAAGGAAACATGCAGGAACAAGAGGGCTCTCGCAGCTGCTTAGCAGCTACGCTCGGGCCCTAACTAGGGCCCCGGTGGGGCACTGTCGGGCCCGAGCCGCGTCGCGCCGCCCCCAGCGCGACCGCCTCCCCCTCCCGATCGCGTCACACTCAAGGTCCAAAGATGGTGTGCGCACTTGTCTGTGGTCATTTCCCATTATAATGAATGGGAGGCGCAGTTTCTACCAAAACACTCGCTGCAGACAAACTTCATGTCCTATTTGAAAAAAGTCTGGACCATGAGTGAGGGCACAAACACAGCTATGATATATCGAAATGGCAGGTTGCTCCTCCTTACGGTGTTGCCTGGAGAGCGATGCGATTGAGCCATTGAGCGATGGGCAGGGTTAACTTGACTTTTTCTCCTGCCTTGGGGGGGGGGGGGATTCTTTTAAGAATGTGGATTTTTGGGTCATCTTTGGCGCCCCCTAGAACGTAAACCGTGGGGTGCAGCGTCATGATTTTTACAACTTTGAATGGCCATGGGGTGTAGATTGGCCTGAGCAAATTTGGTGTCAGTGGGACGAAAGCCTTAGGAGGAGTTAGCCACATTCCAATGTGTGCGAATCGGCAAAAAATGCAAAATAGCCCTTTAACCGTACATTTGACAGATACGCGCGCATTGACTTTTTTGTAGATATTATTGAGATACATATGTGTGTCAATTTTTGTGTCAATATGATAAAGCGTACAGGCGTGACAGTCAATAGTGTGAATTTCCACCTTAGGGGACAAGAAAAAATTGACTTTTTTCTCCTGCCATGGGGGGGGCGCTCTTTTGGGGAGTAAAAATTCCTTCACAAATGTGTTGATGGCTGGACATTGCATCATCCTAGAAAACTTGGAGGCCAGTGAGGACAAAAATAAAAAGTTATAAGACTTTTAAGAATGTGGATTTTGGGTTATCTTTGGCGCCCCCTAGAACCTAAACCGTGGAGTGCAGCGTCATGATTTGTACAACTTTTAATGGCCATGGGGGGTAGATTGGCCTGCGCAAATGTGGTGCCGGTCGAACGAAAGCCTTCGGAGGAGTTAGCGAAATTCCAATGTGTGCAGATCTGCAAACAATGCAAAATAACCCATTAACCGTACATTTGACAGATACGCCCGCACTGACTTTTTTGTAGATCTTATTGAGATACATGTGTGTGTCAATTTTTGTGTCAATATGACAAAGCGTACAGCCGTCATGTGAATTTTCACCTTAGGGGGCGCTATGGAGCCATTTTGCATTTTCTTGTTTGGGCGACTTCGGAATATCAAATTTTTCACCAGGCCCGGTCGTCCTGCCAAATTTCATGAGTTTTCGCCAGTGGGAAGTGGGCCATTTTCCAGTTTAAAGCGGAGGAAAAATAATAACGAAAGAAGGAAACATGCAGGAACAAGAGGGCTCTCGCAGCTGCTTAGCAGCTACGCTCGGGCCCTAACTAGGGCCCCGGTGGGGCACTGGCGGGCCCGAGCCGTGTCGTGCCGCCCCCAGCGCGACCGCCTCCCCCTCCTGATTGCGTCACACTCAAGGTCCAAAGATGGTGTGCCCACTTGTCTGTGGTCATTTCCCATTAAAATGAATGGGAGGCGCAGTTTCTACCAAAACACTCGCTGCAGACAAACTACATGTCCTATTTGAAAAAAGTCTGGACCATGAGTGAGGGCACAAACACAGCTAGGATATATCCAAATGGCAAGTTGCTCCTCATTACGGTGTTGCCGGGAGAGCGATGCGATTGAGCCATTGAGTGATGGGCAGGAAAAACTTGACTGTTTCTTGTGCCATGGGGGATGGGGGATGGGGGATGGGTGGGGGGGGGATGTGGATTCTTTTAAGAATGTGGATATTTGGGTCATCTTTGGCGCCCCCTAGAACGTAAACCGTGGGGTGCAGCGTCATGATTTTTACAACTTTGAATGGCCATGGGGTGTAGATTGGCCTGAGCAAATTTGGTATCAGTGGGACGAAAGCCTTAGGAGGAGTTAGCCACATTCCAATGTGTGCTAATCGGCAAAAAATGCGAAATAGCCCTTTAACCGTACATTATACAGATACGCGCTTTTTGACTTTTTCGTAGATCTAATTGAGATACACATGATTGTCAATTTTTGTGTCAATATGACAAAGCGTTCAGGCGTGACACTCAACAATGTGTATTTTCATGTAAGGGGACAAGAAAAAATTGACTTTTTTCTCCTGCCATGGGGGGGCGCTCTTTTGGGGAGTAAAAATTCCTTCACAAATGTGTTGATGGCTGGACATTGCATCATCCTAGAAAACTTGGAGGGCAGTGAGGACAAAAATAAAAAGTTATAAGACTTTTAAGAATGTGGATTTTGGGTTATCTTTGGCGCCCCCTAGAACGTAAACCGTGGAGTGCAGCGTCATGATTTGTACAACTTTTAATGGCCATGGGGGGTAGATTGGCCTGCGCAAATGTGGTGCCGGTCGAACGAAAGCCTTCGGAGGAGTTAGCGAAATTCCAATGTGTGCAGATCTGCAAACAATGCAAAATAACCCATTAACCGTACATTTGACAGATACGCCCGCACTGACTTTTTTGTAGATCTTATTGAGATACATGTGTGTGTCAATTTTTGTGTCAATATGACAAAGCGTACAGCCGTCATGTGAATTTTCACCTTAGGGGGCGCTATGGAGCCATTTTGCATTTTCTTGTTTGGGCGACTTCGGAATATCAAATTTTTCACCAGGCCCGGTCGTCCTGCCAAATTTCATGAGTTTTCGCCAGTGGGAAGTGGGCCATTTTCCAGTTTAAAGCGGAGGAAAAATAATAACGAAAGAAGGAAACATGCAGGAACAAGAGGGCTCTCGCAGCTGCTTAGCAGCTACGCTCGGGCCCTAACTAGGGCCCCGGTGGGGCACTGGCGGGCCCGAGCCGTGTCGTGCCGCCCCCAGCGCGACCGCCTCCCCCTCCTGATTGCGTCACACTCAAGGTCCAAAGATGGTGTGCCCACTTGTCTGTGGTCATTTCCCATTATAATGAATGGGAGGCGCAGTTTCTACCAAAACACTCGCTGCAGACAAACTTCATGTCCTATTTGAAAAAAGTCTGGACCATGAGTGAGGGCACAAACACAGCTATGATATATCGAAATGGCAGGTTGCTCCTCCTTACGGTGTTGCCTGGAGAGCGATGCGATTGAGCCATTGAGCGATGGGCAGGGTTAACTTGACTTTTTCTCCAGCCTTGGGGGGGGGGGGATTCTTTTAAGAATGTGGATTTTTGGGTCATCTTTGGCGCCCCCTAGAACGTAAACCGTGGGGTGCAGCGTCATGATTTTTACAACTTTGAATGGCCATGGGGTGTAGATTGGCCTGAGCAAATTTGGTGTCAGTGGGACGAAAGCCTTAGGAGGAGTTAGCCACATTCCAATGTGTGCGAATCGGCAAAAAATGCAAAATAGCCCTTTAACCGTACATTTGACAGATACGCGCGCATTGACTTTTTTGTAGATATTATTGAGATACATATGTGTGTCAATTTTTGTGTCAATATGATAAAGCGTACAGGCGTGACAGTCAATAGTGTGAATTTCCACCTTAGGGGACAAGAAAAAATTGACTTTTTTCTCCTGCCATGGGGGGGCGCTCTTTTGGGGAGTAAAAATTCCTTCACAAATGTGTTGATGGCTGGACATTGCATCATCCTAGAAAACTTGGAGGCCAGTGAGGACAAAAATAAAAAGTTATAAGACTTTTAAATATGTGGATTTTAGGGTTATCTTTGGCGCCCCCTAGAACCTAAACTGTGGGGTGCAGCGTCATGATTTGAATAACTTTTAATGGCCATGGGGTGTAGATTGGCCTGAGCAAATGTGGTGCCGGTGGAACGAAAGCCTTAGGAGGAGTTAGCGAAATTCCAATGTGTGCGGATCGGCAAAAAATGCGGAATAACCCTTTCACCGTACATTTGACAGATACGCGCGCATTGACTTTTTCGTAGATCTTATTGAGATACATGTGTGTGTCAATTTTTGTGTCATTTTGCCAAAGCGTACAGGTGTTAAACTCAATAATGTGTATTTTCACCTTAGGGGACAAGAAAAAATGGACTTTTTTCTCCTGCCATGGGGGGGCGCTCTTTTGGGGAGTAAAAATTCCTTCACAAATGTGTTGATGGCTGGACATTGCATCATCCTAGAAAACTTGGAGGCCAGTGAGGGCAAAAATAAAAAGTTATAAGATTTTTAAATATGTGGATCTTAGGGTTATCTTTGGCGCCCCCTAGAACGTAAACCGTGGGGTGCAGCGTCATGATTTGAATAACTTTTAATGGCCATGGGGTGTAGATTGGCCTGAGCAAATGTGGTGCCGGTGGAATGAAAGCCTTCGGAGGAGTTAGCGAAATTCCAATGTGTGCGGATCGGCAAAAAATGCGAAATAACCCTTTAACCGTACATTTGACAGATACGCCCGCACTGACTTTTTTGTAGATCTTATTGAGATACATGTGTGTGTCAATTTTTGTGTCATTTTGACAAAGCGTACAGGCGTGACAGTCAATAGTGTGAATTTTCACCTTAGGGGGCGCTATGGAGCCATTTTGCATTTTCTTGTTTGGGCGACTTCGGAATATCAAATTTTTCACCAGGCCCGGTCGTCCTGCCAAATTTCATGAGTTTTCGCCAGTGGGAAGTGGGCCATTTTCCAGTTCAAAGGGGAGGAAAAATAATAACTAGGGCCCCGTTGGGGCACTGGCGGGCCCGAGCCGTGTTGCGCCGCCCCCAGTGCGACCGCCTCCCCCTCCCGATCGCGTCACACTCAAGGTCCAAAGATGGTGTGCGCACTTGTCTGTGGTCATTTCCCATTATAATGAATGGGAGGCGCAGTTTCTACCAAAACACTCGCTGCAGACAAACTGCATTTGAAAAAAGTCTGGACCATGAGTGAGGGCACAAACACAGCTAGGATATATCCAAACGGCAAGTTGCTCCTCGTTACGGTGTTGCCGGGAGAGCGATGCGATTGAGCCATTGAGTGATGGGCAGGAAAAACTTGACTGTTTCTCCTGCCATGGGGGATGGGGGATGGGGGATGGGGGATGGGGGATGGGGGGGGGGGGGGATGTGGATTCTTTTAAGAATGTGGATATTTGGGTCATCTTTGGCGCCCCATAGAACGTAAACCGTGGGGTGCAGCGTCATGATTTTTACAACTTTGAATGGCCATGGGGTGTAGATTGGCCTGAGCAAATTTGGTGTCAGTGGGACGAAAGCCTTAGGAGGAGTTAGCCACATTCCAATGTGTGCTAATCGGCAAAAAATGCAAAATAGCCCTTTAACCGTACATTTTACAGATATGCGCGCATTGACTTTTTCGTAGATCTTATTGAGATACATGTGTGTGTCAAATTTTGTGTCAATATGACAAAGCGTACAGGTATGACAGTCAACAATGTGTATTTTCACCTTATGGGACAAGAAAAAATAGACTTTTTTCTCCTGCCATGGGGGGACGCTCTTTTGGGGAGTAAAAATTCCTTCACAAATGTGTTGATGGCTGGACATTGCATCATCCTAGAAAACTTGGAGGCCAGTGAGGACAAAAATAAAAAGTTATAAGACTTTTAAATATGTGGATTTTAGGGTTATCTTTGGCGCCCCCTAGAACCTAAACCTTGGGGTGCAGCGTCATGATTTTGATAACTTTTAATGGCCACGGGGTGTAGATTGGCCTGAGCAAATGTGGTGCCGGTGGAACGAAAGCCTTCGGAGGAGTTAGCGAAATTCCAATGTGTGCGGATCGGCAAAAAATGCGAAATAACCCTTTAACCGTAATTTTGACAGATACGGCCGCACTGACTTTTTTGTAGATCTTATTGAGATACATATGTGTGTCAATTTTTGTGTCAATATGACAAAGCGTACAGGCGTGACAGTCAATAGTGTGAATTTCCACCTTAGGGGGCGCTATGGAGCCATTTTGCATTTTATTGTTTGGGCGACTTCAGAATATCGAATTTTTCACCAGGCCCGGTCGTCCTGCCAAATTTCATGAGTTTTTGCCAGTGGGAAGTGGGCCATTTTCCAGTTCAAAGGGGAGGAAAAAGAAAAAAGAAAGAAAGAAACAAAGAAAAACCACTTGGGGAATAATAGGGCTCTCGCAGCTGCTTAGCAGCTACGCTCGGGCCCTAATAACTAGGGCCCCGTTGGGGCACTGGCGGGCCCGAGCCGCGTTGCGCCGCCCCCAGTGCGACCGCCTCCCCCTCCCGATCGCGTCACACTCAAGGTCCAAAGATGGTGTGCGCACTTGTCTGTGGTCATTTCCCATTATAATGAATGGGAGGCGCAGTTTCTACCAAAACACTCGCTGCAGACAAACTACATGTCCTATTTGAAAAAAGTCTGGACCATGAGTGAGGGCACAAACACAGCTAGGATATATCCAAACGGCAAGTTGCTCCTCGTTACGGTGTTGCCGGGAGAGCGATGCGATTGAGCCATTGAGTGATGGGCAGGAAAAACTTGACTGTTTCTCCTGCCATGGGGGATGGGGGATGGGGGGGATGTGGATTCTTTTAAGAATGTGGATATTTGGGTCATCTTTGGCGCCCCCTAGAACGTGAGCCGTGGGGTGCAGCGTCATGATTTTTACAACTTTGAATGGCCATGGGGTGTAGATTGGCCTGAGCAAATTTGGTGTCAGTGGGACGAAAGCCTTAGGAGGAGTTAGCCACATTCCAATGTGTGCGAATCGGCAAAAAATGCAAAATAGCCCTTTAACCGTACATTTGACAGATACACGCCCATTGACTTTTTCGTAGATCTTATTGAGATACACGTGATTGTCAAATTTTGTGTCAATATGACAAAGCGTATAGGCGTGAATCTCAACAATATGTATTTTCACCTTAGGGGACAAGAAAAAATGGACTTTTTTCTCCTGCCATGGGGGGGCGCTCTTTTGGGGAGTAAAAATTCCTTCACAAATGTGTTGATGGCTGGACATTGCATCATCCTAGAAAACCTGGAGGCCAGTGAGGACAAAAATAAGAAGTTATAAGACTTTTAAATATGTGGATTTTAGGGTTATCTTTGGCGCCCCCTAGAACCTAAACCGTGGGGTGCAGCGTCATGATTTGAATAACTTTTAATGGCCATGGGGTGTAGATTGGCCTGAGCAAATGTGGTGCCAGTGGAACGAAAGCCTTAGGAGGAGTTAGCCACATTCCAATGTGTGCGGATCGGCAAAAAATGCGGAATAACCCTTTAACCGTACATTTGACAGATACGCGCGCATTGACTTTTTTGTAGATCTTATTGAGATACATGTGTGTGTCAATATTTGTGTCATTTTGCCAAAGCGTACAGGCGTGACACTAAACAATGTGTATTTTCACCTTAGGGGACAAGAAAAAATAGACTTTTTTCTCCTGCCATGGGGGGGCGCTCT